GCAAATTTGAACATGTTTGTGGCACTGTCTGGGTGACTAGGCATGTGATAGCGAGAGGCAGGGGGGATGGAATAGGACGTCCCTGTTTTCAGGGGAGAAACATTGGAGGGGATGGAATAGGACGTCCCTATTTTCAGGGGAGAAACGTTGGAGGGGATGGAAAAGGACGTCCCTATTTTCAGGGGAGAAACGTTGGAGGGGATGGAATAGGACGTCCCTCTTTTCAGGGGAGAAACGTTGGAGGGGATGGAATAGGACGTCCCTATTTTCAGTGGTGAAACGTTGGAGGGGATGGAATAGGACGTCCCTATTTTCAGGGGAGAAACGTTGGAGGGGATGGAATAGGACGTCCCTATTTTCAGGGGAGAAACGTTGGAGGGGATGGAATAGGACGTCCCTAATTTCAGGGGAGAAACGTTGGAGGGGGTGGGGAAAAACACGCAGGGTTGTTTTCCAGAAACCAGAGCCACTCCTGGAGGCAACTGGGAGAAAGGGGAGATTCCCGCAGGAGACCCCCCAGGGGATGCACAAACTTTGCAAACACCAGGGCCAAGTGAAAGGAGATCCTCTGGAGACCTGTCTGTCCAGCAGCCAGGTGTGTTTTTCCATCCAAACAAGGACTTCTTCTTCCTCCCTCTGGGAATGCCTGGGGGGGGCCTTAGCCTGACAACATGGGGCTGGTGACGAAGGCAGGCGGTCTCAGGGTGGAAATCGCCCCAGGGAAGAAAGAGTTTGAATGAATAAATGAATGAATGCGCCTTCCAGGAAGCCAGAGGCAGGGGAAAGGTGGCAGAAGGGTGAATTTCCTCCTGTTTCATTTTCTGGGCCAACCTAGCACTCTGTCTCCGAGGGAGGACAGCGCAGGTACTTGGGGGGAAAAGGCCACAGGCATTCCTTCATGACATCCATTCCCTCACAAGCCTTGCAAACGCGTATTTTCAATGGCCCTGATCCGCTTCCCTTGGATTTCATCATAGCTGTGCAATTGGGCCTCATTCATTCGTTGTTAATCTGTTGCTCCCTCTGCTTAATATACGCCACACATGTCCAACTTCCAAGAGACTGCGATCTGCTCCCACTATAAAATAACTAGTTACAGGTAGGTAGCCGCGTTGGTCTGCTGTAGTCGAAACAAAACAAAATAGATAAAATGAAATGAAAAAATTCCTTCCAGTAGCACCTTAGAGACCAACTAAGTTAGTTACTGGTATGAGCTTTCGTTTGCATGCACACTTCTTCAGATAACTGGCAGTGATTGACGCATCAAAGTTGTTCAGCTTTTTGGTGGGGAGGAAGACCCAAAGTTGTTGAGGTTTTCTTTATATTTTTATTTGGGGGGGGGGGCGACCGATCAGGATCACACAATCGACCACGATGGGACGCCCCTGAATCAACCAGTACATCGCGATGAACTGGTTGGACATTCCTGATACATATTATAAACACAGAATCCTTGAGTTGGCAGGGAACACCACAGTTCAGGAGGTTTGCGTTATCACAATAATTTTTGAGATATTCTCTAAATATTATCCAGACTTTAATTAACTTTCTGATTTGTGCTTTCTCTTGTTCTCCTGGTCATTTCCACGAGCTGTAAATACTCTATCATTTCTGCTTGCCAATCTAAAAAATTAATAAAAATTAAAAATAATTTAAAAAGGCACAAGAAACACTTTTGAAAAATAAAATCCACATTGCACACTCGATTCTCCCTGCGTTTGCCTTTGGGTCTCCTTCTGTATCTTTCCATTCTCCTGGATTCCCTGAAATTGGGCCAAACAGCTTTTCTCTTCCGTCATTCCTCCTCCAAAAGCATTTACAAGGGGCTTAATTTAAGAGACAATAGCGTCTCCTTGGCCAGACAGCTCCAAAACAATATCACGACGTAAAACCGGTAAAACAGGAGCATCCGTGCGCATTTAATTCTTTAAAAAATGGTCTTGCAGCATTTCAAAGCTCAGTACGAAGCAAAGAACACGAAATCCCTGCCACAAAAAAACTCAGGTTCTTCCCCTGGCGAAAAGTCAAGTCCAAAGCTCTTCCTTGCACATAAAAGTCGCCGGAAGGGAGTGGACGGGAAAGGGTTGCCTCGAGGACGAGGCCAAAATAAGTTTCCTCCATGAGGTCCGGCGACATGTTTGGCCTTTGGACGGTGTGGCAGGCAAGGCTTGCCAAAAGGGGATCTGGAAGAAGAGGAAAACAGGAAGGCGGCTGCGCTGCCAATGTCATTTTATCGGAAGAAATAACTGCAGGCTAGGGAGAATTCCAGAGGCCAAGCAGCTAAGGACATATATAAGCAAAAAATTAAATGTCGGATTCCATCCCCTCCAACGTTTCTCCCATGAAAATAGGGACGTCCTATTCCATCCCCTCCAACGTTTCTCCCATGAAAATAGGGACGTCCTATTCCATCCCCTCCAACGTTTCTCCCATGAAAATAGGGACGTCCTATTCCATCCCCTCCAATGTTTCTCCCCTGCAAAACAGGGACTTTGCAAGGTCTGTTTTCCCCCTTGGCGATGGGGCGGCCATATTGGGACATTCAGCCCCAGGCCTCTTATTTCCTCCCCGGGTGGAAATTTTCCGGATCTTGTGCAAAGGTGTTTTTCTCAAAGTGGAGCAAAGCAAGAGGAGTTTTTCTCCCGGGACTGAAAAACAGCGTGATTTTGGATAAACAGAAAAACAGCCCGAGGGAGGCGGATGCTGTTTCGTTATCTCTATTTCCTAGAGTCTCGGGTGACGAGGGAGAAGTGTTTTCGCTCCTCTCGTGTCTGCTGGCAAAACACACGCCGTGTTTTGCATTCCTCGTATAAACGGATAAAGATTTGCTAGGGCCGTAAAAACAGGCCGACCTGATTTGGGGAATATGGGGCTGCCGATTGATTTGCAAAAAGGACAGAAAGATGTGCCCCCCGAATCAGGATGGGGTCACTTCTGGGTGGGAACCCAACCCATGTTCACGCGTGGAGGCAATGCGGCCTAGTGGTTGGGTGAGATAGAAAGGCAACAAAGAAATCATGGAATTGTAGAATTGGGACCCTAAGGCTCATCCAGTCCAGAATCCCTGGCAGATGACCATTAATTCCAGATTTAGGGAAGTCCTTGTTCTTGTTGTTGAGTCGTTTAGTCGTGTCCGCCTCTTGGTGACCCCCTGGACCAGAGCATGCCAGGCCCTCCTGTCTTCCACTGCCTCCTGCAGTTTGGTCAAACTCATGCTGGTAGCTTCAAGAACACTATCCAACCATCTCGTCCTCTGCCGTCCCCTTCTCCTTGCGCCCTCCATCTTTCCCAACATCAGGGTCTTTCCCAGGGAGTCTTCTCTTCTCCTGAGGTGGCCAAAGTCTTGGAGCCTCAGCTTCAGGATCTGTCCTTCCAGTGAGCACTCAGGGCTGATTTCCTTCAGAATGGAGAGGTTGGATCTTCTTGCAGTCCATGGGACTCTCCAGAGTCTCCTCCAGCACCAGAATTCAAAAGCATCCATTCTTTGGCGATCAGCCTTCTTGATGGTCCAGCTCTCACTTCCATACATCACAACTGGAAAACCCATAGCTTTAATGATACGGACCTTTGTTGGCAAGGTGATGTCTCTGCTTTTTAAGATGCTGTCTGGGTTTGTCATCGCTTTCCTCCCAAGAAGCAGGCGTCTTTTAATTTCGTGACTGCTGTCACCGTCTGCAGTGATCATGGAGCCCAAGAAAGTCAAATCTCTCACTGCCTAGGGAAGTCCTAGTCCCTCTCTATTCTGCCTTGGTCAGACCACACCTGGAACACTGTGTCCAGTTCTGGGCGCCACAGTTTAAGAAAGAGATGGACAAGCTGGAACATGTGGGACGATGGGGACCAAGATGGTCAAGGGTCTGGAAACCAAGCCTGATGAGGAACGGTCGAAGGAGCTGGGGATGTTGAGCCTGGGAGGGAAAGGAGACTGCAAGGAGATAGGAGAGCCAGCTTCAAATATCTGACATGGAAGAGGGAACGAGCTTGTTTTCTCCTGCTCCGGAGGGTAGGACTCGAACCCATGGCTCCAAGTTCCAAGGAAGGAGATTCCGACTAAATATCAGGAAGAACTTTCTGACAGTCAGAGCTGTTCGACTGTGGGGTGACAGACTCTCCTTCCTTGGAGGTTTTTAAGCAGAGGTCGGACGGCTGTCTGTTATGGCTGCTTTAGCTGAGATTCCTGCATTGCAAGGGGGTGAGGCTGGATGACCTCTGAGGGTCCCCTTCCAAGTCTACAATTCCTCACAGTGGCCAGCCAGAGGAGAAATCCACAAGCAGGACCCGGGCACAGCAGCAGCAGCTCCCTCCTCACTTGGTGTTCAGAGTCTTTATCAACCCCAAAGCACTTGCCACCCCCCCCAAAAAAAACCCTGATATTTGGAGAGATGTTGCCTCTAACAGTGGGGGGACCATGTAGCCATTGCGGCTGGCAGCCCCTGGTCCCCTTTCTCCCCCCTCATTGAATCGGTTGAACCCTTTCAAAGCCAGCGGCCCCATTTGCGTCCTGTGGCAGGGAGTTCCGTAGGTTAACTCTGTACTTTCTTTCTGAATAATAATAATAATAATAATAATAATTTATTATTTATCCCCCGCCCATCTGGCTGGGCTTCCCCAGCCACTCTGGGCAGCTTCCAAAAACTATTAAAATACTGTGATACATCAAGCATTAAAAGCTTCCCTAAACAGGGCTGCCTTCAGGTGTCTTCTAAAAGTCTGGTAGTTCTTTATCTCTTTGCCAGCTGATGGGAGGGTGTTCCACAGGGCGGGCGCCACCACCGAGAAGGCCCTCTGCCTGGTTCCCTGTAGCCTCACTTCTCACAATGAGGGAACCGCCAGAAGGCCCTCGGCGCTGGATCTCAGTGTCCGGGCAGAACGATGGCGGTGGAGACGCTCCTTCAGGTATACTGGACTGAGGCCGTTTAGGGCTTTCAAGGTCAGCACCAACACTTTGAATTGTGCTCGGAAACATCCTGGGAGCCAATGCAGATCTCTCAGGACCGGTGTTATGTGGTCCCGGCGGCCACTCCCAGTCCCCAGTCTGGCTGCCGCATTCTGGATTAGTTGCAGTTTCCAAGTCACCTTCCAAGGTAGCCCCACAGAGAGCGCATGGCAGTAGTCCAAGCGGGAGATAACCAGAGCATGCACCACTCTGGTGAGACGGTCTGTGGGCAGGGAGGGTCTCATCCTGCGTCCCAGATGGAGCTGCCCTGGACACAGAACTGACCTGCCCTCCATGGACAGCTGTGTGTCCAAAATGACTCCCAGGCTGCGCACCTGGTCCTTCAGGGGAACAGTGACCCCATTCAGGACCAGGGAGTCCCCCACACCTGCCTGCCCCCTGTCCCCCCAAAACAGTACTTGTTGAATCTCCCAACATTCATCTTCGCCCCATGCCCACGACTCCTAGTGGGATCTTCTTGGTCTCTTTGAGAAGGTGACGCCAGACCCAAACGTAAGAACATCTCTTACGTTCTCATGCGAAAGCAGAAGAACACCTTTTCCCTAGAAAGCCTGAATTGTCCCCAAAAATGCGACTTCGCCGTGACCTCTGCAAAACATGCCAAGCCTTGCAGGAATCTTCCGCCAGATATTATGATACGGCGAAAAGGCGAATAGACCTTCCTTCGACCCCGCCAAGAAAGATAACACCTTTAAAACCCAGCGATGACAACAACAAAAATCCCATAATTGTCCAGGACTTTTGGCTGCCTCGGGGATATTTTTTCCCCCATATCTCGCTCTCGAGAGAAAAAAAACATCTCAGAAGTTCAGAGCATCTGACTTTGGACAAAACAGACGCTGTTGACAGATTCAATAGAGATAAAAAATCGCAGCCTGTGTCCATAGGCCACACGGAAACTGGAGACTGGGGCTGAGAGGGATCTTAAGGCAGTAAACAAGCCCATAATGGGGGGGGGAAGGTTTCTTTTCCCAGAAAGGAAAGCAAAATTTCCCAGGGCTGCGACCTTCAGGAGATCATCATATCATTTTTAAAACTAAAAACAAAACCATAACTTGTTTTTCTCTGTGCTCTGCTTTCTTGGAAAAGGCAACCGTCTTTTAACTCTGACGACGGTTTCCTTTCTCTCCAGATTATTCTGTAAAAATCAGACTTTGCATTACAGCCACCCGGAAGGCTCTTTGGAGAAATATCAATCTTGCAGTTTCCATCGGAGAAAGGTTGGAGGGGATGCATACACCCTAACAGTTCTCCGATGGAAATAGGGACGTCCTATTCCATCCCCTCCAACGTTTCTCCCCTGAAAAGAGGGACGTCCTAGTGATTTTATTGTACTGAACCTTTTAGGTATTTTGTCTGTATGCCATTAAAGGTTTGAGATCTGTAATTCTAGGCTGAGAGGCCTCCCATTATGGCCTAGCTGTGCCTAGACTCAACTGGCAGCTCACAGGAAAATACCTCTCTCCAATGACAACAAGAAAAAGCACTTTTCCACCTGCCTTGTTCCTGTTTTCTCCAAAAATATTTGTGGTGTCTTTCACACGGAAGTTGTGACGGCCGCCTGTTTCACCAGCCTGTCGGTTGCACAACTTGCTGGTGGGGGCAGAGAAGGCGGGGGTCACAGAGGTATTAGTCACACAGGTGGGGTTTTGGCAGGAGAGGAAATTCACAGGAAAAGTGTTTTTTTCTGCGCCTCGGCCTGTTTCTCTGCGAGAAGAAACGGAATCTGATATATTCATTTATCCTATTTGTTTCCGATAATTTATACACCAATCAATTGCTTAGAAAACATCCAAACAATTAAACGACAAATAAGAATTGGCAACCCTAATGCAAGGCATTCGATAAGTCAAAGGTGCAATAGGCTAGAAGCCGATTAAGAAACTCTAAATATAGAGCCGCCTCTGTTTGTCCTAAAACCTTTATCGATTTTAAAACCCGTGTTTACCGGGCCATGGTTTCGCCATGTTTGCCTTTGAAAATAAATAAAAAGTGTGTGGCTCGGAGCTGCGTTTTGTGGACAGCTTTCTTTGTGTGCTGTTCTGAAACTCCATAATAAGTGGGATCCAATGAGTGCTGTCCCGCTCTGACTGGCAGCCGCCGCTCTCCAGAGGGGTGCAGGGCGGAAAGAAAAACCCATTTTTTCCAGATCACCTGCACCCTTTAATGCGGAGATTTAGAGTCTCTCCTCTTGTCCAGGTCATTTTGGGGGTGGAATGGGCCTTCACCCTAGCCGGACCCTGGTTCCATTGAGCGCAGTTGTTAACGGAAAAATCCGAGGGCTCCCTTGGACAAAAACAAAGACACCAATCAGGGTAAATTGGAGCAAAACAGCAGCCTGTAGGCTTGGCCTTTATTGATCTGTTGCAACAGGGTGCTCCCCTCACCTGCAGGAGAGAGGAAAAGACACAGAAAAATGGTGTGCCAGGTCTTATAAAGACTTTTGAAATTGCCACCCTGTAGATCAAGCCCACCCCCAGAAACATCATGCATACATCACAGAAAGGAGGGGTTGAGGAGGAGTTGTGGTGGTAACCTGAGTGTTCTGTCACCTGGCTGGTTCCCCCTTTCCCCCTCCCCATGAGTACTTTCCAGGTGACAGAGGGGAGTTTGCAGTTTCCTGCCCCCAGAGGGAAGAGCTGATTATTGTCCTTTGTTCCAGTCTGTGCTGAATCCACTCCCATATGCAAGTCCTTTGAGCCTTGATGGTCTTCTGTCTGGGACCATCAGGGTTGGCATAGCAACTGGGCAGGGCTCCTGTGGATGTGCTGGTATGCAGAAGGGATTGTGGCTGCCCTGTATCAAACCTTCCCCATTTTGTAGTCCTTCCTTCATGGAGTAAAATAAAAGTGGAACGGTGCAGATCCGATGTATGGTTGATTTTTCTATAAATTTATAACAGAAGCGTAGCGTATGTAGTGTGTGAGTGTGTGTGAAGTTTGTACAAACCGAATGATTCGGGGGGGGGGGGTTTCCTGCAACACTAAAAGCAAAGTGCGATTCTGACTCTGCAATTCCATGATTCTCTTTTTTTCTTTATAACAATTTATTGATTTTCCAAAAGTAACAAAATAAATAACAATACCAAAACAAATTGACATCTCTCTAGTCCCTTCCTTGGTCCCGTTATTTATCAATATTCCAAATGTCCATTGTTCAGCTTGAAACCCATTTGAATTATCCATTCATAACAAAATTACAAGTAATTTTAAAACGCTGTATTTGCCTGTGTACAGTGCTTCTGTAGACATGCAATAAAGTCCTTCCAATCTTCCTAAAGTTCGTTATCATCTCTTCCTCTTAATTTCATTGTCGATTTTGCCATTTCAGCATATTCCGTTAGTTTAATTTGCCAGTCTTCTTTAGCTGAGATACCTTCTTCTTTCCAATATTGTGCTAATAAAGTCCGTGCGGCCGTAGTTGCATACATAAATAAGTTCTTTTGTGATTTTGGTAAGTCCACTCCTATAATACCTAACAGGAAAGCTTCAGGGGTTTTTAACAAACATCTTCTTCATTTAAACATCTTATTCATTTCGTTATAAATCATTTCCCAGTATTTCTTTTTTTAATATATCTTTATTAATTTAAAATAAATACATTTATGAAAAACAGACGTACATACAAGTAAACAACCATACAATCAAACAAACGACCAAATAACAGAATTAATTGGAAGTCCCAGTATTTCTTTATGATTTTACAATCCCACCACATGTGGAAAAAATGTCCCTTTGGTGCTTTTACATTTCCAACACATGCTTTCCTTAGTTTTATACGTTTTTGCTAATTTGACAGGAGTTTCGTGGCATACATCAATAGTCTTTGATCTACCTTTGCAATTTCTTTCCCAGCAAAAATGGTTCTGGTTTCTTGTCTTATACATTTTAGCAAGTTCCGCTGGTGTTAAATACCGTCTCTGTACATCATTTCCATCCCATTTTCTTTAAGTGCACTGCTTGCACTAAAACTGACACCTTCCTCCAACAACCTTTCCCACATTTCTAACTCAATATCACATCCATTGTATCATCACCCCTTTAACCTCCTCGTCTTGAGTAGGCCATTCCAATAATAATTTATACATTTTCAACAATATCTTCCTCTTCAAAAGGTAAAGGTAAAGGGACCCCTGACCATTAGGTCCAGTCGTGGCTGACTCTGGGGTTGCGGCGCTCATCTCGCTTTACTGGCCGAGGGAGCCGGCGTACAGCTTCCGGGTCATGTGGCCAGCAGGACTAAGCCGCTTCTGGCGAACCAGAACAGCGCACGGAAACGCCGTTTACCTTCCCGCCGGAACGGGACCTATTTATCTACTTGCACTTTGACGTGCTTTCGAACTGCTAGGTGGGCAGGAGCAGGGACCGAGCAAGGGGAGCGCACCCCGTCACGGGGATTCGAACGGCCGACCTTCTGATCAGCAACTCCTAGGCTCTGTGGTTTAACCCACAGCGCCAGTAATTCTATCTGAGACCTAAATCTTCCTGTTTCAGAAACATTTTCTCTTTTTGTCCTCCAGGTATTCTCACAATTTCACTTCGGAGTGTCAAAACAAGGTCTCTGAGGGCAGCTGCCTCCAGGCGTGTTGACAAGCCGGGTCCCTGGGTGGGGCACCTTGTTTTCCCCCCCGGACGGAAGAACCTGGAGGGCGTCCAGGCCGGCTGTTCAGGAATCTGCCGGGCAGCAGAAGATGTCGGTCCACAAATTTGCCCCAGGAAGCGGAGCCTGACTCAGCTCAGATGCTTTCCCAAGAGGCACATTCCGTTCCCAAAAGCACCCAGCCGTGCCAAGTCACCGTTTGCCAGGTGGGCACCCTCAGCCTCATGAACAACTTGGCCACGATCAGGAAATTTGGCCCGTGGCGTGGGTATTTTCCACCTTCCCATCTCAACTCTCTGGCTCCCTATCTGTACAAGCTAGCAATTCTAAAATATAGACGCGCCTGGACTAAAATTGTCTATCAAAAACTCTTGTGGTTTGTCACTACAACAGCTACTCAATTTGGGTTTTAGTAAAGCAAACAGTCCAGTTTGTCGGCGCCTAAATGATATCGAGCGTCGGAACAACTGGGCCACTATAAGGAAATTTTGCCATGGCACGACTATTTTCCACCTTCCCATTTTGACTCTCTGGCACCTGATTTGCATAACCGAGCAATTCTAAAATATAGATGCGCTTTGACTCTCGCGAGATTGAATGTCTTGCCCTCGGCTGGACTTGAGGGACGATGCCAACATATGCCACACGAAAAACGACCCTGCGGAGATGGCAGTCCCGAATCGGTGGCGCATGCCCTTCTGGCTTGCCCTCTTGATAAAGACTTGAGGAATGAGATTATCACCCCTCTTTTATTGTCCATTCCGGGTCGCCCAACCACTGCCCCAGTGACCTTTCTCTGGGCAGATCAAGATGAGCAGGTGACGGCAAAGGTGGCAAGGTTTTTAGCTGGGGCAATCGGAATAAGATCCACTATTTGACCATTGATTCAAATCCCTAAAATGTATTTTATATCACTGACTTTTTATTTCTATTCTTTGTATATCTTATTGATGTTTTATTGCTATGGCTGGCGGCCGACGCAAAAAAAGATTTATTAATTCATTCATTCACCCTGAGCCTCCCCAAAAATCCCTTCTCCCGTCGCCCCGGCAAAAGAGCTTCCCTCTGCCATGAGCGAAAATAAAGCCCCTATTAATTATTAGGATTCGAGCTCCTCGCCTTATGCCTTGGTTTCAAAAATGGTTAATAATAATAATAATTTTATTATTTAAACCCAGTCCTTTTTTCTGGGGGGGACGTAGGGGTACGCATGCCCCTAAACATGTTGTGAATCTAAGTTGTTTGTTGTTTGTTTGTTGTTGTGGTTGTTGACCCTGCCCTGAAAAAATCCCTGCCAGAGAGGAACGGCAAACTAAGTGGATGGACTGCGCCGAAATGGCAAAGGCTATCCGGGAAACCCAGGAATCGAGAGGACAAAAACTTTTTTAAAAAAATAATAATAATGGGAAAAATACATTTCCCCCAAAAAGCGGGACTTTCTGGGATCGAAGCAGAAACCAGGGCGGCTTCTGGGATTCCTGGGAAATAGGGACACTGGGAGCGCCTGTTCCGCTTTAGATGAGCAAGGAGGGCGAGAACTCGGAGGCATATAGATAGCAAGCGCCGTTTTATTTTTAACCGGGTGGTCTCGGAAATATTTCCCCTGGTGCTATAAATACCCGGAAAAACGCCCTGTTGTTGATGAAACCCGATCCAGAGATGTCTCTGTCCGGACTCGATGTGCTGACCTGGGTCTGGGATCCGGGATCGGGGCCATCGGAAGTGACTAGGGTGCCTCTGATATTCTTACTTTACATTATTACATTCAGTTACACATTTGAACATTCTCAGCACTCCGTTCCCAACGCTTATCGCTTCCAACGCTATATATGTAAACCTCTATGTATATCGATTTTCCTTACTCCCTTCGCCACTTTACGCAATCACACAATCTGCCAATCAGTAGCTGAACTGGGTTCCACACAGTCACAGAAACAAGCGAAAAAGCCTCAAAAACCCACAAAATAAAGCGCAAAAACAAAAGCACCAAGCTTTCTGGAAATCCGTTTGACTTCTGAAATGTTCGGAAACCGAGGCGCGGCTTCTGATTGACGCAGGCGCCCCGGAAACAATAGCCGACAGCTGCGTCGGACATCCGGCTTCCAAAAAGCATTAAAAAACCAGAACACTCTGTGGGGGTGCACTGGGTTTTCAGCCTTTGGGAACCAAGTCCCACTGTACTTAAATAGGTATTTCTGGACCTAAAATTCCTAATAAAAAAGCTTCATTTTACAAAAGTTATTTTTAGCATTATTTTTTTCAACTCGTTATAAATCATTTCCCAAGATGCTTTTGTTGTGTGTGTTTTTAACACCCTCTGAAGCTGATCACCGGCCCGCCAACCCCTGACCCCAGCCTGCTCTCTGGACCAGAGAAAACCTCGCATGTCCGAAAGCTCAGGCGCTCAAGGGATGATCTCCGCTTGGCAAAACGGGGGGCAAAAACACAAATCTCTGCCGACCGGCAAAGTTCACTCAAAGAGAACTGGCTGCAAATGGTGGACTTTAGCCGAAAAGTTCAGGGTTCGATGTGACGCGAGACAGAGGAGAATTTTCCCGTAAGGCGGGACCCCATCTCTTCCTCTCTGTCCGCAAACACGTCAGAAAAGCCGCCTTGAATATTGAATATTTGCAGAACAATTGCAAACAGGCAAAAAAACCATTGGCAGGACTCTTTTTAAAAAAATGCTGCATTGGTTGAAAACTGTACAACAGAAAAAAATCATGTTAAAGGCAAGATAAAAATAAACCATTATTAATTTCTTAACTGATGTGTGTTTTGTACATCATTTTGTGATTATATTTAACACGACCTCCGATCTTCCCATTGCCTTCCCAGATTGGGTTCCTTGATTAAGCCCTGTTATTTAAATTTTGTAAAATTATCCTGTTTGCACACAGAAGGCAGTCGAAACCTGCCAATGGATTGATATCTGAGGCTCAGTCCAGCAGGAGCACAAAACACAAAACGAAAGACATGGCGTACGCCAGACCAGGACTCCTCTGCAAGCTGCAGAATTTAGGGACGTTCCTTCTAGCCGGTTCCCCTACGAATGAGTGACGGACCTCTGGCCATGCGCAGAGTTTTTGTGCCTCCGTTCCACAAGCTGACCCACATTGCCTCCCTATATATATATATTTATATACGTTAGAAGCCACTCACAGCGGCTGGGGGCCACCCCGTCCAGTGGGCACTTCATAGAACCATCGTTATCATGGCATGGACCAGGCATCCCCAAACTCGGCCCTCCAGATGATTTGGGACTACAACTCCCATCATCCCTGCCCACTGGTCCTCTTAGCTAGGGATGATGGGAGTTGTAGTCCCAAAACATCTGGAGGGCCGTGTTTGCCTAGGCCTGGCATGGATCTCCCTCTTTTCATCCTGTACGGAGAGATCCGCACTCAGATCCCCATCCGGAACTTGCCCCAGCCGGACGGAGACGCTTCCACCTCTCCATCCTTCTCTCTTCCCTGCTTTCCCTCTCCCTACCGGCCGGCCTGACCCACTTTCCCAGGAAATCCCAAATATGTTCCGCCGGCCCGGTCCCGTCCTCGCCCCGCGAGCCCAGAAATAGCCAGCGGGATGGGGGCCAAGGACACCCCTGTCGTGATGGCCAAAGGCAGGGCTTCTCAGATGCCTCGGACGCCCCCCAGACAGGGGTCTCCGGTTTCAGACCCTGCCACGGCCGAGAAATTCCAGTGTTTTTCCATCCCCCAAGCAGCACTGTATTACTGTAACCGAGTCTTGATCTGTTGCCTTCTTTCCTTTGCCAGGGGGTACCTGTTCCCCCCCCTCCAGCCATCGGTTTAATCCCCATCATGACCCTGCGAGGGAGGTTAGGCGGAGACCCCGGGACCTGGCTGAACAGGATTCGAACTCAGGCCTGGTCCAGGACTCAGAGAGCGAGAGAGCAGGGGCCAGGAACCTTTTCTGTTAGATATAGTAGGTGAGAAAATTCCCCAAAAAAGAGACCAAAAATTGTTTATGTATGCAACGATGGCAGCAAGGACTCTTTTAATCCGAAAATGGAAGCAGCAGGAAAAAGATGATGGAATATGCAGAATTGGCAAAGCCGACTGGGAAAATTTGAAACCAGCTTTTCCCAAAAGACCGGAGCAAATTTGTACAATATCCGAAGGGCGATCGCAAATGATTAGCTGGGGTCGTTCTAAGGAAACTTGCAATGCTGAGGATTTGTGCCTTTTTTAAAAATTGGGATTAACGGAAAGGAGGGAAACGTATAAACGCGATGAAGTAATCATGAATTATGGAAACCGTGCGACGGGAGGGAGGGACGTCGACGGAGCAAATATGTAAGAGTATAATAAGGATTTGGTGAAATGTGATAAAATGGAAACCTAAAAAATATTATATATATAAAAAGAGAAAGGGCCAGAAAAGTTGGCTACCTCCCTCCTCTTACAAAAAGGGCTTAGAAATCTTCAGAGGGGCTTCTCCTCAGACAACTTAATCGCAAGTAGAAGCCTAGCAGGCGACAGGCAAAGTTACTGCCAGCCAGAATAAATGTGCCGTGTTTTTTCCATGTATAAGACGACCCCCAACTTTAAACTTAAAAAAATTGGGGGGGAAAGATAGTCTTATACACGGGAAAATACAGCATACCGTATTTTTCACTCTATAAGACGCACCAAACGACACACTTAGTTTTTGGAGGAGGAAAACAAGAAAAAACATATTCTGAATCCCAGAAGCCAGAACAGCAAGAGGGATCGCTGCGCAGCGAAAGCAGCCATCCCTCTTGCTGTTCTGGCTTCTGGGATAGCTGCGCAGCCTGCATTCGCTCCATAAGACGCACACACATTTCCCCTTACATTTTGGGAGGGAAAAAGGGAGTCTTATAGAGCAAAAAATACGGTATATTATTTCCGTGCGATTTGTATCTTTTATTTGTTTCACAAAATGTGCACACTGCCTGGCTGCCAAACGGGGAAAGGTAAAATAAGAATAAGAATACAGTGGTACCTCGGGTTACATACGTTTCAGGTTACAGACTCCGCTAACCCAGAAATAGTACCTCGGGTTAAGAACTTTGCTTCAGGATGAGAACAGAAATTGCATAGCGGTGGCGCGGCAGCAGCAGGAAGCCCCATTAGCTAAAGTGGTGCTTCAGGTTAAGAACAGTTTCAGGTTAAGAACGGACCTCCGGAACGAATTAAGTACTTAACCCGAGGTACCACTGTAGTAAACAACAACAAATTTAAGGTTTTGGAAAAGTTAAAATGGTGATTGTCTGGGTCGACTTGGCTTAAACAAAAATGTTTTTTTCTTAGCAGGTGCAACACTGGCACCTGCCTCTTTGCTTCATCCATTGGCAGGGAGTTCCCAAGATGCTGCCCCATTGCAAAATCCGAGTTCTTGCAGGCAGGCGGAGACGGCGTTTCGGAAACGCAAGGGAAAGGGTGTGCCGATATTGGGTGAATTTGCAGGGTGTGTCCCGCCATCCTTGCAAAGGGCAAAGTGTCGATCGCAACTGGGCGTGTGTCCCTGGGGAAATGTGCCAAGCGGGGGACAATTACTTTCTGCAGGGAGTTTGGAGACACTCCCAGGTTTCGGGATTGGCCAAGGAAATTTGGCAAAGCAAAAAGCTGATCAGATGTTGGGGTTTTTTCTTCCAAGTCCGGCACGGTCCAGGTTTTTGGGGGGTTGCTCAGCCAGAAACTCCACCGGCGAAGCGGCCTTCTGACGCACGTTCAATTTGCACGCCTTTGTCGATTCTTCCGTACGATTTATGTTGCAGTTTGCTGCATTCCTGCGTTCGTGGGAACGAAAACAAAGCCCCTTGTTTAGTATTAGGATTCGAGCTCCTGGCCTTATGCCGTGTTTAAAAAATGGTTAATACAAGGTGACCAGATTTTTTTCAATGAATCCGGGGCCACTTTCCTGCTAAATACCGGTAGATGGATTTTGTTAGGGGACTGATTTGCAAATCTGGGAACTGTCCCCGGGAAACGGGGACGTCTGTTAAACTTAGGTTAATAATAATAATAATAATAATAATAATAATAATAATAATAGTAATTGTTATTATTATACCCAGTGCTTTTCCCCCTGGGGTACCATACCCCTAAACATTTTTTGGGGACCCCCAAGAGAGTGGGGCCCTAAGCTATAGCTTGATTCATTATTAGGATTCAACCTCCTCGCCTTGTGCCTTGTTTAAAAAATGGTAAATATAAGGTGACCAGATTTTTTTCAATGAATCCGGGAACACTTTCCTGCTAAATAGATGGATTTTGTTGGGGGACTGATTTGCAAATTCGGGGACTCTCCCTGGGAAATGGGGATGTCTGGTAACCTTAGGTTAATAATAATAATAATAATAATGTTGTTTTTTATACCCAGTGCTTTTCCCCCTGGGGTACCCATACCCTTAAACATTTTTGGGGCCCCCAAGAGAGTGGGGCCCTAAGTTTTGGCTTGTTTAGTTTAGACGTAAATCTGTCACGGGAAGATGGGACGGCCAGCCTGTCTCGACGCACGTCCAGCTCTCCAGGCCAGGCACAGAGCCAGGTGTCTGCTGGACGTCTGACCAAGTGACCGTCAGGATACAAGATGTTCTGGGGGGAGGGGGCAGCGGAAAAGGGGACACTGAGTGCTTTTAATCCTTGGAAAGCTGGACACCCAGGCAGGTGTCCCCGTCCCAGACACACCTGAATCCGAAGGGACTTCGATCTGAACGGGGTGACTGTGCCCCCGAAGGACCAGGTGCGCAGCCTGGGAGTCATTTTGGACACACAGCTGTCCATGGAGGCGCAGGTCAGTTCTGTGTCCAGGGCAGATCCATCTGGGACCCAGGATGAGACCCTCCCTGCCCACAGACTGTCTCGCCAGAGTGGCGCATGCTCTGGTTATCTCCCGCTTGGACTACTGCCATGCGCTCTCCATGGGGCTCCCTCTGAAGGTGACCCGGAAACTGCAACTAATCCAGAATGTGGCAGCCAGACGGGACTGGGAGTGGAGACCATATAACACCAGTCCTGAAAGACCTACATTGGCTCCCAGGACGTTTCCGAGCACAATTCAAAGTCTTGGTGCTGACCTTGAAAGTCCTGAATGGCCCAGTAGACCTGAAGGAGCGTCTCCACCCCGGACACCGGGGTCCCTCTCCCAAGGGCTTTCTGGCAGTTCCCTCCCTGCGAGAAGCGAGGTTCCAGGGAACCAGGCAGAGGGCCTTCTTGGTGGTGGCGCCTGCCCTGTGGAACTCCCTCCCACCGCATGTCAAGGAGATAAAGAACTATATGACTTTTAGGCGACATCTGAAGGCAGCCCTGTTTAGGGAAGCCTTTAATGTTTAATAGCTTATTGTATTTTAGTGTTTTGTTGGAAGCCGCCCAGAGTGGCTGGGGAAACCCAGTCAGATGGGGGGGTATAAATAACAAATTATTATTATTATTATCGCACCCCATCCCAGGGATGGGGACCCCTCCAGAGTGATGCTGGTTCCCAACATGGGGACTGGCGTGAGTTCAGGGCCGGATTTCGGTTTGATGTGGCCCTCAGCTCCTGAAGGTAATGGGGCCCTTTATATGTCCAGTTGTCCTTTGTCAACAACAAATTGTCACTGTTTTTTGTGTTGAATATATATGGTGATTTATGGACCGCATAGGTATCTCAAGCCATTTGCACAGAACAAAATTATGTATTTTATCCAAGTAATGGTTGAACTGAAATACAATTAAGAGGACGCATATGAGTAGTGAAATAATAATAATAATTTATTATTTATTCCCCGCCCATCTGGCTGAGTTTCCCCAGCCACTCTGGGCGGCTCCCAATCAAATGTTAAAAACAATGTTAAAAATACAACGAAGAAGTATATTAATAGTGAAATAATGATTAAGCACTAACTTAACGGTGTGTTTTTTGTGTGTTGAATAGACGCTATAGGGTCATTGATCTCAAGCCATTTGCACGTTGCCGCGCAACCGGTCCATGCGGAATGTAGCCACTTGCCATCACATGAAATAATAATACGTGTAAATATAAGATGCAAACTACTAGTAATTATAAATAGCAGAATGTCAGCACCCTATATATAGAAAGGAGCAAAGCAGGAATATTTGAGGGAGCAGGCAGGGCCCATGACTTACATCCGAGGAGCCAACACAACACTAAACACGGTTCCTGGATGTAGATTTTATTTTATTTGCTTTTTATCTTATATTTTAAGGGACGCGGGTGGTGCTGTGGGTTAAACCACAGAGCCTGGGCGTGCCGATCGGAAGGTTGGCGGTTCGAATCCCCGCAATGACGGGTTGAGCTCCCGTTGCTCGGTCCCTGCTCCTGCCAACCTAGCAGTTTGAAAGCACCTCAAAGTGCAAGTAGATCAATAGGTACCGCTCCAGCGGGAAGGTAAACGGCGTTTCCGTGCGCTGCTCTGGTTCGCCAGAAGCGGCTTAGTCCTGCTGGCCACATGACCCGGAAGCTGTATGCCGGCTCCCTCGGCCAATAAAGCGAGATGAGCGCAGCAACCCCAGAGTTGGCCATGACTAGACCTAATGGTCAGGGGTCCCTTTACCTTTACCTTATCTTATATTTTGGAAAGATTTTTTCCCCCTTTAAATTTTTTGAGGGGCCCTAAGCTAGAGCTTGTTGAGCTTAGACCTAAATCTGGCAGATGTTTGCATGCAGAAGGTGCCGGGTTCGAGACCCCCCTGCCCAGAGGGCCATTTCCGCCAGTCCGTTCCAAGACGGGACCCGTTGCTGTCGGCACCTCGGGAATCAATGGAGTGTGCTTCCAGGGGTGAAGGGAAAAAGCAGAGGGACCTCTGTTTGGGGTGCAAGTCTGGGCAGGGGGTCTGGGGGTCCTGGACGGCCCAGACCCCCCCCCTCCGGTCTCGCTGGCAGGGGCCAAAAGAAAGCAGAGATTCCTGCATTACACAGGGTTGGACTAGATGACCCTTGGGTCCCTTCCGCCTCTACAATTCTACAATCCTTTCCTGAAAAATCCCAGAGCGCTGCTGCCAGCCAGTGCAGGGAGTATTGACTTAGATGGATGTTTGGACTCAGTGGGATAACAGCAGCTTCTTATCAATTTCCATTATTGACACTAGTCCTATGATCCTGGCCTGAAATCCCAGAGCGCTGCTGCCAGCCCGTGCAGACAGTATTGTATTAGATGGGTGTTTGGAGTCAGCTTCTTATCACCTTCCAATATTGATATTTAGGGCGATTTTTGAAGATTTTAACTGCACACAAAGGTTCCCCAGAAACCACAGGAGTCCCAAGTCGGGTTCAAGACCCCACCCCAGCCCTCTCCCCCCTCCTTGCAATTTTGGGCAAAAAAATCAGGACGACACAGAGTAAATTTCACAACTTTAATTTCAACACTTGTACAAAAAAGCCACAAAACCTCGTTTCCAAACACAGGTTTTTTTTGGGGGGGGGGTTGTTTCTGAAAAGGCCGCAAGTATTCTATAAAAATATGAACCGGGAAACCGGTTCTTTTGTGTAAATTCTGCACGGAGCCACAGCATATCAGGAAAATCATATTTACACATATTTACAACGTAAGGCCACTGTCCCAATGTGGGGGGAAATCAAAATACGTCCCTCCCCTGGAGACCAGCAAGCTTTGGAAAGTGGAATGCAATTTCAGAGAGAAGAAGAAGAAAACGATTTTCCTCTATTCCCCCCACGACGTCTTCGAAATGCCCAGAATTTGGGGTCTGATCTGCACCCCGAAAACCCCACACGACCCCCCAAAAAACTCATTTTCTCTGCCTTCAACAGCGCAAAGGTTCCTTTCCCTCTCCTGCCAAGTTGTTCTGACCTTCTTTTCCCCACCTTAAAAACCCACAGGGTGGATCTTCCCAGAGCGGCGGGTTCGAATCCCGTCTCTGCAAAGCTTAGTGGGGGTGGGAGATAAAATCAGGGGGGGGTCACCCCAAAACTTTCGCTCAACCCCGCAACTTGTCCCGCTGCCTGGGGAATCTCCCCGCCCTGTTTTCTCGCCCGTAGGTGTTGTCGAAAGAAAAACCGGGACTGCCGGATAGTGTCTGAATCACAAGGCAGGTATTCGCCCTTGGGGGGTTCAAGCGTCCCCATTTCCTCCTCCGTAAACCCCGCAGGATCGGTGCCGTCGGTCTGGGACACCCCAAGCCCTCGCCTCTGCCGCTTTGGGAGTCAAGGAGCCGTCTCCCCGCCGGAGCCCCTCTCCTCGTTCAGATCACGGGGTCTCCTCCTTCCTCGCCCGATCCCGTTCCCGGGAAAGCAAAAGAGATCCGTTCCAAGAGATCCGATGGCAGGTGCCTCTCAGCAGGTCATGCAACGGGGGCGGATGGCGGCGTCCGATTGAGGATTGGGATCCACCTTGGAAAAAGAGGAGGAGAAAGAGGTGTTAGCGAAGATTCGTCGAATCCTGGATGGGACCCCGGCGGTCATCTAGCCCAACCCGCTTCAAGGCACGGGGTTCGAGAGCGGAGGAGGGCGTAGCTGTCAACTGTTCCCTTTTAAAAATAATAATAATAATGATAAATTTTTATTTATACCCCGCCCTCCCCAGCCAAGACCGGGCTCAGGGTGACTAAAGGGAATTTCCCTTATTCCGAATAGGATTCCTCGCAAGAAAAGGGAAAAGTTGATAGCTATGGAGGAGGGGCAGCCCAGCAAAAGCCCACACACAGCCCAGCCTGTGCAAAAAGCCCCGAAACTCCGGGTGGTGGATTCGAATCAAGGTGATAAGCGGGTTGGGATGGATGACCGCTGGGGGTCCCACACCCAAAACAGCCTTGCTCCTTCTCAGGGCCGTGGGTTCAAATCAAGGTCCCTGCGTGATAAGCGGGTTGGGATGGATGACCGCTGGGGGCCCACACCCAAAACAGCCTTGCTCCTTCTCCCCACCAGCGAGACGGCCAAGCACGGCCAACCACCTTTCAAACCCCAGGGTTTCTAGTCCTCAGTAAGCTCACCTCGGAATAGAGCGGAGGCGGCCGGAAGCGGAATTCCTGGATGTAGGCGAAAAAGGGCCCTTCGAGGATGCCAGGGGGGCCGTTGTCCTGGGCGGGCGGCGAGAGGGTCTCCAGGGGTCCCTCGCTGGACACGACGGAGGAGTATTCGGGAGGAGCTGCAGAGAGAGCGCAAGGGGAAGAGTTACGGGGTTGCTTGGAGCAGGTTCTATTTTATTCTATTTTATTCTATTTAGGGACCCCGACTTTTTCACCTCCCCAAGGCGGCTTGGCACACCTGGTTGTTCCTCCTCCTCACAACATCCCTGCCAGGTGGGATAAGCCTAAAGCCTAAAGCAACCAGGATGCTGTCGGACTACAATTCCCATCATCCATGGTCCCGCCGGCTATGGATAATGGGAGTTGTAGTCTTTTTTTTTTAAAAGTTCTTTACATAAAGCTATTTTACAAGAAAAGTTTTACAGATAGATAGGTTTCCAGTCTTTACACAGGTTTTTTGTATATGCAGTTATTTCGTAAAGTTGCTTTATAAAGTCCCCTTTATGAAAATCATTTTTCAAAAGTTCTTTATATCAAATCATTTTTTAAAAAAAGTTCTTTATATAAAGCTATTTTATAAGAAAAGTTTTATAGATAGATAGATATAGATAGATAGATAGGTTTCCAGCAACTTTACACAGGTTCTTTGTATATGCAGTTATTTCGTAAAGTTGCTTTATAAAGTCCCCTTTGTAAAAATCGTTTTTTAAAAGCTCTTTATATAAAATCGTTTTTTTAAAAAAGTTCTTTATATAAAGCTATTTTGTAAGAAAAGTTATACATATATATATGGAGAGAGAGGTTTCTGGTCTTTCCTAAAAGACTCCAAATTTGTATCTTTTCTCGATAGGTGCCGATGGGTCTACTCTTGAGTAGGACTTAGCTGGCGAAAACCCTCTGCAACACATGCACAATGTATAAGATTGCCTGGCAAGGTTTTTGACGGGGTTCTTACCCTCGGGCTCTTCGGGAATTCCCATCCGGACCCAATCCAGACTGACGCTGTACTGGCTGCTGACGCTGGAGGTGCGGCTGCCAAAGGGGTGCAGGGGGATTGTGCCAATGACCAGAGGCAGTTCCAGGAACAGCTTCGACGTCCCCGGGATTTCGATGCAGACCTGCCGGGCGGACGAAAAACAGGGGAATTTTTAAATATAAAAACGAAATCATGGCCTCCTTCGTCTCACGGAGCCCCGAGAGCGACGGATCCGCTGCAGAAAATGAGTTCCCCGCTCTGAGAATTGCAGAGAATCAGTGCTGAAAACATAAAATCAGAGAGTTGGAAAGGGACCCGAGGGTCATCTAGTCCAACCCCCAAACCACCGGGTGTAGGGCGGTATATAAATTCAGAAAATACTGTATTTTTCCGTGCATGAGACTATATTTCCCCCCAATAATAATAGTACCGGAACGGGTTACTTCTGGGTTTCGGCGCTTGCGCATGTGCAGAAGCACTAAATTGCACTTTGCGCATGCGCAGGAGCACCGAATTGCAGCCCATGCGTGTGCTTCATGTTGCGAACATGGACTCCGGCATGGATCACGTTTGCAACCCGACCTTCCACTGTATTATTATTATTTTTATTAGAATTTAAATACCGCCTTATACCCTCGGGATCCCTTCCAACTCTCTGAATATCCCAAGTCCGAACTCTCCAAAAACCCAAATCGGAAACCCCAGTGAGCTTTGCTGCCGGCCTGTGTTGGTGACACCGGACGGAGCAAGCAGCCTCCAATGGCTCTCCGCGTCCCCCCTGGAACCACAGAGAGTCCCCCCAGCAGAGGTTTTGGGGGTTTTCCAGGACCTCCCTCCCCACGCTGTATTGGCTGCTGATGCTGGAGGTGGCTCCGACCACTAGGCTTTGCTGCCGGCCCGTGTCAACGACGCTGGATGGAGCAAGCAGCCTCCAATGGCTCTCCGCACCCACCCTGGAACTGCAGATGTTTCCAGGGGGTTCCCAGCACCTCCCTCCCATGCCAAGCTGGCTCCGACCACTAGGCTTTGCTGCCGGCCTGTGTCAGCGACACCAGACGGAGCAAGCAGCCTCCAATGGCTCTCCGCTCCGACCACTAGGCTTTGCTGCCGGCCTGTGTCAGCGACAGCAGACGGAGCAAGCAGCCTCCAATGGCTCTCCGCTCCGACCACTAGGCTTTGCTGCCGGCCTGTGTCGGCGACACCAGACGTAGCAAGCAGCCTCCAATGGCTCTCCGCACCCACCCTGGAAACCCTAGAGGGTCCGTCCCCCCCAGCAGAGGTTTTTGTGTGTTCCCCTCCCTGGCCGCTCCGCCCACTAGACCCTACTGCCCCCTTGGCTCACCTTGAGGGCGTACTCAACATGGATGACGCGGCACTGGAGGATGGAGGGTCCCACGGGGGGGATCTTGAGGGCCCGGCCGTGCCACACCTCCCTCTTGCCGGCCGCGATGGCGTCGCCCACCATGGAGGCCACCACCGACTTCTTCTGCTTCTTGGTGCCGCGCGCCACAAAGGTCTGCGTCTGGATGATGGCCGCCTTGGGCACCACCGTGCGGGTGGTGCAGTTGTCGATCTCAGCAAAGATGGGGATCACCTCGCCTGTCAAGGAAATGGGCGCAACGCTGCGTTGGTGGGAGCAGGAAAACACACGTGGCAAACCCCTTTTTTGGGGGGGGCACCATGTTCCTAAAGCCAGGAAAACTTAGCCGGGCTCCCTCTATAGATTTCCCACTTTTTATTACACTGTGAGCACCAGTAATGCAAAGGTTGCGGGTTCGAGACCCGCTGCGTCGCAGCGGGTTGGACTAGATGACCCGCAGGGTCCCTTTGCAACGCTACGATTCTGCGATTTGACGTTTTTATCGCCGTTCTGCAATGTGTTTTTAAGGTTGCAAACTGCGCCCTGGGAACCGCTGATATAGGGCAGTACGTAGTAATAATAATAATAATAATAATAATAATAATAATAATAAAATTATTATTAAGACATCTGAAAAAATCAGGGAAGTTTTCAATGTTTAAACTTTTATTCTCTTTTTAATGCTCCATTGAAAGCAGCCCAGAGTGGCTGGGGAAACCCAACCAGATGGGCAGGGTATAAATAATATATTTATTATTATTATTATTATTATTATTATTATTATTGTTACTACTACTACTACTACTATTATTAAATCGCAATTGGCTGTACTTTTGGGAAGTGAGGAAATCTCTTGTGGGGAGCGAAGGGCTGCCAGCCAACTCTCCGTCCTTGGAGTTTTTTTAACGGGGGCTGAGCAGCCAGGGATTCGCGAGCCACGACGCCTGCATTTTCAGGGGGTCAGGCTGGATGACCACTGGGTGGCCCCGATGGTTCGACGCAACTGCGTTTCCGCAGGGCCACCGGCAGATTCCCCGCATGCCAACCCTGGAGGCCACAGAGTCAAGTGCCCTGGGTCCTCTGGCCGATGGGCTGAGCTTTGCCATAAACCCCACACACCCCGATTTCCGCTTCTAGGGGCTGCCCCCCACGACTCACCTGGGGTGTAGCCTTTCCGGTCAATCTTGGCCGAGACAGAGACCAGCCCTCGGTTGCAATACCAGGCGCGCGCCAGCTTCTCCTTGGCACCGGCTTGCGGAGCCTGATGGGCAGAAGCAGAGAAGGAAGACAAATTATTATTATTATTAAATCCATTTTCCAGATTAAAATTCGCATCACAACATAATATATAAAAGCGAGAGGCCCAAGAATCTCCTGGACTTTCCCTCCTCCTCATATTGTTAATCCTTTCCTTCTGCATCCAAATTTTAATATCTCCATTATGTCCAAAGGTCATCGTTACACTACAAGTATTATTCCAGAAGATATTATTATTATTATTATTAAAGGCAAAACGTCCCGGGTTCAAAAAGGGCTGGGAATAGCCCTTCTGAGCAGGAAAAAAGGGAGACCCAACATTGCCAGGCAGCCACAGAATTGCAAAACCGGCATTATTTTTCCCCTTTTTCAATGTTATTTTGATTACGTTAGACCTTTAAACATTTCTCTCCTGCCTTTTGCAATCTTCATTTTCACCTTAGAATATGTGGTCAGTTGTTTTCTTTAATCTCTTTTTGTAAATTCCGAAAATGCAATAAAGTGTGTGTGTGTGTGTGAATTTCAAAACTTGAAGGAACCCCAAGGTTCATCTAGCCTGACCCCATAATTTGCCCTGCGCGGGGCTCAAACCCGCGACCCCGAGGGTCCTCACGCCCTACCGGCTGAGCTATCCCGAAGTCGGGGAATCGGTCGCAGAATTGGAGACTCGCAAGGGACCCCTGGGGGTCATCCAGCCTGACCCGGATGTTGCAGGGGTAGCACTGAGCGAAGGGGGTTCGGTTTAAGGCCGGGTGCTTCCCCTGGTTCCTAATTCGACCCAAATCCCTCCCCAAACCGCTTTGCCAACTCACCAGTAACGCCGGCGTGTTGATATCGATGGGCTCGATAATGGTGAAATCCTTTTTGGCTTTCTTGACGGAGGACCAGGGACGGTGGAGCTTGGCCTTCACCCAATAGCGAACGCTCCCATGTTTTCCCTCGAAGGAGGTGGCCAAGGATCTGTCAAGGGAAAGGAAGTATGAAAAACGAGGCCTAATAATAATAATAATAATAATATATTATTTATACCCCACCCATCTGGCTGGGTTTCCCCAGCCACTCTGGGCAGCTTCCAGCAAAATATGAAAATACAATAATTTATCCACTATTAAAAGCTTCCCTAAACATTTTCCTCCTGCGAGTCTGGAACCCAACCCAAAATATCTTGCATTTCGTTCCGTTTCACTTTTAATTTGTGCCTTTTTATGTGATGACACACAAGGCAGTTTAAGTCAACCAAACGTACAAGAAAGAACAGGCGCCGTAATAAGACGTCGCTTTAAGATGGAACGGTTCCCATCAAATAAAGGAATATTCCATTATCTATTAGGAGACAATAGCACCCAGTAAAACTGACTCTCAAAACATCGGCAGATGTTAAGCCTCAATAAAAAGGGAACTTTAAAATGAAACGACTCGTCTCAAATAATAAAGGAACATTCCATAATCTGTAATAGGACCCGATAAAATTAGCTCCCAAAAGACTATAATAGCTGGACAGAAATTCACTCCTGACAATAAATAAATTACTAAACTACAACCAAGAAAAGTCACAAGGCATAAAATAACACACAAAACCACGTAAAAGGATCACGTTGAGAAACAAAGGCGCTTAACTTATAAAACTATTTTTTTAAAAAAAAATCCGGGTCGGTCTTTTGTACTGGGATTTGAAGTTCTTTTTATGTATGAAATTGACCGAATTCGTTTCATAGAGTTGGAAGGGATTCAAAGGTTCATTCTGTACCCTCCAGAAATACCTGTGGGGGCACCAGGTTGGGCAAAAGGCTGATAACGAAACGATAATCATAATAAATGCAGCGGGGACATGGAATGGCGTCCGCTGCGCTGACATGCAATGGTGTATAGGTTTTTGCCACAAGGTGCCCACAAATCAAATAATAAGAATAATAAGAATAATAGTATTTTTAAGAAGTGTTTGACTTACTCTGGCAGCTGGAAAGTAAAAGGGAATTCGTGTCGTCCGGCCTGAAGGACGGTGACGTCTCCGTTGTCTGTTGGGAAAACAAGAAATAAAGAAAGTTGAAACGAATAACAGACCTTTTAAAAAAAGAAGATGTTTTTCTGGAGCTGTTTTCCTGCAGCGGTCAAACGAGGGAAATTCAACACAACATCCACCCTCAGCCAAAAAGCATGTGACTTTTTTTGGCTCCCCATAAACAACCGGGGAAAGTTCACGCAGACACAGTGAAAAGACACAAAAGGAAGGTATTGCACAACTATATTTCTCTCTCCCCACACAAATATATTCAGTTCCTACAGCCCAGGTGCCCTACAAAGGGGAGTTTTTAACAGAAGGTGCCCCCTCCAGAACTGAAAATATGCCCCAAGATATCCCAGGGGGTCTTGCAAGAGTCTGGCATTATGTAAGCGCCCGGCTACCAGGAATAGAATCGGCTGTGGCAAAATCTTAGAAAGTTGAGCCAAGGTCAGCAAGGCCAGAGGGGGGTCCCAAAAGCCGGCAGCCGCTAATTTACCCCCTGGAAAGCTGCAAACAAGCATCCCACCCCGATTCAAGAAACCTGAAAATCCTGTTTTCCAAAGGCAACTGGCCTTTCTTAAGGGAAAGCTGGGCCAGAGCATGCAAAAGAATCATAGAACTGTTGGGAGGGGACCCTCAAAGGTCATCCAGCTCAACCCCCGCCATGCAACGTGGAAGGATGGCAAAACGGTTCGTCTTCTGCCGGTAGGGCAACTGCCCTGCATGCAGAACGACCCAGATTCAATTTCCAGATGTGGGGGGATGACTCCTTGCCTGGAAATCTCAGAGAGCTGCGACTGCCAGCCTGTGTGGGCAATAAAGGTGGGCTTCATATAAGGCAGCTCCCTATTTATTCAGGGTCCTGCTCTGTTTTTAAGGCCCACAGCTCAGCGGTTAGCGGGTGCAGAAGGTCTCCAGCTCAGGCAAACCCTCTACCGACCGTGCAGGGACCTTTTGCCCAGCGCGAAACTCGAACCCACCACCCCGAGAGTCTCCTGCTCTCAGGAAGCAGGAGATATGTTGAGGTGCCTGGACCACGAGAGCCTGACTTGTGAGGCTCTGGGGTTCTCTAAGCAGCGGCAGCCCTGTCGGAGGGCTGCTGCCAGCCAGTGCTGGCACTACAGAGCCGGGTCCAAAAACAGCTTCCCTGTCGAAAACTCCTCTTTAGGAAGTAGCAGAGCCGCTGCCCTGCTGAGTCGGCCCTGCTGAGGTAGAGAGGCTTCGCAAACAACGTGGAGAGAAACAGACTGGGCGCTTGAGCGGCGCTCCCGAGGAGGGGAGAGCGCTGCCAGCCCGTGTCGGCCCTACAGAGCTGGCTGGACAAGCAGCTTCCCTTTGGAAAAAAGGAGTTTTCCACGTTGCATTAAAAACTCCGCCGAGGCGGAGAGGCTTTACAAGAGAGAGACGGATCGCGCCGGGCAAGCAGGCGCGCCGGGCTCCCGCGGAGCGCAGGGAGGAGAGCGAGATTACGCACTCTGCCCGCGCTCAGAGGACGCCTTACCTGGCGGGGCCAGGAGGGTCTGCCGGTGACTGAGGAATTCCACCTGGTCGCTGTAGCTCTGCGTGTAAGCGGTGCTGGATCCGGCGCTGCGAGACTCGGTCCAGTGGACTTTGGCCGCGCCTTGCGCATGCAGATGGAGCGCACCCAGGCGCGCAGTGCCGGACAGCTCCAGCACCACGCGGCCGGCCACGCTCTCCCCGGAGCTGAAGACCGGCGGCGAGGCCACCTCGGGGCAATCCAGCTCCACCGAAAGGCGTTTCACACGGTCAAAAAGCATCCTGGCAAACTCGCGTGTCAATGAGCCTCTGCGGCTGTTCTGAGCGCACTGCGCCGCGCGTAAAGCTTTTTCAAGGCTCTCCAAACCGCGCCCCCTGGATCCCAGCGCCCTATGGGCGCAGGCGGGGCGGGGCGCGGCAAAAAGTCCTCCCCCAGAACCCCCCATCCACCCCCCTTCTTCCCACCCCCAATGCCCCCAGGTCTGGCCGGCAGCTGCAGGCTTTGGCGAAAACAAGGCAGCGAGCATGCGCGCCCAGGCCGGTCACTTTTGGATAGACTGGAGAGATAAACTTTCCTCCAGTTGGGCAGGGAAGGGAAGGCAAACAGAAAGCTGAAAAGCCTGAGCCAACAGACAGATATCCATCTCTCCCTCTCTCGTTTATTTATTTTTCAATTTGTTGGTTCTATTTGTATCACAATTTAGAAACGTTTCCATTGAATTTGGGGGGTTTGTAGCGCCGCGTAAAGTTACAAAAGGCAAACGCAAATTGCCCAACGGAAAAGCCGCTTGCGAAGCTATAATTCACCCTCCGACGCACGGCTGTCAATGTATTTATTCTTTCGTTCCTTCCATTTATAAACCGCCCTTTGTCAAGATTAAATCGGGATTAAACAACGAAACAGCAGCCAGTAAGGAAACATATACAGTAAGAACTATTTCAGTGCCAGTTAAAACCTTCGAGAGAATAATTTACTGTTGGCCCCTTATTTTGGGCTTAATGAACTGAAATGATAGAATTCCAGAGTTGGACAGGGACCCCTTGGGGTCATCCAGTCCAACCCCCTGCAATGCAGGAATATTTGGCCCCATATGAGACTCGAACCCAGGACCCAGAGATTAAGTTACGCCAATGGGGACGTTTTGCACACCAAGCTCTGCTCCTTCGAAAGACACTAAGAGTCTGGTCCTCATGTTTTACGGCCACCAGAAACAGCACAAGGATTGAATCAACAAACAAGCGTTTGCGACGGGTAGTTTCCATTGTGAAGAAATGCAAGCAAAATGCAGAGCGTTGTTAACTTTTGCAACTCACCGCTGCTTGTTCCCGCATCACGGGGGTTGGGCTGGATGACCCCCCCGGGGTCCCAACTCTGCAATTCTACCATTCAATTGCAGCTGTTAAGTAACCGACACTTAAATCTGATTTTTTCCCCAGAGGGCTGTCTCAAGAAGACCATCTCCTCTTCTTGCGTAATTCCCAGCTGGATCCCTGGCCTGGAACATAGGACAACTGGCCCATCTGACTCAATATTGCATGCACTGACCGCCAGCAGCGGCTTCCTGGGGTTGCTGATTCAGGCGTATCTCCCAGCTATGCCTAGAGACTGAACCTTCTGCATTCAAAGCAGGTGTTCTAACCCTTTCCTGGAAAACTAAGATTGCCTCTTACTGAGTCGGACAAGGGGGACCTCAGAGGTGCCTACACTGACTGGCAGCAGCAGGCAAGGGGATATTCCCAGACGCCTGTGTAGGATTGAGCTGCGCCACCAACATGTGCCAAGCGGCCTGCACATTTGAATTCGCCCCCCAACCCGCTTTCCGCCCCCCGACCTCCTGACCTGGGCCTGCCCTAGATTCCCTCCCCCAGTCATTTGGTCCTGGGCCAGCGGGCTTTGGAAAGAGACGAAAGGTGTTCCCGTGTTTCTCTGCCGGCGGGCAGGGCAGCTAATCTGGGGCATACGGGGTGTGCCTCTGGGCCCACGTCAAACTCCGTGGGAGACAGGGGAACTCCTGGCCTCATGGGGCTGAATTGCGCCGGCCGGAAAACCCATGAGAAAGGAGATCCCGTATTTTCTTTAAAGAAAATACTGAAATATACATTTCAATATACATATTCATACTGAAATATACATTTGTTAAAAAACCAGAAGCATTTCTATTAGGAATATTAGGTGGTGAAATAAAAAGGAACGATCAGAAAGTATTTCTGTATGCAGTAACAGCAGCCAGAACTCTTTTGGCCCAGAAATGGAAACAAGAAGAAATGCCTACGATTGAAGAATGGAGATCGAAATTAATGGATTACGCGGAACTGGACAGATTAACAGGGAGGATTCGCAACCGACGAGACCAAAGATTCACTGATGACTGGAGTAAATTTACAGACTATATTAAAAATATTTGTGATAATGATATAACGTTTGAAAGTTTTCAAGAAGCTCTGTAAGAAGATTTGGGAGAAATATTGTTTAAACAGCATGGTAAGATAAGATATATATAGTGCAATATAAATTAAGAAATGTGAAGATTTGTGATAATTACGGAAAATTATCAGACATGTTGATGGAAGTCTAAACGAAAGAAAGGTATGTGATGAGTTTTTGATGTTTAATGATGTTATAAATTTGTTTTTATTGGAAAATTAATAAAAATTATATATATATATTGAAAAGAGAGAGGAGATCCCGATGGCAAGAGCTGTTTGATGGCGGAATGGACTTCACCGCACGCTGGTTTTGCCGGAGGTTTTTTGGTGGATTCCTGCATTGCACGGGGTTGGGCTAGATGACCTTTGGAGGTCCCCATCAAACTTGACAGCTCTGTGATCCTAGTCTAATTCCTCTCTCTCCAGCTTCTTGCAAAGCCCAACTGGCCCAGGGCGAAAATGTAAAATCTCGGGGGGGCTGCAAGCAGACAGCAAGGGGGGTAGGGGTCCCCGAAATCCCCTTTTCGGATCCCGCCAGTGTCCTGCTCCCAGCCTGAGAAGATTCCTAGCCAGATCTCTCATGCCCTGCGGCGTTTATGCACCTCCGACCCCTGCAGGCAGCGTTGCACAGTGGTTAGAGTGCTGGCCCGTTAGGACCTGGGAGTGAGACCTGGGTTCGAATCGCCACCGAAGCTTCACTGGGCGGTCTTGAGGCCTCTCTCTGCGGGGAACTCAGCTAAAGCATCCAGGGCAGAATAAATGAATCAGGTAGACTGCGGCGATCTGTGGAGGCTCCATCATGCACTGCCAGAGAAAGGATGAGCCAGGAAAAAAGTATTTCCAGGGGAAAACAGGACCAAGAGGGGTAGAAAACAACAACAGCAACACAGAAAACGTTTTGTTTGGCGCAGAAGGGGCAGTCCTTGGCACCAGAGCAAAGGGAGCTGGAGCCATCTGTCCCCTGGCACCGTCTTCCACCGACTTTGCTGACCCCTCCTGGCCTCAGCTGAGAACTAAGTTCGAATCCCGTCACGTTGTGGTTGCAAAGGACAACGGTGACGCTTAGTGGCTCAAAAAGGAACAGCGTCGGTCAACAGAGTTACCAAAAACCAACCAGAAGATGTTTTTGCTAAATTGGGCTTAGCAAATACAGTGGTCCCTTGGTTCTCAGACTTGATCCGTTCCGGAAGTCCGTTCCAAAACTAAAGCGTTCCTAAACCAAGGCGCGCTTTCCCATAGGAAGTCATGCAAAACAGATTAATCCGTTCCAGACTTTTAAAAACAACTCCTAAAACAGCAATTGAACATGAATTTTACCATTGATCCATAAAATGAAAGCAATAAAATAAATAAGATCCTAAGCAACTTAAGGTAACGGGGCCCTTTAATTGTCCAGCTGTCCTTTGTCCACAACAAATTGTCGCTGTTTTTTGTGTGGAATATATGCTATATGGTATTTTATGGATCTCATAGGCATCTCAAACCATTTGCACATCACAAAATATGCATTTTATCAAAGTGATTGTTGAACTGAAATACAGTTAAGAAGAAGTTTATCAATAGTGAAATAATGATGAAGCTCTAACTTAAAATGATTTTTGATTCCTAACAAACTGAATAATGCAAACATTGGCATTTGGCAAGAACAAAAGTTCCTTTGGAAACACAATTGACAAAGACTCCTCATCTAGTCTCTAGATACTTGCTATAATGTGAAATAATAATAGCTGTAAAGATATGATGCAAACTACTAAGAATGATAAATAGCAGAATGCAGGCACCCCATATATAGAAAGGAGCAAAGCAGGGATATTTTAGGGAGCAAGCTAGCAGGCGGGGCCCATTACTCACATCCTAAGAGCCGACACAACACAAAACACTGTTGCTGTAGGTAGGTTTTATTCCATTTGTTTTTCATCTTATATTTTGGAAATGTACATCCAGTTTTTTCCCCTTTAAATTTTTTGGGGGGCCCGCAAGAGAGTGGGGCCCTAAGCTAGAGCTTGTTTAGCTTATACGTAAGTCTGGCACTGGCATAGATAGATAGATAGATAGATAGATAGATAGATAGATAGAAAGATAGATAGATATTTTGGAAATGTACATCCAGGTTTTTTTCCTTCAATTCTTTTTGGGGGCCCCCAAGAGAGTGGGGCCCTAAGCTAGAGCCTGTTTAGCTTATACGTAAATCTGGCACTGCCCGAACCCGTGGCTTCAAGCCTCAAGAAAGGAGATTTCGAGGCCCCTCCCAATTCTATGATTCTGCCACCGGTCAGGGTGGGCCATATGGGCCTGCCTAAATGGGCAAATATGCCCAGCGATTTTGCGCCAGGAAGCGTCGCCAAGCAGTTATCAGCCGAGTCGTGCCGCATCCAAGCAGCAGCGAGGAGCTTCGGCGTTTACCGAGCTGGTTCTGCGTTCGAGTGTCGCTGAGTAAACAGCGTCTCTGAGATCCCCAGAAGGGTTTCGCTGCCTGGAAATGGGTCTGGCAGCTGTGAAAAGGCCAAATTCCACCCTCGCGAGATCCTGAGCAAGGGAACTGGAAATAAAACTGCCAATATATATTGCATATTTCACTTCCAATGTTTTCTTTTGAAATCTTTACGATGTTTGTTCCCTTCGCCGCATCAAATGTGTATCCTGCGACCGACTTCCTTTGCAATGTTTTATTTGGAATGCTTTAGTTTCCTGTTAATTTTGTTGCTTTGAATGTGCTTTCTATACCCAACTTTCTTCGGGAAAGTTTGGGTGCGGATTGTTTTATCTGGTGTTTTAGTGTGTTGTGAACCGCTGTGAATTGTCATAACAAGGCGATGATTGGATTGTAATTGAAAACGAATAACAATTATAATAAAAATAATAATAAAATATCCCCCCAAAAGAGCAAGGAGACGGAGATCTGCCGGGTTGCGAGTGCGGGAACCCCTCTCAAATTATATAGGTGCCCGAGCTCTCGCCAAATTCCCCACGAAGAGGCCGCACACCTGCAAATTTCTGCGCCAGGGCCCTGCACCCCACATGGCACCCACAGATTTCTGCGCCAGGGCCTTGCGCCCCGTGTGGCACCCACAGATTTCTGAACCAGGGACAGGCACCCCACGTGGCACCCACAAATTTCTGCGCCAGGGCCTTGCGCCCCACGTGGCATCCACAGATTTCTGCGCCAGGGCCATGCATTTTGTGTGGCACCCACAGATTTCTGCGCCAGGGCCGTGCACCCTGCGTGGCACCCACGACGGCAGTGCCAAGCCTGCTCTCCTGCCCTCTTACCTGGGATCAGGTGCGTCTTCCTTCTCAGGTAAGTCTGGAAGGCCGTGTAGTCGCTGTAGATGGTGTTCATGCCAACGCTCTTGCCCTCCAGCCAGTGGGCAGTGGCCAGGCCACGGGCGCAGACGGCCAGCGCTCTCACCTTTATGTTGTTTTGTTGTTGTCAACATTTTATGAATTTCCCACAAATAACAGAAATGAAAAGAAAAAACAACAATACAAAATCATCCCAGAACGAAAAAACGCACATCATAAAACAATTTTTAAACCATATTTTTTTTTGCACCTCTCCCCTTCCACTGTTTTATGCCTGTTCCTGCAGGTCCATAAAATCTTATCCAGTTTCAAAACCTCCTTCACCTTCTTACAAGTGACTTTTGAAAGTTACACTGATGTGGAAATTTATACGCAAAGCTTAAGAAACACGCATTAAACATTTGCCTTTTTAAAACAACACAACACAACAACACAACAACACAACACAACACAACACAACACAACACAACTAAGACCTCTTTCTTCCTTGGGGTTTAAATTATCTCATTTCTCCTGCATAGTTCCATAATTTATTTTGCCTGTCTTTTTTTACTCTATAAATCCATCAACTCCTGTAGATCCCAATAGCATAACTTCAGGGTTTTTAAAATAAAAATAATTTCCAGCATTCTCTCACCTTGACCCTCTTGGCGACGTCCAGCACTACTTGCCCGGAGAGGACCTCTCCGCCCCGGTAGACGGTGCCACCGCCGGGGTGGCCGTCCAGCTGTACCGCGAAGCCCCTCACCCGGGTGAAGGGGTGCATGGCAAAAAAGGGGGTGCCCCTCTCGCCAGGGAGCCCCGTGGGACGGTGCCTGGCTGGAAGCTGGCAGAAACCCTCAGAAAGGGGCAAATTTGGGGGCAGCAGCTGCTGCTGCTTTGGGGCAAACTGGGCTCCAACCGCTGCGCCCTCGGACAGCGCCCGGGCTGAACTGACAGCGACAGGCAAGGAGAGGGGAAGACCTTTGCCAAGACCCCTCCCTCTGCCCCCTTCCCTTTCCAAAGCCCTCCTCCTCCTCCTCCTCCTCCTTCAAGGGAGCGTCTTAAAACTACAGGAGCCGGAGAGGCGGCTCCGGGGTGCCAGCTGCCGCAAAGCCCAAGGCAGGAGGGGGCCCTGAGTTCGAATCCTGGTCCCTTTGGGGTGGGGTTTCCCTTTGGCACAGCCGTGGGTTTTTTGTGGATCGACAAAAGGGGGCGGGCGCTTAGAGCCAAAGCATTGAAAGGAACCCAATTGACGGTAAATATAACAAGAAAATGCGCTTTTTAAAATTTAAAAAAAAAACTCGTTTCTGCCACTCGAATCCGGGGCTGAATTTCCTCTTACATCCCTCCCGCAAAACGCTCTTGTGGCGGGCGGGCATCCTCAGTCGGTAGAGCACGAGACTCTGAATCTCGGGGTTGTGGGTTCGAGTCCCGCATCGGGCAAAAAATAATAATCCTGCATTGCAAGGGGTTGGGATGGATGACCACGCGGGGTCTCCTTCAACTTTACGCACTCTTCTCTGGGCCCCTCGCTCTGACATCAGCTCAGCTGCTGCGACGTTGGCAGAGGAGAGGCGGTTTACAGGAAGAGGAAACTTTCTCCAAAAAATTGGCAGCGCCCTTATCTCCGAGCTGCAGGAGCGGCTAGCGGGGCGAAAATAAGCCCTGGGACGTGCGGAAGGAGGCGGTGGGGGTGGGGCACACAGGCAGAGGGAACATCGGTTTTTCACATTCCTTCCCTGCCATGCCCGCCCTTGCCATGGGGCCGGGTTCTGCGAAGGCGCGTTTTTGCGCAAGAGGAGAATTTGTGGCTTCGGGGTTTGGGTGCGAAGGAGGGGGAAAAACGAAGGCGAGAAACGACAAGGGGTCGCCCCGCTCCCTGCTGCCGGGGGACAGAAGCCAGGGGTCGGGTTTCAGCCCTAGGGATGCGGCGGAGAGCTTCGGGGGCTCGGGAATAGAAGGAGTTTCCTAGAAGTACGTGGAAACAGGACCTCAGGGTCTTGGTCTGACACACTCAGGGTCTCACACACTTCCCTGGGTCTCACGGATGCCAAACACCTAAAGAGATTTACAGGACTTCTTGGTGGACCACCGTGTGACGCTGCAGCAAAATAGGCTAACGCTATTCTGTGAAATGGGACACAGGTGTCGCTGTGGGTTAAACCACAGAGCCTAGGGCTTGCCGATCTTCGAATCCCCACAATGACGGGGTGAGCTCCTGTTGCTCAGTCCCTGCTCCTGCCAACCTAGCAGTTTGAAAGCACGTCAAAGTGCAAGTAGATAAATAGGTACCACTCCGGCGGGAAGGTCAATGGCGTTTCCGTGCGCTGCTCTGGTTCGCCAGAAGCGGCTTAGTCCTGCTGGCCACATGACCCAGAAGCTGTACGCTGGCTCCCTCGGCCAGTAAAGCGAGATGAGCGCCGCAACCCCAGAGTCGTCCGCGACTGGACCTCATGGTTAGGGGTCCCTTTACCTATTCTCTGAAATGACCTTAACAGATTGGAGAAGTGGGCGCAAGCTAACCAAGCAAGTTTCCGCAGGGACAAAGGTCAGGTTCCGCGCTTAGGCAGGAAGAAGCAGATGTAGAAATGCTGGATGGGGACACCTGGCTCACTAGCAGGACATGTGGAAAGGATCGAGGGGTCTGGGTGGACCACAAGCTGAACGTGAGCCCACCGTGTAATGCAGCGGCGAAAAAAGCGAATGCTATTCTAGGCTGCATCCGCAGATGTCTAGTGTCCAGATCAAGGGAAGTCATTTGTTGTTGTTGTTTAGTCATTTAGTCGCGTCCGCCTCTTTGTGACCCCCTGGACCAGAGCATGCCAGGCCCTCCTGTCTTCCACTGCCTCCCGCAGTTTGGTCAGACTCATGTTCGTAGCTTCGAGAACACTGTCCCACCATCTTGTCCTCCGTCGTCCCCTTCTCCTTGTGCCCTCCATCTTTCCCAACATCAGGGTCTTTTCCAGGGAGTCTTCTCTTCTCCTGAGGTGGCCAAAGTCTTGGAGCCTCAGCTTCAGGATCTGTCCTTCCAGTGAGCACTCAGGGCTGATTTCCTTCAGAATGGAGAGGTTGGATCTTCTTGCAGTCCATGGGACTCTCCAGAGTCTCCTCCAGCACCAGAATTCAAAAGCATCCATTCTTCAGCGATCAGCCTTCTTGATGGTCCAGCTCTCACTTCCATACATCACTACTGGGAAAACCATAAGTGACCATACAGCATATATTCAACACAAATTCTGCATGGACTGGTTGCAGGGCAACATGTGCAAATGGCTTTAGATACCTATTAGGTCCATAAATTAGCATATATTCAGCACAAAAAACAGCGGCAATTTGTTGTTGACCAAGGACAGCTGGACATAGAAAGGGCCCCATGACCTTCAGGAGCAGAGGGCCATATCAAACCTCAATCCGGCCCTGGATGTGAGCACTCAAAATATCCCGCCCACCTTGCCTAACAGTAGAACCGGCTCTGAACGGCAGCAGCGAGGCCGAAAACAAATGAATTGAGGTGGTCAAAAGGCGAAATAGAGATATGGGGTTTATTCGGTCAGGCAGATGTTTGCAGGGATGATTTTCTTCCGGAGGGAATAATTCGGCAAGGTTCCCAGGGGGAGGCTGCTTCTCTGGTTGTCCCCCACCACCAGGGTGATGGGGCCTCCGTACTTGTTGGTGTAGGCGTCTTTCTGCTCCGTGCTGAACCAGCGCCGGTCCTTCCAGGGGTGGACCAGGTGGGAATACTTAATCTGGGAAGGAGAGAGAGAGAGAGAGGGAAGGAACTTAAAGCAGGAATGGAGAGAGCTTGCTTGTTCAGGCTGTCGCAGGAACCCCACCCCCCAATCATTCAGTTTGTACAAACTTCACACACACTCACACACTACATACGCTACGCTTCTGTTATAAATTCATAGAAAATCAACCATACATCGGATTTGCACTGTTCCACTTTTATTTTACTCCATGAAGGAAGGACTACAAAATGGGGAAGGTTTGATACAGGGCAGCCACAATCCCTTCTGCATACCAGCACATCCACAGGAGCCCTGCCCAGTTGCTATGCCAACCCTGATGGTCCCAGACAGAAGACCATCAAGATGTATGTATGATGTTTCTGGGGGTGGTCTTGATCTACAGGGTGGCAATTTCAAAAGTTTTTATAAGGCCTTGCACACCATTTTTTTCCTGGGTCCCTCCTCTCTCCTGCAGGTGAGGGAGCACCCTGTTGCAACAGATCAATAAAGGCCAAGCCTACAGGCTGCTGTTTTGCTCCAAGTTATCCTGGTTGGTGTCTTTGTTTTTGTCCAAGGGAGCCCTCGGATTTTTCCGTTAACAGGGCCAACAGCCCATCTAGGGGGCTAGTCCTCATGGTTTGAGTTGGCACCCTGGCTGGCTGGACGCTAAGGTGCTTCCTGACCTTCTGTAGCTCCTCCTCAGGGACCTGGCACTTCGCCTGGTGGTAAGGAACCAGCATGTCCTGGGTGCTGGTGGTGAGGCCAGCGGGCGCTGCGAGAGAGGGAGGAAAAAGAGGAGATAATAGAGGGGTCAGCAGACTTTTCCAGCAGGGGGCCGGTCCACCGTCCCTCAGACCTTGTGGGGGGCCGGGCTATATTTTTGGGGAAATAAATGAACGAATTCCTATGCCCCACAAATAACCCAGTATCCCAGGTGTGGTCTGACCAAGGCAGAAGAGAGAGGGACTAGAACTTCCCCATCAGCTCCTGGCAAATAGAAGGGGAAGAAATGGAGGCAGTGAGAGACTTTACTTTTTTGTAGATGGTGCAGATGGTGACAGCAGCCACGAAATTAAGAGACGCCTGCTCCTTGGGAGAAAGGCGATGGCAAACCTAGACAGCATCTTAAAAAGCAGAGACATCACCTTGCTGACAAAGGTCTATACAGTGGTACCCCGGGTTAAGTACTTAATTCGTTCCGGAGGTCTGTTCTTAACCTGAAACTGTTCTTAACCTGAAGCACCACTTTAGCTAATGGGGCCTCCTGCTGCTGCTGCACCGCCGGAGCACGATTTCTGTTCTCATCCTGAAGCAAAGTTCTTAACCCAAGGTAATATTTCTGGGTTAGCGGAGTCTGTAACCTGACGCATCTGTAACCTGGGGTACCACTGTATAGTTCAAGCTCTGGTTTTCCCAGTAGTGATGTATGGAAGTGAGAGCTGGACCATCAAGAAGGCTGATCGCCGAAGAATGGATGCTTTTGAATTCTGGTGCTGGAGGAGACTCTTGAGAGTCCCATGGACTGCAAGAAGATCCAACCTCTCCATTCTGAAGGAAATCAGCCCTGAGTGCTCACTGGAAGGACAGATCCTGAAGCTGAGGCTCCAAGACTTTGGCCACCTCATGAGAAGAGAAGACTCCCTGGAAAAGACCCTGATGTTGGGAAGGATGGAGGGCACAAGGAGAAGGGGAAGACAGAGGACGAGATGGGGGGACAGTGTTCTCGAAGCTACCAGCATGAGGGAGGCAGTGGAAGACAGGAGGGCCTGGCATGCTCTGGTCCAGGGGGGCACGAAGAGGCGGACACAACTAAACGACTCAACAACAACGATAATAAATAGATAAAAAGAAAAATGCTCTCCTGATTGCTGAGTCTTCTCTCTCCCTATCCAAATGAGACACCGACCCGGGGTTTGGCAAACCGCGTCTTCCGGCCCCCCAAACCCCATTATTACCGGGATAATTGAAAGGGATGTTGCTCTTCATGATCTTCCACTTGTTCACGTCCAATTTGTGGGTCTCGGGGGGCGGCCGATAGTCCTCGTGTTGCGTGGTGCAGAAGTCGGCATAGCGGTTGTCGCCCAAGGTCAAGTCTTTCCGGGGTTTGGGCTCCTCCCAGGACACCGGCTCCTCCCGGTTCGGCTGGGCAGAGAAGACACGAGAGTCGCGGGTTTGAGTCCCGTGCCGGGCAAAAAGATCCCTGCGTCATGGGGGGCCAGGGACCCCCGGGGATTTTGCTACCTCTCTGTAGTAATGACGGTGGATGGTGGTGGTGGCGTTTTGCCTGTTCCTCTCGGGGTCCCGATCCCCTCTGAGAATGGAGGACTCATTCTTCCTCGCCGTGATGATGCGCAACGGTCCTAGGGACATCCCGGCGGAAGAAACAATCAGGCGCGGGGTTTTTGCTTTTCCTTCTCCCACCCCGATCCCCTTTCCTTTCGTGCCGTGTTTAGGGAAGCTTTAAATTGTAGTGATCAGGTGGGATGGCTATGAGGAATTATAACAAATATAGAGTAAGCCATCTGTGTCAGCAATGAAAGCATTGCGTTGGCTGGGTTTAAACTATTTTGATATGATTAGACACAATCAGGCGCGGGGTTTTTGTTTTTCCTTCTCCCGCCCCGATCCCCTTTCCTTTCATGCCATGCTTAGGGAAGCTTGTAATATTTGGTGAATTATTGTATCTTAATATTTTGCTGGAAGCCGCCCACAGTGGCTGGGGAAGCCCAGCCAGATGGGTGGGGTATAAATAAATAAATGATGATGATGATGATGACAGCTTTCCAATGGCCAGGGTATAAATGGGTGGGTTATAAATATATTATTATTATTATTATTATTATTATTATTATTATTATTATTGCTTTCCAATGGCCAGGGCCTGTTTTATTTTTAAGCTGCTCTGGAAAAGATTATTGCCCCAAGAAACCCGCTTTCGATTGTGGGATCGCTCCCTGGAGTTTTATGGGAGGCAAGAAATAAATGGAGAAATTATCTGAACCGGTCTCCGACCTCTGGGCAACCTCATCCAATGACACTCTACTCAAGAGTAGACCCTGTTGCACCTGAGTTAAGTTGTGCGCATCTCATTTCAGGGGTCTGAGTGCGAGCAAACCATTCTGTTTTCGTGGGGAGCGCGGCTAAGCGGTCCCTGAGCACGCACAGAGTTCCACCCCCTTCTTTGACGTATGTTAAAAAGCAAACAGCCAGAAGAAGCAGCTTGGGGGTGCGGAGGGAATAGCAATGGGGTGTCCGGACTTGAACCCGGTTCTCCTGACCTGGGTCCCTCCAGGGATACGCTTCAGACATGACGGTGGTAAAGTCTTGTCTCCCGTCTCCGGGCCGGATATTCGTCAGGCGGACCTGGGCGGCTGCGCTCTCCGGGTCATAGCTGTGGGCGAGAGATCGGCAGAGAGGAAAGAGAATATCGGCTCAGCGCATTGTTTTCCTGAATTGTATTGGTTTTTAAATAGAATAATAAAAATTAAAATAATAGTAATTATTTTTAATTATTATTAGTTTGCTGCTTTATCTTGCCCAGAGCAGTGCAATGCAACTTACAACCAGACAAACAGACCCAAAACCAGCCCCCAGATATACATTAAAACCAATGGGGCGGGGAATAAATACATTTTTAAAATCCTGCCCACTGTAGAGTTCAAAGGGACCCTGAGGGGCATCTAGCCCAACCCCGAATAGGCAGCCATCCCATACATAAATTGAACCTGCAGCCTTGGCAGCCCTGTTTAGGGAGGTTTTTAACGTTTGATGTTTTCTTGTGCTTTTATTATCCTGTTGGAAGCCGCCCAGAGTGGCTGGGGAGGCCTGATCAGATGGGTGGGGTATAAGTAAGTTATCAATATCAATACCGTTAATAATAATAATAATAATAATAATAATAATAATAATTTACACCCTGCCCATCTGGCTGAGTTTCCCCAGCTACTCTGGCCAGCTTCCAACAAAAGATTAAAAATACCCTTTTTTGACACCTGGGAATTTCAGTCTGAATTATCCCCAACAGAAAAGACTCTGGGTTTTTTCCCCAGTTGGTCCTTTTCCAACTCCGTTTTGAGGAGAGGCGACCAGAACGGCTCCGAATGCAACGGTTACGCCGCCCGTTTTCACAGCGGCAAATCGAAAATCTGGAAACCTGCAGTCTGGAGGTCAGTCCTTACCGCTGGCTGTCCGATTCCTTGGGGGTGTACGCTCGTTTTTGCTCGGTCAGCATCTGGTGGCACCGGGGGTCTCCGAAGACAACCGACACCAGATTCTGCAACGGAGAGCATGCAAAGGGCCTTCAGAGTGTGTTTTCATAGCATAATAATAATAATAATAATAATAATAATAATTTATTTATATCCCGCCCATCTGGCTGAGTTTCCCAGCCACTCTGGGCGGCTCCCAATCAAGTATTAAAAACAGTACAGCGTTAGATATTAAAAACTTCCCTGAACAGGGCTGCCTTCAGATGTCTTCTGAATGTCAGGTAGTTATTTTTCTCTTTGACATCTGGAGGGAGGGCGTTCCACAGGGCGGGCGCCACCACCGAGAAGGCCCTCTGCCTGGTTCCCTGTAGCCTCACTTCTCGCAATGAGGGAACCGCCAGAAGGCCCTCGGCGCTAGACCTCAGCGTCTGGGCAGAACGATGGGGGTGGAGACGCTCCTTCAGGTATACTGGGCCGAGGCCGTTTAGGGCTTTCAAGGTCAGAACCAACACTTTGAATTGTGCTCGGAAACGTCCTGGGAGCCAATGCAGGTCTTTCAGGACTGGTGTTATGTGGTCCCAGCGGCCACTCCCAGTCCCCAGTCTGGCTGCCACATTCTGGATTACTTGCAGTTTCCGGGTCACCTTCCAAGGGAGCCCCACGGAGAGCGCATTGCAGTAGTCCAAGCGGGAGATAACCAGAGCATGTGCCACTCTGGCCAGACAGTCTGCTGGCAGGGAGGGTCTTAGCCTTACCAGGTGGAGCTGGTAGACAGCATCACAGAAGGGACCACAAGTGTCATCCATAATAATATTTTTAATATTTATTTATACCCTACCCATCTGGCTGGGTTGCCCCTTCTGCTCTGGACGGCTTCAGATACTTATAAAAAACACAGCAAAATGTCAAACATCAATACAAAAATGTCACGCTGACTTTAAAACAAGCAACTTGTACCACACAAAGCAATATTCAGCAATCCGTTAAACAGCAAAGCTAAATATCAGCACGCGGTAATTAAATAGTTTACAATTGCTAAACTACAACCGGCGAAAACGACAGCACAGAAAAGGCCACAAAACCGCGTAAAAGGGTCAAATTGAGGAACAGGGATGTGCAACCTATGAAAACCATTATTTTTTTAAAAAATGTCATTGAACTCCAAGCACCTGAAATGCAGGAATCATAGAATAATAATAATTTTAAAAATCAGAATTAATTGCCAGTTAATGAACAACTGCAATAGAATTGTAGAATTGTAGAGTTGGAAGGGACCCCGGGGAGGTCATCCATCCCAACCCCCTGCAATGCAGGAATCTTTTGCCCGGCGGTGTGGAACTCGCACTCGCAACCCCGAGACAAAAAGCCTCATTTTCTGCCGTATGGCAGCCCTATTCATGGATCTGCTTCTGACCTTGCAGGGGATGGACTACAGGACCTTTGGGAGCCCTTTGAACTCTACGATTCTGGGAGCTATCGCCCCATTTTTTCCCCTCCAGGGACGCCACCCAGTGGGGATTCGAACCCAGGCCTCCCAGCTCCCTAACCACTACCCCACGCTGCCCGGGGCAGCCGGTTTTTCCAGGGTCCCGGAGGCTTTACCTCGTCGAAGTGTTTTTCAGCAGGGGGTGCCCATTGCCCCGTGTAGTAAGTCTGGTACGTGGTCCCAAAGTCGTGGCAGCCGTGCCCTCTCAGGGGAGACTTTCCTCCTGCCAAGGAAGAAGGAGGCGGTTTTCTTCATACGTGGAAGCGAAGGCATTTGGGGGAAACGATATGAGCTTTTAAAAGATGCTTAAAGTCATTATATCAAATTTAAAAATTAAAAATTCCCTTGTGGTTCCTAAGCAGAGCTTCCCTGGACGGAGGCAGCCCACCTGAGGTCGCTTTCGGAAGCCAGAATTCTTATTAAAAATGGCTTTAAAATAGACAACTGATCTCAATTAAAAGCCGTTTAACGTGAAGTGAACTCTTAAAACGCCGTTGGAAGAACCGAAGGGTTTTGTCTTGATCATGTCTTCCTTCCAGGAGTGAGCGAGATTCGCACCCAAGAGCCCTCACTCTTCCGGAGAGATGCATCGAATGTCTCCTAATTCTAAGGGGGGGGGTTGTCTCTTCCCAAATTCCCCCCCAATTCTAACAGGAGTCTGTCTCCTCCCTGAATTTCCCCCGATTCTAAAGGCATCCAAGTTGGCATCCAGTGGCGGGCAGTTCCGCGGGCGAACTCGGAAAGAAGGCCTTTCCAACCCCTCATCCCCAAACCCAGCCACCCACCCACCGTCGGTGCTTCTCCCCGGCTCCCCCCCGGGCACCCCAAAGCACCGGGTGCCCCCCGTGCCAACGCACCCAGGTGATGACTGGGCGCCTTTTGGGCTGGCTCCACCCTCGCGTGGCTGGGGTAGGATTCCTGGTAGAGCGAGGCGGGCAGCGGCTGCTTCTCCTTGTCCCCGCTGGGCACGCTGTCGTCCCACTTGTCCACCCGCCGGGGGGCGTCGCGGGGCAGGGGGGGCGGGTAGGGGTAGCTGTCCCTGGTGACGGAGGCGCCGGTGCCCTGGCGAGGGTCTCTGTGCATCTGCAGGTGGGGCGAGGGCGGCCGGGCGGGCACCTTCGCCTCCAGCCCCCGGGGTGGGTACGAGAGGTAGGTCTCTGAGCGGGTATCCCAGGCCGAGCGGTCCATGTCCTGGTTCAGGACCCCCGCGCACTTGGGGGGCCGGATGGCCTGGCTGCGGAAGCTGCCCCACCGCGGCGGGTAGTCGATGCGGTAGGGCGAGATCAGGGTGGCACCTTCTGGGCGACGGTCGCTGCCCAGCTGGAAGTGGGAGGCTTGCAGGAAAGGGGTGCTGGCCAGGCGAGAGGGGGCCCTGGGCACCTTGCGGACCTCTGTGACGCGGCCTGGGTTGGGGGGCGCCCTCCGGGGGTCCCCCGGGCACCAGCAAAGGGGCACCATCTTCTCGGAGGGCGTAAATGTGCCAGGGGTCTGTGGGAAATGGGAACCTGGCGTCCGGGCACCGTCGATTTGGGTTCACAAGCTCTGGCGCGCCCCCAAATCTTCCACATTCCCTATATGCATTGCTTTATTGAAAAGTGGGGTACGGCACCCCCTTTTAAAGCTCTCTTTGGGGCAGTAAGAAGCCCTGTTTTGCAAGGGTTTTCCAAGGGCTTAAAGGCGTCCCAGGGCGGAATATGGCTTCCTGGATTGTGAGGTCATAGGAGGGGTGGTGAGGTCATAGGGGGAAATGGTGAGGTCATAGGGAAGTAACAGGGGTCACCCGGATGGAGCCTTTCTTTTAGGGCTTGACGGAGTGGAAATAGCGAAGGGTTTAATCCATCGCTTGATTTAATCGATTGATTGATTTTAATCTATTGATTTTAATCTATTGATTTAATCTATGAAAGAGCTACGAAAGGGCTAGAGGGGTCTCAGAGGTAGGAAAGGGGTAGAACTCTGTGGCCCCTCTGCCACTTTGCTACCTCTGAGACCCCTCTACCCTTTTCATAGCTCTGTGGCCCCTCTACCCCTATTCTACCTCTGAGACGCCTCTACCCATTTCCTAACTCTGTGGCCCCTCTACCCCTATTCTACCTCTGAGACCCCTCTACCCTTTTCCTAGCTCTGTGGCTCCTCTGCCCCTATTCTACCTCTGAGACGCCTCTATCCTTTTCATAGCTCTGTGGCCCCCTACCCTGTTCCTACCCCTGAGACGCCTCTATCCTTTTCATAGCTCTGTGGCCCCCTACCCCGTTCCTACCCCTGAGACGCCTCTACCCTTTTCCTAGCTCTGTGGCCCCTCCGCCCCTATTCTACCTCTGAGACGCCTCTATCCTTTTCATAGCTCTGTGGCCCCCTACCCCGTTCCTACCTCTGAGACCCCTCTACCCTTTTCCTAGCTCTGTGGCCCCTCCGCCCCTATTCTACCTCTGAGACGCCTCTACCCTTTTCCTAGCTCTGTGGCCCCTCTGCCCCTATTCTACCTCTGAGACCCCTCTACCCTTTTCCTAGCTCTGTGGCCCCTCTGCCTCTAGTCTACCTCTGAGACCCCTCTACCCTTTTCCTAGCTCTGTGGCCCCTCTGCCTCTAGTCTACCTCTGAGACGCCTCTACCCTTTTCCTAGCTCTGTGGCCCCTCTGCCCCTTTTCCACCTCTGAGACGCCTCTACCCTTTTCATAGCTCTGTGGCCCCCTACCCCGTTCCTACCTCTGAGACCCCTCTACCCTTTTCCTAGCTCTGTGGCCCCTCCGCCCCTATTCTACCTCTGAGACGCCTCTACCCTTTTCCTAGCTCTGTGGCCCCTCCGCCCCTATTCTACCTCTGAGACCCCTCTACCCTTTTCCTAGCTCTGTGGCTCCTTTACGCTCTCCTACCCCCCTGAGATCCCTCTATCTTTTTCATAGCTCTAAGGCCTATGAGACCATAGAGGGGCAACAGAGCTATGAAAAGGGTAGAGGCGTCTCAGAGGTAGACTAGAGGCAGAGGGGCCACAGAGCTAGGAAAAGGGTAGAGGCGTCTCAGAGGTAGACTAGAGGCAGAGGGGCCACAGAGCTAGGAAAAGGGTAGAGGCGTCTCAGAGGTAGAATAGGGGCAGAGGGGCCACAGAGCTAGGAAAAGGGTAGAGGCGTCTCAGGGGTAGGAACAGGGTAGGGGGCCACAGAGCTAGGAAAAGGATAGAGGGGTCTCAGAGGTAGAATAGGGGCAGAGGGGCCACAGAGCTATGAAAAGGGTAGAGGCGTCTCAGAGGTGGAAAAGGGGCAGAGGGGCCACAGAGCTAGGAAAAGGGTAGAGGGGTCTCAGAGGTGGAAAAGGGGCAGAGGGGCCACAGAGCTAGGAAAAGGGTAGAGGGGTCTCAGAGGTGGAAAAGGGGCAGAGGGGCCACAGAGCTAGGAAAAGGGTAGAGGCGTCTCAGAGGTAGACTAGAGGCAGAGGGGCCACAGAGCTAGGAAAAGGGTAGAGGCGTCTCAGAGGTAGACTAGAGGCAGAGGGGCCACAGAGCTAGGAAAAGGGTAGAGGGGTCTCAGATGTGGAAAAGGGGCAGAGGGGCCACAGAGCTAGGAAAAGGGTAGAGGGGTCTCAGAGGTAGAATAGGGGCAGAGGGGCCACAGAGCTAGGAAAAGGGTAGAGGCGTCTCAGAGGTGGAAAAGGGGCAGAGGGGCCACAGAGCTAGGAAAAGGGTAGAGGCGTCTCAGAGGTAGACTAGAGGCAGAGGGGCCACAGAGCTAGGAAAAGGGTAGAGGGGTCTCAGAGGTGGAAAAGGGGCAGAGGGGCCACAGAGCTAGGAAAAGGGTAGAGGGGTCTCAGAGGTGGAAAAGGGGCAGAGGGGCCACAGAGCTAGGAAAAGGGTAGAGGGGTCTCAGAGGTGGAAAAGGGGCAGAGGGGCCACAGAGCTAGGAAAAGGGTAGAGGGGTCTCAGAGGTAGAATAGGGGCAGAGCGGCCACAGAGCTAGGAAAAGGGTAGAGGGGTCTCAGAGGTAGAATAGGGGCAGAGCGGCCACAGAGCTATGAAAAGGGTAGAGGCGTCTCAGAGGAAGAATAGGGGCAGAGGGGCCACAGAGCTAGGAAAAGGGTAGAGGGGTCTCAGAGGTAGAATAGGGGCAGAGGGGCCACAGAGTTCTCCCCCTTTCCTACCTCTGAGACCCCTCTACCCTTTTCCTACCTCTATCCTCTCTTTCAGCCCTTTCCCTACCCAGAACCCCTCAGTCTTTCCCTCTGCGTGCGTGTGTCACTCTTCCCTTTTCCTCTCTCCCTCTCCCTTCCGTCTCCACCTCTGTCCCCGCTCCTTCCTCCCCTCTCTACTTCTCCTATCTGTCCGGGCCGCTCTAGCCCTCTCTCTCGCTTCCCTTCCTCCCTCCCTCCTTCCGGTTTCCCCCCTCCTCCCTCCCATCCGGGGCCTTGTTCTGTTTTGGTCCGGTCCCTTTTCCCTTCCGGCCTCCTCCCTCTCCCCTCGCCCCAAAGGTTCCGCCTGCTTTCCTTTCCCCGCCTGCCCTGAAGACGTCTCGCGACGTGCTGCTGCGTGGTGACGCAAGCGCGCGGCCGCGGGGCTGAGGGGAGGCGGAGGCGCGCCAACATGGCGGCGGGGGGCGGCGGCGGCGGCCGGGGGGGCAGCAGCAGCGGCGGCGGCGGGCCCAGGATGGGGGGCAGGATGGGGGGAGCGGCGCCCCCCGCCTCGGAGAAGCTCCCCGTCCACGTAAGTCCGGGGGGAGGAGGCCACCCCCCAAACCAGAGGAGTGGGGCCTTGAACACCCCCCCCCACACAAAAAGGACACCCCCCAATATGGGGTGGGGTCTCCCTGTCCCCCCTTCCTGCAAAGGGGGGGCTGAATAGGCACAGAGACCCCCCACTCTCTGCCCTCCTGCAGCTCTTGCTAGGGAAAAGACAACCCCCCCACCCCACACACAGGAGTGGGGCCTTGAACACCCCCCCACAAAAAAGACACCCCCAATATGGGGTGGGGTCCCCCTTTCCTGCAAGGGGGGCTGAATAGGCACAGAAACCCCCCCCCACTCTCTGCCCTCCTGCAGCTCTTGCTAGGGAAAAGACAACCCCCCAAACCAGAGGAGTGGGGCTTTTAACACCCCCCACGCAAAAAAGACGCCCCCCCAATGTGGGGTGGGAGTGGGGTCTCCCTCTTGGGTGTCCCCCCTTCCTGCAAGGGGGGCTGAATAGGCACAGAGACCCCCCCACCCTCTGCCCTCCTGCAGCTCTTGCTAGGGAAAAGACACCCCCCCCCAAAAGGAAGTCTGCATTGTCAGGCATTGGCAGGGAAAGACCTGGACACCAAAATCCACCCCCCCCCAAAAAAAAGGAAAGGAAAAGGGGAATGTTTCCTGAGCTCTCCTCCTTTGCGGGGGGGGGGGGGAGATAAGAATGAGTTTTTTACGCTCTCTTCTCCATGCAGGGAGAAGTTTGCAAATAGGTCTGGACCACCGGCACGTAGCTTGGGGTTTTTGTTTTAATCAGGCAATTTTGGGATTTTATTTGGTGGGTTTGCAGGGTCGGCTGCCCTGAGTTTCATCATCATCATCATCTTCTTCTTTTTCTTCTTCTTCTTCCTGGATGCATGCCTTAGATGAGCCCCCACCCCATAATAATAATAATTATTATTATTAATAGCTGCATGCCTTATGACCCCATCCAATGGAGTATACTATGATTATTATCATTATTGTTATTGCTATGATCAATAATAGCTGCATGCATTAGACCACCCCACCCCCATTGAGTATCTTCTTCTTCTTCTTGGATGCATGCATTAGATGAGTGTCCCCCCCCCCCATTGAGTATATTATTATTAATAGCTGCATGCCTTAGATGACCCCATGCATTTGAGTATATTATGGTGATGATTATTATTGTTATGATCAAGAATAGCTGCATGCATTAGATTAACCCCATTGCAGACTTCCTTGCAAAAAGCCCCTTTGCTTTCTTCGCCAACCACCCCCTCCATTTCCTTTGCGTTATTATATTGTTGTAAACACCCCCAGCCTAATACTTTCCCCCCTCTCCTGTTTTTTCTTTCCAAATAATAATAATAATAATAATAATAATAAAAAATAGCTGCATGCCTTAGACCAACTCCATTGCAGACTTCCTTGCAAAACTCCCTTTTGCTTTCCCCCCCCCCAAACAACCCCCCTTCCATTACATTGCTGTATGGAAACACCCCCTCCCTAACACTCCCCCCTCTCCAGTTTTTCGTTTCCACCCCCTAATAATAATAATAATAATAATTGTTATTATTATATGCCGCCCATCTGACTGGGTTGCCGTAGCCCCTCTGGGCGGCTTCGAGCAAATTACAAAACGTTAAAACATCAGACGTTGAAAGCTTCCCTAATGCACCCCAATCCCTTTTCGGTAGGTAAACGTGTGGCTGTGTTTATCTAACAGAGGTAGAATCACAGAATGATCAATTTGCAAGGGACCCCTGAGGGTCATCCAGCCCAACCCCCTGCAACGCAGGAAACTTTTGCCGAACTCGGGACTCAAACCCACAACCCTTAGATTGAGAGTCTCTTGTGAAGCCTTCGCACTCGCCTCTTTCTTTCTCCTTGCTCCCCAACCCTCTCCTGTTGCTTTGCGTTATGGAGAATGCAACCCTCCTTTCTTTGCCTCCCCCCAAGTTCCTTTACATTGCTTTGCATCCAACGTTCTACTCGAGGTAGACCCCCTGAAATTAATGGAACCAAGCAAGTTATGCCCATTAATTTCTCTTGAGTATGTATTAAGTCGTTTCGGATGCAACCCGAATTATGTATATACCCGCATTAAAGGGCACTCATTCGCGAAGCTTCCAGCAAAACCACTTGGAAATTTAGCTTTCAAGTAATAATAATAAAAGGGGGGATATCTTTAATTAAATATGGCTAAATGTTGTGTCCATGCATACGTGGAATTATTTCAATTCATTCCTGTAGGGAGAACTCGGTGTTTGAAACAGCTGATGGGGACGTATCGTGGTTGTTGCTGTTAAACATATACAGCAAACCTATAATTTATGTGGGGAGTTGCGTTCTGGGGGGGTCAGGCCCCAAGCCGAAACGGCAAATAGTCAGGATGCATTGGGGTTCAGGAGTGGCTGGGATTGTTGATTTTATTCTGATTCTGTATTTTGTGGTTTCCTAGTCTGATTTTATTCTGTGATCCTCCCCGAGACCTGTGGGAATAATAATAATAATAATAATAATAATAATAATAATAATATCATCTCCCCTCCCCTGGAAACCTACCCATTTTCCACCCCACCTTTTAATTGTTTTGTAGTTTTGCGTTTTTAAAATTGCGCATATAGCTGAATCATGCACAAGTCGAACGTGCGTCAGTTGCGGGATTTAGCGTTTAAAACGTTTGGTTTACCCCCAATCGTCTTTTTCCGTATCGCAAACCCCCTCTGAAGGCCTGGCCCCACTTTCCTGGGAGTAAGCCCCACTGATCTTAGTAGGACCTGCCGCAGAGTAGGCGCGGCTGCTGCCGAGCCGCAAGAACGCTGATCCGGGTAAATGCATTTGCCAGAGAAGCGATCCCGGACCGTAAAGAATAAGAGATTTTCAGCTTAATGCGCATAGATATATTTCCTCCCCCCCCCCTCAAAATGCAGATGTAGCTGCAGAGAGCGGACCGCTTTCTCTGCCAGCTTCTTGCACGTTTGATCTGGATTACTTCCAGACCGATCCTGCAAGCACTTACTCAGCAGTCTGCGGCCGCCATAGAGGGGGCTGGCTTGGCGAGGATTTGGGGGTGAGGATTTGCAGCCTCGTCAGAGGGGGTCTTGGGGGGCAAGAGGCAGGTTCGGTTTGGGGCTCCCCCGGGAAGGGGGAGCTGAAGCCTAGCAGGCAGAAGGGGCTGCGTTTCGGGGTCTCCAAACACATAAAAGGGGGCAGCCACCCCACAGCCCTGTTTGAAAGCAGAGGCTGCTCTCTCCCCGAATCCCTGCAGGGCCTGCAAGACAGAGCTGTTGCCCCAGGCCTTTGGCCAGTCTGACCCCCTCCTTCTGCAATCCTCATAGCACTCTCGCCCAATGGTTGCCATTAAATTGATTCTGAATTGATTTGAGAATGTATTTCAATTACCGTATTTTTTCCTCTATAAGACTCACTTTCCCCCCCCCTAAAAAGTAAAGGGGAATGTGTGTGCGTCTTATGGAGCGAATGCAGGCTGCACAGCTATCCCAGAAGCCAGAACAGCAAGAGGGATTGCTGCTTTCACTGCGCAGCAGTTCTGTTCTGGCTTCTGAGATTCAGAATAATTTCTTTCTTGTTTTCCTCCTCCAAAAACTAGGTGCGTCTTATGGTCTGGTGCGTCTTACTGAGCGGAAAATACGGAAAATTGATTGTGATTTTATGTAAACTGTGTTATTTTTACTGTGGTTAGCCGCTCTGAGCCCGGCTTCGGCTGGGGAGGGCGGGATATAAATCAAATGTTATTATTATTATTATTATTCGGGCATGGGTACCGGGAGACGCCGTTGGCGGCTGAACCCGCACCCAGAGCCTCTGAGCCACAGCGACCCACGGAGCCCGGTTCCTTGCCACGGGTGGGGCTGGCTGTCAGCGGGGCAGCCGCCTCTGCGCTCCCGGGCCCACGGAGGTCAGGGGCCCTCGATGCCTTCCCCTAAAATAATTCTCCCGCAGGTCGAAGATGCCCTCTCTTACCTGGACCAGGTGAAGATCCGCTTTGGCAGCGACCCAGCCACCTACAACGGATTCCTGGAGATCATGAAGGAGTTCAAAAGCCAGAGGTAACGGGTTCGGAGGGGGTCTGGGCCCCTCTCCCCATCTTTACGCAGCCCCCCAACCCACGAAGCGCCCCGGCCGGCGGCGGATTAATTTTTCCCCAGTGCTACCTTGGAACGTTTTATTTACTTTATTTAAATTTTTCTTTTTTACCAGCAACAAAACACAGTGAACCACGCCCCGCCCCCAGGCGGCTGATACATTGGGTATACATAATCAATAATAACATATTCATAAATCCGGCGCTGGATTTTTAAACCAAAGGGCGGAAACGAGGGGAACGGGAATTGCACCCGAATCGGGGGACCCGGCCTCTTCGTTGCCCATCGAACACCCCCCAAAATCTCCCTCCCACCCTCATTTTGGGTCCTGCCTTGTTCCTATCCAGGGTGGATTGGATTTAAATCAAATCGTTAGTCAGTAAGGCTCGATTGAAATCATTATTTTCTTTACAGAAAGACTTCATTCTTGCTGGCACCGTCTTAATATTTACAGATGAAGTTTTCGTTTTTGGGATAATCGATTTTCAGAGTCGTTTTTACAGCTCTGTCAAAAATGACCGATTTGGTTGTACTATCAGAAATAAATAGACAGATAATTATGAAATTACTGGGAGGTGTAATAAGTTAACTCAGTGCTTTTTTTCCTAAAAAAAATGTTCAGGGGTACTCTCATTTTCCAACTATTGAAATACTGCCCCTCAATGAGGCCAAACTTAGATTCACAAAATGTTTAGGGGTATACGTCCCCCCCCCCAGGAAAAAAAACCCACTGAGTTAACTGTGTACATTTGGACAACTTTTCTGCTGTACTTTATTGGAAGGAGAAAAACAATCATCTCCTTAATAGCAATTTAGACAATTTGTTTAACTAAAACAATGACGTTGTAGCGTATGTATCCATGTTTGCGAACTGATGTGGCTAAACAATTAAAAAAACAACAACGTGAAAAACTTAAAACAAATCCTTATTTCCTGACGAATAGCCTTTGGACTATAATGTAACTTGGAAGAGAAAGCCTTTAGAAACGTTTTTCCTCCAAAAGCATTTTATTTTAAAAATCTGATTTAAATAAAAAAAATAAAAATGGTTTATTTTATTTTTTTAAAAAACCCTTGATTGTTGTTATACCCCCTTGTCTTCAGCATTGACACCCCCGGTGTCATCCGCCGCGTCTCGCAGCTGTTCCATGAGCACCCCGACCTCATCATCGGCTTCAACGCCTTCCTGCCTTTGGGCTACCGGATCGAGATCCCCAAGAACGGGAAACTGAGCATCCAGGCGCCTCTGGCCGGCCAGGTTAGACCAGGGAGCAGGCTTGGGGTTTTTTTTTGACCATATCCACTCATTCCTACTGGGAGATTTATTCCCTCCCACCCACCCCCTTTTGAAAAAGACATTTTTTATTCAGTTTTACACTACACATTTGAATTCAAGCAGCAGACTTAATCGTCAGCATTCCCTGGATCTTTAGACTTCCCTCTGCCTTTCCGTGGTTAACCATTTTCAGTCTTTTATAATGATATTAATAATCATAAATTTTATTTATACCCCGCCCTCCCCGGTCAGAGCCGGGCTCAGGGCGGCTAACACCAATAAAATCACAGTAAAAACATAATAGGGGGGAAAGGGGAGGGGGAAGAAAAGGAAAAAAAACCAATTTAAAATGCAGGTTAAGATACAATTTAAAATGCAGCCTCGTTTTAAAGTAGCTGATAAATCAAGACCATAAGGGGAGGGAAACATAAGGGTCAGACCGAGTCCAAACTAAAGTCAGAAAAGGTTTGCTGACCCCTGGTCTCAGCGCAGGATGAGGAGCAGCTGGCAGAGGAAGGGGCAGGTGGCCACAAGAGTTTCATCATCATCATCATCATCATCACCATCATCAACTTTTATTTATATCCTGCCCTCCCCAGCCAAAGTCGGGCTCAGGGTGGCGAACATCAGACACATAACGTTCGTATAAAATGAAACAATAATTAAATTCACTCCGAAAAACAGGTCCAAATCAAATAGAAGGGACTTTGGGGTCGTCTAGCTTGCCCCCCCTCCCCGCAACACGGGAGCAAGGCAACGAGGACCACCCAGGCGGAAGGGCAGATGCTTTCACACACAACCTATGTTCAGCCGCCGCTGACCCCCAACTCCCTCTCTCTGCCTAGGTGTCCCTGGACCCCGTCCAAAGCCCCCTCTCGGGCTCCGGCCTCATCCTGCACTACTGCCAGGAGAACGCCCACAACCACGGCGACTGCCCGGAGGACTTCTGCCACCAGCAGCCCCACCAGCAGCAGCAGCAACAGCAGCCCTGCAAGGACGACTGCCGGCTGCAGGTGCCTCTGGAGTCGGACTCGGTGGAGTTCAACAACGCCATCAGCTACGTCAACAAGATCAAGACCCGCTTCCTGGACCACCCCGAGATCTACCGGTCTTTCCTGGAGATCCTTCACACCTACCAGGTGAAAGGTCTCCTCTCTCCCCACGGCGTTCCGGGGTCAGGAAACAAAAAACCCAAAATATAACTCTGGTTGGTGTGCGTGGTGTGGGCTGTGGGTTGCCTCACCCGACCTCGAAATAAGCTTCCACCATTTTATTTTAGGTTAGGTTTAGGTTTAGTTTTTAGTTTAGTGTTTAGTTTAGTGTTTAGTTTAGTGTTTAGTTTAGTGTTTAGTTTAGTGTTTAGTTTAGTGTTTAGTTTTTCATTTCCACAGCAAACATTACACACCAAAAGGAAAACGAAAGATAAACTAATCTTACATTAGATATTCTTAGACGTAAGATAGTTACAGTGGTGCCTCGCAAGACGAAATTAATTCGTTCTGTGAGTTTTTTCGTCTTGCGATTTTTTCGTCTTGCGAAGCACGGTTTTAACGGTATTAGCGGTTTTAAGAAAAAGGAAACAAACTCGCAAGACGTTTTCGTCTTGCGAAGCAAGCCCATAGGGAAATTCGTCTTGCGAAGCAACTCAAAAAACGAAAAACTCTTTCGTCTTGCGAGTTTTTCATTTTGCGAGGCTTTCGTCTTGCGAGGTACCACTGTATTACAATATACGTAATGTTCAAGAAATCAAGGGTAAACGTGTATCGTATGAAAGAAATAAAAGGAGAGAGAGAAAAGAAAGAGAAGAGGGGGAAAAGAGGAATAAAGAAAAATGCACGACGACAAAACCGAAAAATGAACAAAACTAAAACTACCTACCGAACAAAAAGCAATGCTTAGTTAATTCAAACCAGTACCAGGGTATTCTGGTCATAAAGCCCCATCCCTCAATGCTGACCTCTTTCTCCCTCCCTCTCTCACTTCTCAGAAAGAACAGCTGAGCACCAAAGGCCGCCCCTTCCGGGGCATGTCGGAGGAGGAGGTCTTCACCGAAGTGGCCCACCTCTTCCGGGGCCAAGAGGACCTGCTCTCCGAATTTGGCCAGTTCCTCCCCGAGGCAAAGAGGTCTCTGGTACGTGGCAGGAGGGGGGGCACCGGCGGCCGGGAAACCCCTCTGAGAACACGGGGTTTTCCTGGGAGATGCTGTCGGGGACAGAGCCTGGGACCCCCTCCCTGCAAAGGAGCGGGGTGTCCCCCTGCTGCTGCCCCTCGTCCCTCTCTCCTTCCTCCTTCGCCTGCTCGCTGAGGCTCCCCCATCTTTCTCCGCAGTTCACGGGGAACGGGCCCTGCAACGCCAACAACATCTCCAAACTTGAGCATGAGAAGCACGTGGAGCACAGTAAGAAACGTTCCAGGTCCCTGTTGCTTCGACCCGTGCCCGGCCCGGCCAAGGTATCCGACCCGGACGCGGAGGCGGGTGGGCTGGAGGGGTGGGGGGGAGACAGAGGAGCCCGCCGGGGGCTCTGGTCGGCCGCGGGGGGTTCGACGCGTTGTTTCCGGGGGAGCCCGGCGGGTTTTGGCGGCGTCCGCTCAGGGCGGGCTCCTGAGGAGCGCCGAGCCCCGCTTGCAAAACACGGAAGCGTGCTCGTGCGAGCAGCCCACATATACGTGCGTGTTGTCTTCCGCCCCCCCTGCAGAAGAAGATGAAGCTTCGGGGGACGAAGGACCTCTCGGTGGCGGCGGTGGGCAAGTACGGCAGCCTACAGGAGTTCTCCTTCTTCGACAAGGTGGGCCGTCCGGCACAGAGGCCGGGTGTGTGTGAAATTTCAGATTTAGATTTCTGTGGAAATGGTTTCCCGTTTGGTTATGTATTTTTTTTATGTGGTTTATTTATTGTTTATGACTTTCATAATTGCGCACCGTATATTTCGCTCTATAAGACGCACAAGACGCACCTAGTTTTTGGAGGAGGAAAACAAGAAAGTAAATATTCTGAATCTCAGAATTCAGAACAGCAAGAGGGATCGCTGCGCAGCGAAAGCAGCAATCCCTCTTGCTGTTCTGGCTTCTGGGATAGCTGCGCAGCCTGCATTCGCTCCATAAGACACACACACATTTCCCCTTACTTTTTAGGAGGGGAAAAGTGTGTCTTATAGAGCAAAAAATATGGTAATTAACTTGTCATGCTGCAAGCTGCCTTGAGCGTTGTTTTTTTAATTGTGGAAAGGTGGCCTAGAAATAAAAAATGATGATGCTGATGATAAGGCATGTGGGGGCACAGCGGAGGGCCCCTGAACCTCCAACCTGCATAACTCTGCCAAAGGAGGGGGGGCAGACAGGCCTTTCCTCCCTGAGACCCCAGAGCAGTCGGTCAGGACGGGGGGGGGGGTCCTTTCGCAGCCCTGCCTGGAGCAAAGCAGAACCATTTGCCAGGGACGCTCCTGTTGCGGATCCTGCATGGCTGGGGACAGGCCTAGGGGTCCCTCCTGCCTCTGCAAGCGGGTGCTCTAACCACTGAGCTGCCCAGCCCTGAGTTGCCCCCTCCCATCCGCTCAGGTTCGGCGAGTCCTGAAGAGCCAGGAGGTGTACGAGAACTTCCTCCGGTGCATCACTCTCTTCAACCAGGAGCTGGTCTCAGGCTCCGAGCTTCTCCAGCTGGTCACCCCCTTTCTGGGGTAAGTGGGGGGCTGCGTTGAGTTGGGGGGCTGCCGGAGGGTCCTCCATCTCCCTTGGGGAAAAGGCAGGCAGGGGCTAATCCCGGTAGCCAGGCAGAAGCAGACAGCTTCCTCTTGGTTGACTTGGTGAGGAAGGAAATCTCTCCCAGAGTTTCCAGTTTCCTTGTCGCTTGGGTTTACGCATAGCTTTTCACATGGGAAAGCGACGTCTCAAAGCAAATTTACACAGAGCCTAGGGCTTGCCGATCAGAAGGTCGGCGGTTCGAATCCCCGCAATGACGGGGTGAGCTCCCGTTGCTCAGTCCCAGCTCCTGCCAACCTAGCAGTTTGAAAGCACCTCAAAGTGCAAGTAGATAAATAGGTCCCTGCCTTCTCTGGTTCTTCACCAAAACATCAGCTCAGCTGCACATAAAACACCCCAGATTTTTGTTCTCCCTTCTCCCCCATGCACACTTTTGACAAGTAACAATTCTGCCCCTCAGTTAAGAAACCTTGCATTCATTCCTGTCCCTCATGAGTTTCTTTAGCAGAGTCTGCAGGCAAAGCATTGCCAGTTCGCTGCCCGTTGGCTGCGCCTTCCCCGAGTTTTCCGATTCGAATCCCCGCCGCACCTCCAAGGGGCCCTGCCGCTCGCAGCCCACCTTTCCCCTCCTTCCCCGCAGGAAATTCCCGGAGCTCTTTGCTCAGTTCAAGTCGTTCCTGGGCGTGAAGGAGCTGTCCTTCGCCTCCCCAATGGCGGACCGCTCTGGGGACGGCGTCTGCCGCGAGATCGACTACGCCTCCTGCAAGCGCATCGGCTCCAGCTATCGGGCACTGCCCAAGACCTATCAGCAGCCCAAGTGCAGCGGGAGGACGGCCATTTGCAAAGAGGTAGGCCGCGGGCGGTCGGCAGAAGGAAGGCGGCGGCGGTGGGGCGTCTCGGCAACTCCCCTGGACTGAGGGCGCCCCCTCTCGCCCCCGCAGGTGCTGAACGACACCTGGGTCTCCTTCCCCTCCTGGTCGGAGGACTCCACCTTCGTCAGCTCCAAGAAGACTCCCTACGAGGAGCAGCTGCACCGATGCGAGGATGAACGCTTTGAGGTGGGTGCCCCCGGCGATGTGGGCAGGCTCGGGGCCCCTGCTTGGGGGGCGGAGGGCCCCAGGTCCTTCCTCAAGGCTGGCTCAGTCCTGGGGGCTGTCAGGCTTCAGGGAAACCGCTTCCACTTTGGCCGTGCATAACCTTTCAAAGCCCTAAACAGCCTTGGCCCCGTATCCCTGAAGGAGCGTCTCCACCCGGACACCGGGGTCCATCTCTGAAGGTCTTCTGGCGGTTCCCTCAGTGCAAGAAGTGAGGTCACAGGGTACCAGGCAGAGGGCCTTCTCGGTGGTGGCGCCCACCCTGTGGAACGCCCTCCCACCAGATGTCAAGGAAATAAACAACTGTCTGACATTTAGAAGACATCTGAAGGCAGCCCTATTTAGGGAAGTTTTTAATGTTTGAAGTTTTATTCTGTTTTTAGTGTTCTGTTGGGAGCCGCCCAGAGTGGCTGGGGAAACCCAGCCAGATGGGCAGGGTATAAATATTATTATTCTTGTTATTGTTATTATTACCACCAAAGCAATTATTGCCCCTTGCCATTTTAAGAGTGTTTAATGATCACAGCAAAAGAACAACGCAGCCATTCTCGAGGTGAAGGCACTCTCAATTAAGCTTCCCTCCTACTTCCTCCAGAGTCATGGAACATTCTTTCCATCTTGAGCATGCAAATTCTTTGCATGCAATATTCCTTCCCTCTTTGAGCGTGCAATATTCTTTCCCTCTTTGAGCGTGCAATAGTCTTGCTGCCGCCGCCAAATACGTAAACAAACCAACTCTTTCGCTATATCCGTTTCCATAAAACTTCCCTACAACTTTAGTTCTAAACGCAGCATAAGGAGTCTCTATAGTATATTGTATTTTAAAATGGGGTTTTTAGGGGGTTTTGTATGTTTTATGTAGTTTTTCAATTTCATTGTTCTGCATGGGACAATGACAATAAAGATCTCGTATATCGTAAAAAGAAAATATCCGGGTCATGGGGAGGGGGTGTTTGACGCCACCTTGAAACACCTTTTGTTATCTCATTATCCTGGGGCGTCTGGGGTCTCCACGAGGGCAGGGAGCCCCGAAGCTTGTTTTTCTCCCCGGCGCTCCTGACGGGGGGAGCCGGGTCGTGGTGTGCCCCCCCGTTTCTCACGTTGCTCGCTCTTCCCCGCCCAGCTGGACGTGGTCCTGGAGACGAACCTGGCCACGATCCGGGTGCTGGAGAGCGTGCAGAAGAAGCTGAGCCGCATGTCGCTGGAGGACCAGGAGAAATTCCGCCTGGACGACTGCCTGGGGGGCACCTCCGAGGTCATCCAGCGGCGCGCCATCTACCGCATCTACGGCGACAAGGCGCCTGAGATCATCGAGAGCCTCAAAAAGAACCCACTCTCGGCCGTCCCCATCGTCCTCAAGAGGTGAGCCGCTCCCCTTCCAAAAACGACAGAAGCGATAAGTCAATAGATCCTATTTTTTAAAAAAGAGTGGGAATGTTTCAGCAATTGCTTAAGGCAGGGGTCTGCAACCTTTAAGACCCGTTTCCGAAGGGGAAAAAACTGGGAGCCGCAAAACTCGTTGTCAGGGGTTCAGGGAGAGAGGCACAGGGTAGGCAGGAGATGGAGAGCGAGGGGGAGGAATTCCAAGCCAGCGAGGAAGAGGATGACAATGACTCAAGGGATTCCATGAGTCTTTCCAGCGAATCAGAGGATTCCCAGAAGGGGGCGCCGGTGGTCAAGGCCAGGGGAGCCCCAGGGGGGACGTGTCAGGAGCAGGGTGCTAGCGGAAGATCCCAAAGTGGCAGCTGGGCGTCAGGACCAGCCTCCCCACCAGAGTGCAGCGAAGGGGGTGGAGTTTCCAGTGTGTCAGAGGAAGCAGCTCCAGCAGCAGAGAAAGGAGGGAGGTCAGAGCAAGCCGCCCTTCCGGAAGGGGAGGGGAGTAGTGAAGGGAGTAGTGTAACTGTCAAAAGGAAAGTTAGAGGTTTGGCGCGCGCGCCTAGTTCAAATGTAGAGGCGCGCGGAAGTGCAGGGAGCCCGGAGGAGGGGCCAGGTCCCAAAGCCCGCAGGAGGGGGGAAGAGCAGTCTGATTCCACGTCAGAGGAATCCAGGAGGGGCGAAACCCCAGCGGGCAGAAGGACCCTGCGGAAAAGGAAGGAGAGAAAGAGGTGGAGCAGCGCAAGTCTCTTAAATTGGTGCAGAGGAGGAACTGACTCAGAGGGGACTTCGGCGGTCTAGCGTAAGAGACGTAAGGCTGCGCGCCTAGGATGTCAAGCAAACCATGAACTGCAATAAACACTTTTGTATATAAGAAGACAGAGGCGTTGGTCTTTTGTGAGCTAAGACTTGAGGCAGCCTTGACACTCGTCATTATAAAAATAACTTTTTTGTCACTTTTTTATTATTTCTTTGTTTGACCCCTCAGAATTACTCCTCCTCATAGAAATAAACGTTAAATTAACAAGTTACCTTTTTGTGTGTGTGTGTGCTTCACTCCCCTTCAAAACAGTGACCAGCGTACATGCCCCTTACAATGTAGCGGGCGGGCGGGAAGGTGACGTCGGGACGGTGCGTGACTAACGCACGCACCGCCCCCATGCGACGTCACAGCCAGTACAGCGCCCGCCACAGTGGGGAGTGTCGGGGCGCACAATGCGCCTCCTCCCCTCGCTAGTATCCGCCCCGGAGCCGCGGCAAAGGTGTAAAAGAGCCACGTGCGGCTCCGGATCCGCGGGTTGCAGACCCCTGGACTAAGGAAACAAGGTTCCACCTCTAAGATTTGGTTGTGTTTGGAATACAGTAGTACCTCAGCTTACATACGCTTCAGGTTACAGACCCCACTAACCCAGAAATAGTACCTCGGGTTAAGAACTTTGCTTCAGGGTGAGAACAGAAATAGCGCAGCAACGGGAAGCCCCATTAGCTAAAGTGGTGCTTCAGGTTAAGAACAGTTTCAGGTTAAGAACAGACCTCCGGAATGAATTAAGTACTTAACCCGAGGTAGCACTGTAACTCTGTAAATAGGGATACGTCGTTTCCGCATACCAAGACGAGGAGAAAATATTAAATACAGGGGAATTTTTTTAGTAAGGTGAAACGAACCGTTACAAGGTAGATGGAAGTCTACCACATCACAATAAATAAAGGATAAGAGATTCAATTTATATGTAAACGTATATATGAGAAAGGCCACAAGAGCGCTGAATCATATTGAATTGGACAATGCAGATTGAATCTTTCCGATTTGATTTTGTTCCTGTCTTTGTTCCTGTCTTTTTCTTTTGTCTTCTTTTACCTTTTTCTTTTTGCATATGTTGAGATGAAAGAGTCTGATGTTATTCGATCTATATAGAAGTTAATCAATGTAGGTATTTGTCAATTATGTATGTATTTGTGTATTTAAAAACCCGGGGGGCAAGGAGGGCGGTGGCCAGGTTGGGCTGGGCGCCCGCCTCTTCCCGCAGTCTCACCTTCACCTCCTCTCCGCCCGTCCGTCCGTCCCGCAGGCTGAAGGCGAAGGAGGAGGAGTGGCGAGAGGCCCAGCAGGGCTTCAACAAGATCTGGCGGGAGCAGTACGAGAAGGCCTACCTCAAGTCCCTTGACCACCAGGCCGTCAACTTCAAGCAGAACGACACCAAGGCCCTGCGCTCCAAAAGCCTCCTCAACGAGATTGAGAGTGTCTACGACGAGGTGGGTGCGGGGGCCTCTCAGGGCCACATTCCCCCCTTGCATGGGAAGCTTCAAGAGTCGGCAGCGGAGGCGCCTGCCGGAATATCCGGTGGCGGGGAGTTCCACAGGACAGGGCGTATGAAACTAGAGGCTCAGTTTCTCGCCGTCAGACGGGGCGATCTCAGCAACTGAGCTGGGCTGGGAGAGCTCGGGTGCCCCCTGAGTCACTCAGGGCTTTGCAAAGGGATGGAGAGGAGATGGCCGTGTCTTGGTCGTGGGGGGGGGGGGCAGCCATTGCAGCTAGACTGGGGACTGGGAGTGGAGACCATATAACACCAGTCCTGAAAGACCTACATTGGCTCCCAGGACGTTTCCAGGCACAATTCAAAGTGTTGGTGCTGACCTTGAAAGCCCTAAACGGTCTCAAAGGCCCAGTAGACCTGAAGGAGCTGTCCATGGAGGCGCAGGTCAGTTCTGTGTCCAGGACAGCTGTCTCCCAGCTCCATCTGGTACGCAGGATGAGACCCTCCCTGCCCGCAGACTGTCTGGCCAGAGTGGTGCATGCTCTGGTTATCTCCCGCTTGGACTACTGCCATGCGCTCTCCGTGGGGCTACCTTTGAAGGTGACCCGGAAACAACAACTAACCCAGAATGCGGCAGCAAGGCTGCGGACTGGGAGTGGAGACCATATAACACCGGTCCTGAAAGACCTACATTGGCTCCCAGGACGTTTCCGAGCACAATTCAAAGGGTTGGTGCTGACCTTGAAAGCCCTAAATGACTCAGTAGACCTGAAGGAGCGTCTCCACCCCGGACACCGGGGTCCCTCTCCCGAGGGCCTTCTGGCGGTTCCCTCCCTGCGAGAAGCGAGGTTACAGCGAACCAGGCAGAGGGCCTTCTTGGTGGTGGCGCCCTCCGATCAGATGTCAAGGAGATAAACAACCATCTGGCTTTTAGAAAACGTCTAAAGGCAGCCCTGTTTAGGGAAGCTTTTAATGTTTGATCCTTTACTGTGTTTTTAATATTTATTGGGAGCTGGAGAAACCCATCCAGATGGGCGGGGTATATATAATAAAATGATTGCAGTAATCATTCCCTTAAATTGGTCCTTTTCCTGGTGTTTCTAAGCAAAGGTTCATCCCCTTACGATACAGGAAACCGTGCTTTCCATTGTATTTTAAAATGGGGTTTCAGAGTTGTTAGGGGTGTCTGAATGTTTTACGTTGATTTTCAATTTCATTGTTCTGTATGGGGCAACGACAATAAAGATATCGTTGTCGTTAAGTCCATCTCTCTCCCTCTCTCGAACCTCCAGCACCAAGAGCAGCACTCTGAGGGACGGGGCGCCCTGAACGAGCCGCACCTCATCTTTGTCTACGAGGACCAGCAAATCCTGGAGGACGCGGCCGCCCTGGTGGGCTACTACGTCAAGCGCCAGCCCACCATCCAAAAGGAGGACCAAGCCACCATCTGGCAGATCGTCCACCGCTTCGTCCCCGACCTCTTCTTCTCCCAGCCCCCCGGCCACGACCCCCCGCCCCCCGCCCCGGAAGAGGCGCCCGAGGCCGGCAAGGGCAGCCCCAAGCGGCCCCCCGCCCCTCCACCGGACGCCCGCGACTTGCGCAAAAGGGCTCCCCCGGCCGAGGACAAGCCGCTGCCCCCCTCCGCCACCGCCCCGGAGGCAGCCCACGAGCTGCGGAAAAGGACGCCCCCCGCCGACGAGAAGCCCCCCGCCCCGGAGGGCCACGAGCTGCGCAAAAGGAACCCCCCTGCGCTCGCCAGGGAGAAGGGCGGCGGCGGCGGCAGCTCGGAGGGTGCAGCAGCGGCTTCTCCCCCCGCCCTGGCTGCCCCTTCCTCTGCCCGGCCGCGCCGCTCTCTGGACAACGTCTACGCGCTGTTTTTCGCCAACAACAACTGGTACTTCTTCTTGCGGCTGCACCAGACACTCTGCTCTCGGCTGCTCAAGATCTACCGGCAGGCGCAGAAGCAGCTCCTGGAGTTCCGGGCGGAGAAGGAGAGGGAGAAGCTGCTCTGCGACGGCCGCAAGGAGAGGGCCAACGACCCGGCCATGGAACTGCGCCTCAAGCAGCCCAGTAAGCAGGGCGGCGGGGAAGGAGGGCGCAGGGAAGGAGGGCGCGGGGAAGGAGGTCTGCGTTCGGCCAGGGACCAGGGAGAAGGTGGGCTCTCAGATTCCGGCACCCAGCGAGGCCAGGGAGGGGGAAAGGGGGTCACGGAGGATGTGGGAAGTGGCCTCGCCGCTCGGCCCTCCTAGCTAGAGGCGGGCGGTAATTGCGATTGTCCGAAACTGGTGTGGCGCTCGCTCCCGTCACGCTGGTGGCAGCTGGAGAGCTGTGACGTGGCGCCGGCTATGATAATAATGATAAGATTTAGTCGCGTCCGCCTCTTTGTGACCCCCTGGACCAGAGCATGCCAGGCCCTCCTGTCCTCCACTGCCTCCCGCAGTTTGGTCAGACTCATGTTCGTAGCTTCGAGAACACTGTCCCACCATCTCGTCCTCCGTCGTCCCCTTCTCCTTGTGCCCTCCATCTTTCCCAGCATCAGGGTCTTTTCCAGGGAGTCTTCTCTTCTCATGAGGTGGCCAAAGTCTTGGAGCCTCAGCTTCAGGATCTGTCCTTCCCATGAGCACTCAGGGCTGATTTCCTTCAGAATGGATGGGTTGGATCTTCTTGCAGTCCATGGGACTCTCAAGAGTCTCCTCCAGCACCAGAATTCAAAACATCCATTCTTCGGTGATCAGCCTTCTAATGATAAAATAGCCTAATGATAAGATAGGCTAGCTCCTTCGGTTCCTATTTATTCATGAGGATTAGAACCTTAGCTTGCCTTTAAGGGAAGAGCTGTCCCCAAGCAGTCAAGTGTCCTCTGTGCACAGAAGGTGCCAATCTCCAGACACGGCTGGCAGTACAACCCTAAGTCTGATCTGATCCGATCCGAGGCAGTCTTCTCCCGCTGCTCGATGGCCACACTGCCTCCCCTACCCTCCAGTCTCAAGCAATCGCAGAATCCTAGAGTTGTAGATTTGGACGGGACCCCCAACGATCATCTATCCCAACCCCTCCGCAGGCGCAGAATTCCTGACGGGTGGCTGGGGAATAGGAGCCCCGGCGTGTTGAGACGCTGGCTGCCCCATCTCAGCACCCCACAGAGGGGTTTTGTGTCTCGTGTGTGTGCGTTCTTGCCAGGCGAAGTGGAGCTGGAGGAGTACTACCCGGCCTTCCTGGACCTGGTGCGAAACCTGCTGGACGGAAACATCGACCCCACCCAGTACGAGGACACCCTGCGGGAAATGTTCACCATCCATGCCTACGTTGGCTTCACCATGGACAAGCTGGTGCAGAACATCGTCCGGCAGGTACCGGCCGCCTCCTGGGGGGGCGGTAGGGGGCACTGGTGTGCAGGGGGAGGCCCTGACCCCAAGGGGGTGCTGGACAGGAGTTGCGGGGGACAGAGGCCGGCTGCAGCAGGGCCCCCTGCCCTGCTCCACACGGAGGAAGGAAGACCCCAGTGTTTGGGGGGGCCTCTGCCTAGGACACGGGTGGCGCTGTGGGTTAAACCACAGAGCCTAGGACTTGCCGATCAGAAGGTCGGCGGTTCGAATCCCGGTGACGGGGTGAGCTCCCATTGTTGCTCGGTCCCTGCTCCTGCCAACCTAGCAGTTCGAAAGCACATCCAAGTGCAAGTAGATAAATAGGTACCGCTCTGGCGGGAAGGTAAACGCCGTTTCCATGCGCTGCTCTGGTTCGCCAGAAGCGGCTCAGTCCTGCTGGCCACATGACCCGGAAGCTGTACGCCGGCTCCCTCGGCCAGTAAAGCGAGATGAGCGCCGCAACCCCAGAGTCGGCCACGACTGGACCTAATGGTCAGGGGTCCCTTTACCCTTTACCTTGCCTAGGACTTTCAAATCACAGAATTGCAGTGTCCAATTTTTCTGACAAAGGGTGTTTAAGGAGAGGACAGAAACCGCTGGGTTAAAAGCTGACCGGAAGCCCAGAGGTAGCGTTGTTATCGATTTACGCCGGGACGGAAGGTTCGCAGGCTAGGAAGGACTGGCTCACAGATTTATGGACAGCTGATGGCCAGGAAGTGGAAGGGGCAAGCAGACGATGAAATAGAAGAATGGTATAAAGAGGTGTGGGATATATAGCTATTAATGATCTATTAACATGCGCTGTTAAGGTAAGGTGCGGAGCATGCAGCAGAAATGATTTGAGGAGGTATGGAGGGTGTTTGAAGAATTTGCACTAATAGTAATAATAATACCTGATAATGGTCACTGATTGTATTACTTGGGCAGCCTGGATATTCTTTTGTGATGGTTAATACTTCAGTTCCTGAATCCAGGTCACAGGCTCACCCTATTCATACACAAATGCGCCTGTAAGACAGGATTTGCAAGCAATAATAATGATGATGATGATTTATTATTTATACCCCGCCCATCTGGCAATGGGAAGGCTTTCCCCACTTGCAGAAGAATATTTGAGGTCATTGGGAGAGTCCAAATGGCTTCAGGATTGCTCCCCTGTACTATTCCGGGTGCATGGTTCATACGTTTAGATATGTGTACGTTTAAGAGGTTTTATTCTGCATTTGAGACCTTAAAATCCTGACCACGTCCCCCTGGCTCCAGCTGCACCACCTGGTGAGCGACGACGTCTGCCTGAAGGTGGTGGAGCTCTACCTGGGCGAGCGGAAGCGAGGGGCGGCCGGCGGCAACCTGTCCTCCCAGTGCGTCCGGGCGGCCAAGGAGACCAGCTACCAGTGGAAGGCGGAGCGGTGCATGGCGGACGAGAATTGCTTCAAGGTGCGGCACCCTCCACCCTCTGCGGCTCGGCTTGCCCGGAAGTGGGGGGTCGGCCACGCTGGGGGTTTGGGGAGAGACCCCTTGAACGCTGCTTGTGGCCGGAGCCCATGTGTGTGACCCCCTGCCTCGCCTCCCCGCAGGTGATGTTCCTTCAGCGGAAGGACCAAGTGATCATGACCATCGAACTGCTGGATACGGAGGAGACCCAGACAGAAGACCCCCTGGAAGTCCAGGTGATTCCCGGCCTCCCTATCACGCGCGCCGTGAGATTCCTCCCTGATGGGGGTGCGGACCCCGCGGCCGGTTGCGTCTGTCTGCAGGCATCGCGTCCCAATGGGTGGGCCGCAAACCACAGCCAGCCTCCCTTGCACTTCTCTGCTGCTCTTGGGAAGACCGAAAACAACAAGGAGAACAATTTTATTATTTATACCCCACCCATCTGGCTGGGTTGGGCCCGGTTTAGCTTGGCAGCTGCAATCTCTGGTTTTGTATTACAGCCGCAAGCCCTGGTTTAGTGTGGCAGCTGCAATCCCTGGTTTAGTGGCAGCCGCAATCCCTGGTTTAGTGTGGCAGCCGTAATCCCTGGTTTAGTGGCAGCCGCAAGCCCTGGTTTAGTGTGGCAGCCGCAAGCCCTGGTTTAGTGTGGCAGCTGCAATCTCTGGTTTTGTATTACAGCCGCAAGCCCTGGTTTAGTGTGGCAGCCGTAATCCCTGGTTTAGTGTGGCAGCCGCAAGCCCTGGTTTAGTGGCAGCCGTAATCCCTGGTTTAGTGTGGCAGCCGCAAGCCCTGGTTTAGTGGCAGCCGTAATCCCTGGTTTAGTGTGGCAGCCGCAAGCCCTGGTTTAGTGTGGCAGCCGCAATCCCTGGTTTAGTGGCAGCCGTAATCCCTGGTTTAGTGTGGCAGCCGCAAGCCCTGGTTTTGCATTATAGCTGCAAGCCCCAGTTTAGCGTGGCAGCCGCTACAGCCCCACAGGTCTCCAGCTCGTGCCCCCACCCCCAAACCTCTGAGTGTCGCTCTCCCCTTTGCTTCCTGCCTTTTCCTCTCTCCTCCAGCACTTGGCCAACTACGTTGAGCAGTACGTGGGGGTGGAGGGGACCCTCAGCGGCCAGAACGAAGGCTTCCTCCTAAAACCCGTCTTTCTGCAGAGGTGAGGGACCCTCCGGCGCACGAGGGGGGCGGGTCTCGCTCCCACCTCCAGAGCAGGGATTTGGGGTGGGCAAAGATGGCACCCCTCACTCCCTCCTGCCTCTCTCCTGCCCCCCAGGAACCTGAAGCAGTTCCGGCGCTGGCAGTGCGCCCAGGTGCAGGCCGCCCGAGACAAGGCCCGGGGCTCCTGGAAGCAGCTGGTGGGGGTGGAAAGCGCCTGCAACGTGGACTGCAAGTTCAAGCTCAACACGCACCGAATGCTCTTCGTCATGAATGCGGAGGATTACATGTACCGGCGGGGGGCCCTGGGCCGCGCCAGGCAGGTGGGTCTCAAGGGGGGCTATTTCCATTTACCTTTACAGTCTCAACTAGGGCAGGGCCTTTTCAGTACTGGCCCCGACTTGGTGGAACGCTCTGTCCCAAGAGACCAGGGCCCTGCGGGACTTGACATCTTTCCGCAGGGCCTGCAAGACAGAGCTGTTCCGCCTGGCCTTTGGTTTGGACTCAGTCTGACCCTTGTGTTTCCCTCCCCTTACGGTCTTGATCTATGGGCTACTATTAAAATGAGGCTGCGTTTTAAATTTTAACCCGTATTTTAAATTGGTCTCCCCCCCCCTTATGTTTTTACTGTAATTTAACTGGTGTGAGCTGCCCTGAGCCCGGCTCTGGCCAGGGAGGGCGGGGTATAAATACAAAATTATTATTGTTATTTACCTTGGCTCCCGAACAAATCGGCTCCCAAACGCCGAAAACCAGGAAGGCAGCGTTCCGGTTTAAGAACGCTTTTCGGAAGCCGAACGTCCGACGCGGCTTCCGGTTGGGTACAGCCAATCGGAAGCCGTGCCTCGGTTGCCGAACCGTTCCGGAAGCTGAACGGACTCCCGGAACGGATTACGTCCGACAACCTCTGTATAAAATTTACATGCAGGTCTTTGGGTATTATTATTAAGTTTATATACCGCCCTATACCTGGAAGTCTCAGGGCAGTTCACAGAAAAGACCACAACCTATATAACGGGTCAGCAAACCTTTTCAGCAGGGGGCCGGTCCACTGTCCCTCAGACCTTGTGGGGGGCCGGACGTTTGGAAAATGTCCCAAACCGCTGTAAATACCTGGTGATAGCATCCCACGGGCGGGGAGCCACCACAGAAAAGGCCCTGTTCTGGACCTCTGGAGAAAAGGTACAAAGAGGAGAAGGACCTCGGGTGGTGAGCTCAGATCCAGCTCCCCGGCTCCAGGGGGCCGATTTCCGCCGGTGACCCTCCCTCCCTCTCTCTCTCTCTGGCCAGGCGCAGCCGTCGGTCTTGCTGCGCTACCACCGGCGCTTTGAGGCCTGGCACCTGGGCTGGCTGAGCCGGCACGCCGGGCGCGAGGCGTCGGAGCTGGTCCAGGACTGGCTGATGGGCGACGACGACGAGGACCTGCTGCCCTGCAAGACCACCTGCGAGACGGTCAGCGTCCACGGCGTCCCGGTCAACCGCTACCGCGTCCAGTACAGCCGCCAGCCGGCCTCCCCCTGAACCTCTTCCCTCCTTCCTTCCCTCTGGCCGGCGGGGGGGCAGCCAGCCCACCCCTGGTATTTATCCGACCAGCTTTGCGGGGGGCAAGTGTCGTTTTCTCCGTTTGGTTTGTGACTTTGGGGGACGGGGGGCGGTTCGTTTGGGGCGCCCTCCCTGCGTGGCACGGGACGGACGGACGGGTCTTTCCAGAGCTCTCCAGGCCTCGGACTGCTTTGTTTTGGCCCAGGAGAGGGGGGCAAGGATGTGAACGGCAAGGAGGGACCCAGGAGACTGTTTTGGGTGCCCTCCCCACGTGACACTGGGGGGGGTGCGGGGGTTTGGCAATGCCCAGAGCTCTCCAGGCCTCGGACTGCTTTGTTTTGGCCGGAGATGGCAAGGAGAGACCCAGGAGAGAAAACTCGGAGCCCCCACCGCCACCGCCAGGCCTTTCTCCCGACCCCCCCAGCCCCATCGGTCACTGTACGGTGAGCACTTCCTATCGCCCAAACGCGAGGCCTTGTGAGAAGCAAAGGGGGCTTTCCTTTCTACGCCCCCCCTTCCCACCCCACGGACTGCGTGGCCTTTTTGGTGCAAAAAAAAAAAGTGTCCTCTTGTGTGCGTCTGGTGGCTTGGGGGGGCGCGGGTGGCCGAGCCCACCTGGAAGGGGGGGGTCGTCTCCCGCCGTGGGCACTTTGTGGACCATCCCGGCTGTGGGTTTTTATGGGGGGGGGGGGACAAGATCAAGGGGCTTCTCCTCCTCCCACCACCTCCAAGACGCTCCAGGGGTTTATTTCTTGGGGTCCCAAAGTGGGGGGAGGCCATTGCCCTGAGTGGTTTCTTTGGGGGGGGGCTTGGTTTCTCCGTTTCCTTTGCGAGATAATCTGGGGGGGGACGGGACTCTGTTGTCCTTTTATTTCTCTCTCTCTCTGCTCCCCCCCTCCAAATTTGGCAACAAAAGACACACTTGTGCGTGTGGTTTTTGGGGGTCTGCCCCTCCTCTCCCCTCTCTCCCTCCAATCACTGCCAAGGAATGGAAAACACCCCCCCAAGGAAATTGATTGGTTCAAACCTCCCCTCCAAAAAATACCAGACCCCCCTTCACCCTCCTTGGACTCCAGGAAGGCTCTCCCCCCAATCCCCATATCTCCCCCCCATACCTGCTATTCTCCCAAGCGGGGGGCGGGGGGGACCGACTGTGCCAAAATCTCTCTTAACGAAACGATGACTTAAATGGTAGCTTTGTGGCTTAACGTGTCGTTTTTCTTTTCTTTCTTTTTTTAATTGGGGGGCCATTGTGAGGTTTGTAGGGGGGCGAGAAACCCTCCTCTACCCAGCTCCCCCCCCCCACTCTTCCTACTGGCCATATTTCTTCATCCCATTGTTTTTAAAAATAAATAAATAAACCCAATTTAATTTATAATCTGGGCGGGCAAAGCGTCCATCTCTCCGGGGGGGGGGGGGCGTCAGCAAGGCAACGGGGGGGGGGGCTTCCGGAAGCCGGGAAAGATCTGTCCGTAGCAGAGAACGCGAGAGACAATGCTTCTGGGGTTTTTTCCTTCTAAATTTCAATTTTTATTTCATCTCCGAAGGATCTCTCTTCCTTCTCTTCTTCCTCTATCCCACCCCCCCACCGCACCCCCCCCCGGCTTCCTCCCGCCTTTGTATTTGCTTTTGCCAACTCTTTGAATGTAGTTTTTAAAAGAAATTATTTATTTGCACATCAAGTAAAAATAAAATATTAATTTTGAAAACGCCAGAGGCTCCCTCGTGTTCTTCCTTCCCCCGCAGAACAGGCGGTGGGGCCCCCATACGAGGGGCGTACGTCGCCCGAGGGCCCCCTTCTGGGGACCGGGTGCAATGTTCCCAATTCCAGCCCTTGAGGGGAGATGGGTTCTGTGTGCGAGTTCCCAGAGGGAGAACCCGATCTCTGCACAGACAAGACTGGAAGACGGTTGCACCAGTTCAAGGGGGGGATGTCAAGGAAGATATTAATGGCCGTGACGGTGAACGTTTTACAGACCAAGCGCCCAAACCACAACCCAAAACCCACTTCATTATTGCCAACGCGGCAATTTAACCTGAATACTGAGGTTTTAGTTTAGGTAGAAAAAACAGCTCACACATTAACAAAATAAAAAAAAACAACAACCACAATAACAGAGCTTCCAATTATACAAACGCGATTTTTATTGAAAGGCAGAAGTTTGGAACAATTAATACAATTTTTGCTTTTGTGTGCATGCTGGTCATTTTGTCATACTTTCAGAACGGACGCTGTCCTTCGTCGTTCCTCTTCGTCTTCTCCAGTGTTTCACGCAGGGCACGGGATTTATTTTATAGCGCTTTCTTGACGTTCCAATACCCCCCTCTCCCGATTTCCTCAATCTAACCAGTCTAAGCCGGAAAGACCAAGTTGGTCACACTGGACTTGATCTGGAGAAGGAAGAAAACACAGGGTTGTCGCCGTCTCACGGAACCGTAAAAATCTGGCGAACTCGGTGCTGGGGTGACGGTGGCGCGTGTGCCCACGGAGAGGTCTCCGAGTGCCCCATCTGGCGCACGTGCCATAGGTTCGCCGCCACCGATTTAAGGGGCTGCTTGTCCCCAGGACTGCTTCCCCACACGTGGGGGTCTCCTGTTCCGTACACAGTCTGCTATCTGCCGCCAGAAGTTTCCTCTTCCTCCATTTCTCTGCATCGAGGTCATTTCCTAGCGCTTATCAGCACCAGAAAGACAAGCCTTTGTGGGGACGCGAAGGATGTTTATAACAAGGGGGGTGGGAGAGCTGCGGCTGGTCTCCGTCCCTCGCCAATATGCCCCTCGGAGACGGCCTGCGGAAGGACGCTGCCTCGGGACCCTCACCCCTTTGGGAACTGCACCCGGGGCCACTTCTGGAGCCATTGCCATAAGCTCACAGGCAGAGCAGCTGCTTGGGTTGCAGAACGTCTCGATTTCCATCCCCGGTGGAATCTCCAGGGTGGGGCTAGAAGTGTCCCAGCGCTTTTGGGATTTTGCAGAACTAGGGATATTAGACCGGGGGGATTTGAGTTTAGGCAAAGCCAAGAGTTCAGTGTCCTGCGCCAGATCCGTAATTCTACCGGGGAAGATTAGCCTCTAGGCGCAATGATGTGTTTGGGATTGTTTTACTGACAATTTGCCCAGTATTTATACGACTTATGCTGTGCTCGTGACATTCCATTGTGTTATTTTTAATTTCCATCCATTCCGGCTTGCCCAGCCACTGTGTCCTTTCTCTTGGCAGATCAAGATGAGCAGGTGACAGCAAAGGTGGCAAGGTTTTTTAGCCGGGGCAATCAGAATAAGATCCACTATTTGACCGTTGATTCAAAACCCAAAACAAGCATAGGTAAACTCCGGCCCTCCAGATGTTTGGGACTACAATTCCCATCATCCCTGACCACTGGTCTTGTTAGCTAGGGATGATGGGAATTGTAGTCCCAAACATCTGGAGGGCCAGAGTTTGCTTATGCCTGCCCTAAAATGTATTTTATAGAATTGACTTTTTGTTTCTATTCTTTGCATAGCGCATTGTTTTATTGCAATGACTGGTGGCTGACGCAAATAAAGATCCATTCATTCCTTCGTTCATTCCCTGCTCTGGGCTGGAGGTGCTGCTGGGCATTCGGCGTGCCAGCCTTCTACATGCCCAGCATGTGACCTGGCCTCCCTACAGCCTCGATAACCCAATTTGTGGCTGAGATGGAATAATGCCTTTTGCCCTCCCTCTCCCAGCTGCGGTCTGAGAAACGACTGGGACAGGTCTCTTCCTCTGCCGATTCCGCGAAAGAGAAGAGTTTTGTCTTGCGAGAGTCAAAGCGCGTCTATATTTTGGAATTGCTGGGTTATGCAGAGAGGGTGCCGGAGAGTCGTAAGGGGAAGGTGGAAAATAGTCACACCATGGGCAAAATTTCCATATTGTGGCCAAGTTGTTCTGACGCTCGATATCATAGAATCATAGAATCCTAGAGTTGGAGTAGACCACAAGGGCCATCGAGTCCAACCCCCTGCCAAGCAGGAAACACCATCAGAGCACTCCTGACATATGGTTGTCAAGCCTCTGCTTAAAGACCTCCAAAGGAGGAGACTCCACCACACTCCTTGGCAGCAAATTCCACTGTCCAACAGCTCTTACTGTCAGGAAGTTCTTCCTAATGTTTAGGTGGAATCTTCTTTCTTGTAGTTTGGATCCATTGCTCCGTGTCCGCTTCTCTGGAGCAGCAGAAAACAACCTTTCTCCCTCCTCTATGTGACATCCTTTTATATATTTGAACATGGCTATCATATCACCCCTTAACCTCCTCTTCTCCAGGCTAAACATGCCCAGCTCCCTTAGCCGTTCCTCATAAGGCATCATTTAGGCACTGACAAATTAGTCTGTTTGCTTTGCTAAAACCCAAAGTGAGTAGCCGTCATGGTGATAAACCACAAGAGTGAAGTTTTCGAGAGACAATTTTAGTCCAGGCACTTTGGGGATCTTGCAGCACTTGGGATATTAGACTGGGGGGGGGGGGATTTGAGTTCAGGCAAAGCCAAGAGTTCGGTGCCCTCCGCCAGATCCGTCATTCTACCGGGGAAGATTAGCTGCGGTCTGAGCAACATCTGGCACAGGCCTGCCTCTTCCTCGGCCGATTCCGCGAAAGAGAAGACTTTTGTTGCGTGCAAGGGAGTTGCAGGGGGGGGGCGACCCTGCAGTGTCACTGGGTTTGGGGTGGGGAGTGTTTCCTGGAGTTAAGAGGCTGAGCCAGGATGTTGCTCCTTGCAGCAGCGACTTCTCCAAAGCAGGATGCATCTGTGTGGAGCGGGGCCAAGCCTGCGTCTCTGGCTGCTCACGCTGTTCCTCTTGTGCGGGCAGCCGGCGAAGGCTGCGGCGGCCGACGACTACGATGGTAAGTGGCATGGAAGACCCCCCAGCCCCCCCTTTTTAGCTGGGCAGGAGGGTGCAGGATTCTGCTTTTGGCCCGGGTGCTGCGGCAGACAGGCGTTGGGACTTCCTTTTCTTGAAAATTTATTTATTGGGTTTTTCAACTTGAAATTTCGCAGAGATATCTCAGACATAAATCACAAAGCTGCTGCCCCACGGAAGCTGGGGGTGCTGCCCCCCTCTGAAAACCCCACTTGACAGGACATGGGCAGTGGGTTTTGGTTCCAACAGCACTAACCCAACCTCTTTCCGCCTCCCCAGATTATGCCATCCCCAACGGGACCGAGGCCCCCCAGCGCCTGCCGCCGCTTGGCCTGTGCCCCCGTGCCATCCCCTCTGCCCAGGTGACCCTCAACCGCACCACCTTCCTGGTCCTGCCCCCGTCCTCACAGGCGCAGCTGGACAGCCCCCTAACCACCCTCCTGCTGCCCTCCTTCTATGCCCTGCTCTGCCTGGTTGGGCTGCCTGCCAACGCCCTGGCGCTCTGGGTCCTGGCCACACGCGTCGAAAAGCTCCCGTCCACCGTCTTCCTGATGAACCTGGCAGCTGCCGACCTCCTCCTGGGGCTCCTGCTGCCCTTCAAGGCTGCCTACTACTACCTGGGCAACCACTGGCCCTTTGGCGAGGGCATGTGCCGCCTCAACACAGCCGCCTTCCACGCCAACATGTACTGCTCGCTCCTGCTGCTGGCCTGTATCAGCGCCGACCGCTACCTGGCCGTGGCGCACCCCTTCCTCGCCCGCTCCTTCCGCAGCCCGGCCTTCGCGGTGGGCACCTGCGCCGCCGCCTGGGGGGCTGCCATCCTCTCGGCGCTGCCCCTGGCCCTCCGGCGCCAGTCGTTCCCCCTGCTGGGCACGGGCCACGTCTTATGCCATGACGCCCTGCCCGCTGAGGACGACGCCACCTATTTCCGCCCCTATTTCGTCGCCCTGGTGGCCGGCGGGTTCGTGGCCCCGCTGCTGGTCATGGTGGTGTGTTCGGGTGCCACCCTGTGGGTCCTGGCGGGGAAAGGGGACCGCTACGCCACTGCCATCAAGCTGACCGTCGTGGTGGTGGTGTCGGTCGTGGCTCTGTACACCCCAAGCCATGTCCTCCTGCTCCTCCACTACTCCAGCCGCTGCGCCGGCGCCCAAGGGACCCTCTACGTGGCATACATGGGGGCCCTGGCAGCCAGCGCCGGCAACACCTGCGTAGACCCCTTTGTATACTACTACGCCTCGGAGGAATTCCGCGCCAAGGTGGCGGGGAGGATCTTCGGCGCACGAAAGGACTCGGCTGTCTCCCTGAAAACCAGCAAAGAGACGCTGCCCACGAAATGCTCCCAGGCCCTGGCATGAAAACAAAACAATGATAATTTATTATTTCTACCCCGCCCATCTGGCTGGGTTTCCCCAGCCACTCTGGGCGGCTTCCAACAGAATATTAAAATACAATATTAAACATTAAAAGCTAAACAGGGCTGCCTTCAGATGTCTTCTAAAAGTCTGGTAGTTGTTTATCTCCTTAACATCTGACGGGAGGGCGTTCCACAGGGCGGGCGCCACCACCAAGAAGGCCCTCTGCCTGGTTCCCTGTAACTTGGCTTCTCGCAGGGAGGGAACCGCCAGAAGGCCCTCGGCGCTGGACAATACAGTATCATAACTTATTGATTCCCCCCCCCCCCAAAAAATACCCCCACAATTTCCTGTACTACAGGCATGTCCAACTCCCAAGAGACTGCAATCTACTCTCCCACTATGAAAAAACTGGGAGTGATCTATCCAAAGTTGCTGAGCTTTTTGTGGGGGGGGGGGGCAGGGGCCAATCGATCAGGATCATGCAATCGACCAGGGTTGACCAGGGACACCCCGCAATCGAACGGTGGATCACCATCGACCAGTTGGACATGTCTGCTGCAGTGTAAAGGGACAAACTTTCGCTCAGAACTTGGGTAGAACAAACCCATAGAAATAGCTCATCACAAGTGGCCCCCCCAAAATTCAGCTGAAACTGCAGCTTTTATTTGCTCCTTTGCAAACACCGGGAAGCCCGTAGATTTCGTTCGCAAACCTGATTCCAATGGGTGCTGGATAATTTCGATACATGATGCAGTCACACAGAGAAATAAAAAATTCATTTGTTGATTTTTGGGGCGACCTTCTCCTCCACCCCCAAGATTTGGAAACGCCATTCTGTCGTTTTTAGGCAAAAGTTCGCCAAACGGAGCTACAAGGACACCGGATTGTACCAAAGTCCTAACCTTCACCTTTCTCCGGAAGGAAACGAGAGGCGCCGTTTGATTTTTAGACATCGGTTTTTAATAAAATATTTTATCAACATCTAAATCAAACTTCTTCTTCCGCGCCCCCCGCCCACGACCTGGGCACTCGAACTCGCTACTGAAACGTGTGCCGAGGTCCGCAGCCCCCCCTCCGGGTGCCTCGGGTTTGCGGGCCGCCCTACTGAAATGGGGCTGGGGGCAGAAGGAGGGCAGGGGTCTCCGAGCTCTTCTGGGGTGCAGGAGCTGGTTGTGCTGGGAGGGGGGGGTCCCCGGTCTAGGGCAGAAATGGGAGAAAGCGAGAGGGGCTGCCGGATGCTGTGGGGTGGGGTTCACCTGCCCCACTCGGTCGCCCCCACCCGGGACGTGCGGAATGGCCGTTTCCAAAATAAATACCGGCACAGCAAAAGGGTTCTGGGTAGCGGCCGAGCGAAGGGGGCACATTCTGCCTTGCTCAGAGGTGGGGCAGAGGGGTCCTGGGATTGTTGCGGGGGGTGTTTGTGCAAAGAAAAAAACACGGAAAGTGGAGGGAGGCTGGTTTCTCACCCCCCCCAAAAAAAGAGAAAATCCCCAAGTTGCGGCTCGTATCTCGGGATATGGCAACAATGTGGGGGAACTTTTCCTCTGTGGCCCCCGCTCTTTTTAAAGCGAAAAGCCAGGGGTTGTGGGTTCAAGAGGGGAAGGGGCTTGTGTGGCGCCCCTGGGTGGGTTGGAAAAAAGGCCTTTTCACTGGGAAGGTTTATGCACCAAGCATTCGGGGAGGAAGGCGGGACGAAAATGCAGAATGGAGAACGTTTCCTAGTGGAAAGAAAGGGAACATTCTGAACGGCCGATTCCAGGAATCCGGTGGGAACAGGGAGGCAGGAAACCCCCCAAGCCTAGCCCTGGCTCCTCGATTGCAGAGCTGGGCGTCGGGACCCCTGGGGGTCATCCAGCCTGACCCGCCGCAGCGCGACCAGAAAAGAGGTGGAAAAGTTCAGACGGAGGGTGGCGGTTCGGGCGGGTGAGGTTCGGGGAGCGTCTTGAGGGTGCCGTGAGATCTTGCCGGGCACGGGCAGGCAGCTTCCCCTTGCCCACCTTTGCCTCTCAAAGCCGGATGGGGTGGGGAGGAAGCAGGGTCCGGATCCGAGCGAGGCTTGGCTGGGGAGGGAGAGAGTCCGTGCTCCACCTCTGCGGCAGAAAAGCTCCTGGGTTGGCGTGGCGCAAGGGGGCAAGGGGTTGGCACGGAGGGCCTGGGGGGCGGGCAGGATGGGCAAAGTTTGCCTGGGGGGCAGCTGGGCTTCGGCTCCGCCTCGAGAGGCGGCGGGGAAAGCCTGGCTGGGTCTCCGGCGTGGGGCAGCCTCTGCTGGATTGGGGGAAGGGAGCCCTAGAGGAGAACAGAAAGAAAGGGGGAGAAGGAAAAGATTAGGGGGTGCGATTTGATTCCAAAGTAATCCATATCAATAATAATAATGATTTATAATGACAAATAATTGCTAATTACTATTGTTAAAATGAGAAAAGAATCAAATGACTCCCCCTAATGATAAGAACTAATATTTACCAATTCCTTTATCAGCAATAGTATAAAACAACAACAACTATTATTGAAATGAGAACGGAATCAAATTACTCTCCCTAATAATAACAACTAATATTTACTAATTTCTATTTCATTAATAGATGATGATGATGATCACTATTACTACTACTACTACTACTATTGCTGAAATGAGAATGGAATCAAATTACTCCCCTGATTAATAACTAATAATTACTAATTCCTGTAACAGTATAATAATTATAATAATTGAAATGAGAACGGAATCAAATTACTCCGCCTGATAATAACAACTAATAATTACTAATTCCTATTTCAGTAATAGTTTAATCAAATTACTTCCCCTAATAACAATAATAACAATTTTTTGTTGACAAAGGACAGTTGGATATATAAAAGGCCCCATTACATTCAGGAGCTGAGGGCCGCATCAAACCTCAATCCGGCCCTGGGCTTTCCTCTCTTTTTTTCCAATTAAGAGGTAAATATATTTCTCGAAATATAGGTCAATAAATCCAGCCGGCTCCTGGCTGCTGCTGCCCTGTGGGCTGGAGGGGGGGCGGATGATGTCACGAGCCCCTGCCCCACCTCCGCCCCACCCCGGGTCCCCACTCACCCTTCACTCCCCCGTGAGCACCGCCGGCCCCTGAAACCGGCCCCCTCCTGCCGCCGTGGTGCTGCTGGGGGCCGTCAGCTCAAAGGCGTCCCCTTCCGACATGGCGTAGGGGTCGACTTCGTATTCGTAGGAGTAGTAGGAGAAGTCCAGCTGGGAGGTGGGGGCTTCCTCTGAAAGGCAGAGAAAAGGGGTCAAACGGGGCCAGGAACCCCCCTCCCCCAGAGCCAAAAGGGAACGGTTCCAGGGTTACTTTTCCCAATTTCTAATCTTTCCCACGCTCTCTTGTTTTTTGCCAGTGGTAGCTCACTTCCGGGTTTTTGGCGTTTGGGAAGCAAGGTCCCACTGTAGCGCAAAACGGTTTGGAAGCCTGATTATGAGATGATATAAATGTGTGTGTGTGTGGATAGATAGATAGATAGAGATAGCTATAGATATAGATAGATAAGATAGAGAGATGATAGATAGATAGATAGATAGATGATAGATAGATAGATAGATAGATGATAGATAGATAGACAGATATAAAGAGATGATAGATTGATAGATGATAGATAGATAGATAGATAGATGATAGATAGAGATAGATATAGATATAGATAGATAAGATAGAGAGATGATAGATAGATAGATATATAGACAGACAGATAGATATAAAGAGATGATAGATTGATAGATAGATAGATAGATAGAGATAGCTATAGATATAGATAGATAAGATAGAGAGATGATAGATAGATAGATAGATAGATAGATATAAAGAGATAGATGAGATAGATAGATAGATAGATGATAGAGATAGAAAAATAAGATAGATATAGATGAAATAGATATAGATAGAGATAGAGATAGATAAAGAGATAGATAGATATAGATAGATGAGATCGATAGATGATAGATATAGATAGATAGATAGATAGATAGATAGATGATAGATAGAAAAATGAGATAGATCTAGATAGATAGATATAGATAGATGAGATAGATAGATAGATAGATGATAGATAGATGATAGAAAAATGAGATAGATCTAGATAGATAGATCTAGATAGATGAGATGATACATAGATGGATAGATAGATAGATAGATAGATAGATAGATAGATAGAGATAGAAAGAGATAGATGATAGATAGATAGATGATAGAGATAGAAAAATGAGATAGATATAGATAGATGAGATAGACAGAGATGATAGATAGATAGATAGATAGATAGATAGATGACAGATATAAAGAGATAGATGAGATAGATAGATAGATGGATAGATAGATAGATATAGATAGATATAAAATATATATCTCCGGAGGCAGAGTCCAGTGGTCGAGGGGTCTCACCGATTGGGGTTTCTTGCTCCGAGACACCGGGCAGTTCCAGAGGTCGAAAGTCAGGCTCTGTCTCTCCCGGGTGATTCTGGCCTGCGGAGAGGAACGCGGTCAGTGCGGTCAGCGGGGAGCCAGAGCCTGGTCCGACTCCACGTCAAGGCAGCTTCCCACGCTCCTATTTAAGCCGCCTCTCAATTCGGAAACCCTGAGGACTGGAATCTTGAAATGCTTTTGAGGGGAAGGTGGCGCTTAGCTGGGCAACAAGAACACCTGCTTGGCATACAGAAGGCCTTGACTTCCATTGGTATAGAAATGATAAGAATGTAAGAAGATTTAACGGTGCAGCTATTTACACCAACCCATTCTCCAGTCCGTAATGTAACTTATTCCTAGGGCAATGGCTGTGGTTAATAATAATAATAATAATAATAATAAATTTTATTTATACCCCACCCTTCCCGGTTCAAAAACCGGGCTCATGGTGGCTAACAACAAATTTAAAACACCTTAAAGGTAAAGGGACCCCGGACCGTTAGGTCCAGTCGTGGCCGACTCTGGCATTGCGACGCTCATCTCGCTTTATTGGCCGATGGAGCCGGCGTACAGCTTCCGGGTCATGTGGCCAGCAGGACTAAGCCGCTTCTGGTGAACCAGAGCAGCACACAGAAACGCCCTTTACCTTCCCGCCGGAGCAGTGCCTATTTATCTACTTGCACTTTGACGTGCTTTCGAACTGCTAGGTTGGCAGGAGCAGGGACCGAGCAACGGGAGCTCACCCCGTCATTGCAGGGATTCAAACGGCCGACCTTCTGATTGGCAAGCCCTAGGCTCTGTGGTTTAACCCACAGTGCCACCCGCGTCCCTAAAACACCTTTAAACACTTAATTATAAAAGCAGCATAAAATACAGTATAAAAACATGAATAACAATAAAATTCAAAAATCAAGTTAGGGCGGAAACGGCCCCGGAAGAGCGACTTACCGGCCGCGCACTGGGCCAGGGGGACTTGCTCGATCCGAGTGCCGTTCCCGCAAGCGGCCACTTCCATCTGGCAGTGGTTGGGGTAGACCAGGCCGTCGGAGCCGCAGACGGGGTCCCCGCCGGAGCCGCAATCCCGCGAACACTCGCACTGCTCAAAGTAGCCTTCCTCCTGGCAGCCCGAGAGGCTGTTGCAGAGCCCCGTGTGGACGAAACCTGGGCAGGCAGGGAGAGAAACCGGGTGCAGAACCATGGAAGGGACCCCCAGCGGTCATCTAGTCCAACCCGCTGCCAGGCTGGAAGTTCGCCTGTGTGATCACTTTCCCTCTTATACAGTGGTCCCTTGGTTCCCAAACTTAATCCGTTCCAGAAATTCCGTTCCAAAACCAAAGCGTTTTCAAACCAAGGCGCACTGCTTTCCCATGCAAAACGGATTAATCCGTTCCGGACTTTTAAAAGCAATTCCCTAAGACAGCAACTTAACATGAATTTTACTATCTAACCAGACCATTGATAATAATAAATAATAATAATAATACAGTGGTCCCTTGGTTCTCAAACGGAATCCGTTCTGGAAGTCCGTTCCAAAAGCAAAGCGTTCCAAAACCAAGACAGCGCTTTCCCATAGAAAGTCATGCAAAACGGAATAATCTGTTCCAGGCTTTTAAAAACAGCCCCTAAGACAGCAATTTTACAGATTTTACTATCTAATGAGACCACTGATCCATAGAATGAAAGCAATAAATGATGTGTTGTGCTATAAAATAAGTAAGATGGTATTGTAGATGATAAAAATGAAAATTTAGTTGTTTTCTTCCCTGCACTGATGATAGCCATTACTTGGATGGGGGGCTTTTATACATTTCCAAAGTCACACAATCAATCAATCAATCAATCCCTCAATCAATCAATCAATCAATCAGTAGCTGAACTGGGTACCACGCAGCCACAGAAACAAATGAACCGAAAAAGCCTCAAAAACAAAAATGCAAAATAAAGAGTGAAAACCAAAGCACCAAACTTAATCCGTTCTGGAAGTCAGTTTGACTTCTGAAATGTTCGGAAACCGAGGCGCAGCTTCTGATTGGCGCAGGCGCCCCGGAAACAATAGCCGACTGCCATGTTGGACGTCCGGCGTCCAAAAACCGTTCGGAAACTGGAACACTTATTTCTGGGTTTTCAGAGTTTGGGAACCAGAGCGTTTGAGATCCAAGATCCCACTGTATATGCCCATTCTGATCTGGCCCTGTGACATCCCCCTGCGAAAGACCCGCTGCCAAACTTAACCACTGGGCCACCTTTCCTTTTTCCTCCTCCCTCCTCGCTCTCTTTCCTTTCGTGCCATGCCAGCACCTGCCCTTTACCTCTGAGATTTCTAAGCCATTTTTTTGAAGGGGGAAAGGGCAGAGCAGCATTTCTGAGCCTGGCAGGCACAAGAAGGGGCTGCACCTGTGAGACTAGCCGCCCGCCCGCCCGCCCGCCTTCGGGACTCACCGACCCAGTGGCTGGCGCCGCTCTCCACCTCGTTGCAGAGGGGGCCGTCACAGAGCTCCCGGGCCAGGGGGCTGTTCTCGCTGACGTTGTAGAAGCGGGTGGCTTCGAAGGCTGCGGGTGCGAGAGGCGGGTCAGAAGAGGGGGCTGCCAGCGGCGGGGGGGGGGGGGCGGGGGGCACAGGTGGGTCCGACGTACCTGGTTCGTAGTAGTCGTACACTTTGATGGGGACGGGGGCCGTCTTCCCCACGACGTATTCCCGGAAGGCCACGAATTTGACGCAGGTCACGCACTGGCTCGGGATCTGGGGAGGAGGCGATTCGGTGAGGTCCCGAGGGCCGTTTTACGCGGCCCCCGCCAACCCACCACGGAGGGGGGCAGCCACCCCAAACCCACAACCTTCCCGTAAAATAGGGCCGCCTCTTGTGTTCGGAAGCTGACGGGTGATGTTCCTGGGGCCACATGCTGGGGTGTGTGGGGCCGGGGGCCAACGGGGGCGGAGCCACAGCTGCAATTCTTTAAATATACTTTTTCTACCTTAGGTAGTAGGGTTGGGCGATATATCGATTTATCATCCCAAATCAGTTTGAAGTGACGTATCGGTATATTGTGATGTTTAGCTGGTGATATATCACAGCCGGGGGGGCGGGGCGGGAAGGAACACACACAAACCCTACCCCATGGAATAAAAGAAACAAGTTACAACGGAGGACTGGCAATGAAAACGGATGGAATATGCAGAAATGTACCGGAAGAATAAGAAACGAAGGAGAGAGACTTTTAAAAATCCGATAGAGAATTACTGATTAGATGCAGACAACTTAAAACATTAGTCAGGTTGGCTTAAACTTGTGCCGTTGAGAAATTAAACTAAAAGGGAGTCTAATGGGAAATTAGATTTGAATCAGAGACGCCGTGGGGGGGGGGGGGGATATAAAAATAAGTAACTGTGCAGAAAGGAGGGAAGTCAAAGATTGATTATGCAAAGAGGTTGTTTTTCATTGAAATAATTGCACAACGAAGAAAGGGAAAATAAAATTATAAAGGAATTCTACCCAGAAGAGTAAAAAAGTGAGCCAAAGCTGCTCCCCTATGTCTAAACGGCAATTTAAGCCCTCTCGTCTTTGGGGGGGGGGGTCCAGCCCTCCAAATCCCCCATTTCCTCCCAAAGGGGGCCACCCACCCCCCTGACCCCACCCCAGGATTTCCCCCGCTTCCGGCAGGGCCTTCCGAGTGGTGGCTCCCCTGCCAGCTGGACTCACCTCGTCGAAATAGAAGAGGACTTTCCGGCCGTCCACCTCGTAGCGTTTCAGGCCGATCTGCTTGTTGGAGAGGAGCTGGGAGAGGCGGAAAAGGAGAGGGGGGGGAAAGGGGTCAGCCGGACCTGGCGGCTGGGTCTGCCCCCAACTTGCCCGGGGTTGGGCTAGATGACCCCAGAGACCCCAGAGATGCGCAGCCAGGGTGCGCAGCTGGGGCGGGCGCTTACCTGCTCCAGACTTTCCAGGTCGGCTCGGAAGCCCGAGAAGAGGGGGACCTCCAGGACGGCCATGTTGGAAGACCCCAAATGCAGCCACCTGCCCCAGAGGCAGCCGGGGGTCCGCAGGGAGGGAGGCCGAAGGGAGAAGAGAAGGAAGAAAGGATTTCGTGGGTATGAGGGAGCCGCCTTTGACTGAGTCCAACTAGCCCAGGAAGGCTGTGTGCCTCCCCAGCCTCCCTCTAAAAATTGAGGTTCTACCGAGGGAGACCACTGCTCTGTGTGCCAACACTGGCTGGCAGCAACGGTGCTCCGGGGTTTTTTTACCGTATTTTTTGCTCCATAAGACACACCTGACCATAAGATGCACCTAGTTTTTAGAGGAAAACAAGGAAAAAAATATTCTGAACGAAACAGTGGAGGTATGATTATTGTGGTTCCTGCTGTGGCCACAGACATGTGATCTGATGGTGAATTTGGGGTGACCCAGTGCAAAAATCCTGAGGATCCAGGGGCTTTTACCTCCCTGCTCCCAGGCAGCCTCCTTTATCTCTAGCGTCCCTTATCTCCCTCCCGATCGCTTACCAATCAGCTGCTTCCTTTCCCTCTTGTTTGCCTTAGTGTCTTCTCCTTAGCTGGAGCAGTTTTTCGCTCCTCTTTTTCTTCTCATTTCTCTCCTCATTACTTTAGTCTTCTTGTTTCCCCCCTTTGCAAGTTTGCTGTCTTTACCTCCCCCCTCCCAGGCAGCCTCCTTTATCTCTAGCGTCCCTTATCTCTCTCCCCATCGGCAAACGATCAGCAGTTTTGTTTCGACACCCACTTCCCTCTTTCTAGAAAATCTGCTTTTTGCCCCTGGGCAATTCAGCTCCAGGGACCACGCATTCGCTCTATAAGACGCATAGACATTTCCCCTTACTTTTTAGGAAGAAAAAAGTGCGTCTCATGGAGCGAAAAATACAGTATCTCAGTTAGAACCTGGTGCTGACGCCGCCAAGGTTGTGGGTTCGATTCCCGTACGGGACGGCCCTGGCAGTGCCTTCCTCTCCCCCCTGCGAGGTAGGCCAGCACGTCCAAGTGCAAGTAGATAAATAGGTACCGCTCTGGCAGGAAGGTAAACGGCGTTTCCATGTGCTGCTCTGGTTCGCCAGAAGCAGCTTAGTCCTGCTGGCCACATGACCCAGAAGCTGTACGCCGGCTTCCTCAGCCAGTAAAGCGAGATGAGCGCCGCAACCCCAGAGTCGGCCATGACTGGACCTAATGGTCAGGGGTCCATTTACCTTTATCTATCTATCTATCTATCTATCTATCTATCTATCTATCATCTATCTATCTATCTATCTCTATCATCTATCCAACCAGCTATCTATCTCTATCTATCTATCTATCTATATCTATCTATCTCTATCATCTATCCAACCAGCTATCTATCTCTATCTATCTATCTATCTATCTATCTATCTATCTATCTCTATCATCTATCCAACCAGCTATCTCTATCTATCTATCTATCTATCTATCTATCTATCTATCTCTATCATCTATCCAACCGGCTATCTATCTATCTATCTATCTATCTATCTATCTCTATCATCTATCCAACCAGCTATCTATCTCTATCTATCTATCTATCTATCTATCTATCTATCTATCTCTATCATCTATCCAACCAGCTATCTATCTATCTGTCTATCTATCTATCTATCTATCTATCTATCTATCTATCTATCTATCTATCTCTATCATCTATCCAACCGGCTATCTATCTATCTCTATCATCTATCCAACCAGCTATCTATCTCTATCTATCTATCTATCTATCTATCTATCATCTATCTATCATCTATCTATCTCTATCATCTATCCAACCAGCTATCTATCTATCTATCTATCTATCTATCTATCTATCTATCTATCTATCTCTATCATCTATCCAACCGGCTATCTATCTATCTATCTATCTATCTATCTATCTATCTCTAACATCTATCCAACCAGCTATCTATCTCTATCTATCTATCTATCTATCTATCTATCTATGCTGGATAGATATATAAGCTCAACAATCTCTAGCTTTGCGCCCCCTCGCTTGGGGGTCCCCCAAAAATTAAAGGAAAAAACAACAACTGGATGTACATTTCCAAAATATTATCCATCTATCTATCTATCTATCTATCTATCTATCTATCTATCTATCATCTATCTATCTATGCCAGCCTATGCAAGGTAGGCCAGCACCGTCAGCCCCCCCCCGAGCCCCCACCCCAAGCTCACCTCATGCAGGCTTCCACCATCACCCGGTACTCCTGCTGGTCCTGGTCGGCAGCCGGGTCGTCGTCGTCCCCCAGCGCCTGCTCAGCCCTGCGCTGGGGGGTCTCCTCTGGGGGGCCGGGCTTGGGGGGCCGCGGGGGGGCTCTCCGGTGCCGCTTCATCTTGGGCTCTTGCAGGTTGACCAGCAGCTGGAAGGAGGGCTTGGCCACCGGGTCGGGGACGTTGTAGGCAACGTCGATCTGGAAATGAAAACGGGCTCCGGGTTTATTGTGCCTGGGCTCAGTGCTGCCCGCACGGGTCGGCAGCAGCGGGGTTTCAGGCAACGTCCCGTTTAAATCAGCTTCTTCTCTGCTCTTTCACAAGGAATAGAAACTTGCTTTTTTAATCACAGGCCCTTCTGCATGCCAAGCTTCCCTTAAAAAGGCAAGCTTCTAGCCCTCACGATTAAAAAAAAGTTAAGTTTCTAGTCCTTGTGAAAGAGCAGAGACGCCGATTTTAACAGGAAGCTGCCCGTGGAAGGATATAGATCTTCACTAATAAATTATCGAATATGTGAATACAAATAGAAGTTATAAATACTGCAGCTGTTGTAAAAGGGATATTATTATGACCGGAATACGACTGGGTTAAATAAGACTTTGGGAGCAGAATTTTTTTTAAAAAATGATTAAACCTGTAATTCTAGCCACCAAATTTATACAACTGGATATTTGATTAATGGATGTTTGATTGGGTATTGTGATTTGATACGGATACAATGAGGCATATTTTGGACTTTTGCGATTGGGAACCAATAAAAATTATTTTAAAAATGGGAAAAAGTGGATGGGAAGCTGCCTCGCACGGAGACAGACCGCCGGGTCTGCCGGGATGCATGTTGCCGACACGGACGGGCAGAAGCAGCTCCCTGGGGTTTCAAACTCAGGACAAACTCCACAGTTGGGATATTGCACCTGGGACCCTTCTGCACTCCAAGCAGGTGTCCTCATTGAAAACAGAGCAAGGGGCTAGTCCTCACCGTTCTCCGGAAAGGGCTTAATTAAATCGGAGCCTTACGCCGTCGCTCCATCTGGGTGTGCGTTGTCTGTACAGGCTGGCAGCAGCTTACCAGGGGTTCTGATTTCTTTGGGGGGGGTAGTAGGATACAGAACGAGGCCCAGCCCAGGAACCGAAGACCCCGAGTCCAGGGAGACCCTCACCTGCAGGAGGCAGCAGCCGTCTCCCTTGGCGCTCACAAACAGCCCCGTGGGGAGGGAAGGGATCTGTCGAGGAAACATAGACCTCAGTATTGCCCACACGGGCCGGCAGCAGCAGCAGGAATTCACGCCTGGAAGGACGTCTTTCGCAGCTCCGTTGGGCATCGTCGGAAAACGAACCCAGGACCGTGCGAATCGAACCACTGACCCTCTCCGCAAACCCCCAGGCGGAGACCGGGCGCCCCCCGGGAGCCCAGAGCCCCTTCTACCCAACCACCCCAGGGTGGGAAACCCCTTTTTATACCCTGGCCGTCTGCAATAGCTTCTTGTTGCCCCGGTTCAGCTCGAACGTCTCTTGGTAGTCCAAGTTGGTGGAGGCCAGAGAGATTGTGAGGTTGACGCCTCCGACGTACGACAGGATGGCGTATTCGGCCAACGCCTGGAGGGCCACGCAGGTGTCCTGTGGGCGGTGGTGGGGAGGGAGAATAAAAAGAACCGCAGAGTTGGGACCCCCAGAGATCATCCAGCCCAACGCACTTGCAACTCTAAGCAACCGCAGGCAACACGCGCCCAAACATGTTCGAACAAAGTATTTGTTCGACAATTGTTTCACAATTCTTAAAGAGAAAATAGGTAATGGGGTCACACAAAAATAATCATCATCAATTGCATGGACAAAATTAGAGAAAGCCGTCAATCAGTATCAAAGAGGCAAACAAGCCTTTCTGCAAATAAGAAAAGTCAACCGCTGTTGCAGGAACAAAATAGTCCATCCCAATGTTTGGCGCATCCATTACCACAGAATTACTGGATTGTGACTGTTGAAAGGCTTGTTTGCCTGTGTCCCCCCCTGAAAAAAAGTGCTGTGCAAATGAATAATAGAATCACAGAGTTGGGACCCAACGGTCATCCAGCCCAACCCCCTGCGATGCAAGGGAATGTTCGCCCGATGGGAGATTCGAATCCACGACCCCACGGTTCAGTTTCCCGGTCTCCCAACTGAGCTATGAAATGACCGCAGCAAGCATCATGCCGCTCTGGCCGGTTGCTGGGCAACCCTTCCTCTGCCACACCCCTGGCAGGATTAACCCCTCGGTCCCCGACCCGATGATCCCTGCTGCCGCACTTCCCACCCCCTCCTTTAGGGGGCTCCCTCCATCTGGGCGTTTTCTCCCCTCTCAGATTCGGACGGGGCTCACCTGGGTGGAGGAAAACCCCCCCAGGGCGTTCCTCTGCTGCGAGAGCCATTTGACGACGGGCAGCGCCGACGCCACGTCCCCCAGGGCGGTGTACGTCAAGAGGGCGTAAGCTGTCATCTCGACTTCGGCCGACACCACTGCAGGGGGTGGTGGAGAAGAGCGGGGAATTGGGGGGCAGGACCCCCCCCCCCCCGAGTCAATAGTCCTTTTCTGCCCTCCAGCAACCTGCACTCCTGGCTTGACACCAACCCGCTCTCCACGTCTTTGCAGAATCCGCACCCGCTACCCTCAAATGCCCCCACAACCCCAGAGGAAATAAGAGACCCTTCTCTTATTAACGTTTCGCCCTTGCAAACTGCGGAGACTCACCAGACTGGGAGAGCCCATCGTTGAAGCCCATGAATGTGTCCTCGTCCGTCGCCAGGGTGCCCATAAGACTCCAGTGGGTGAAGCCGTCTGGAAAACAGGAGGTGGGTCAGGGTAAACTCGGAATCTTTTATTTTATTTTTTAAAGTCAATCCTTTATTAGGCACAGCAAACCACACATGATCAAACAGGCACCCTATGCAAATTGTGCAAAATACGAGCTCGGCATAACAAGGTTTGTCCCAGTCAGATCTTTAATTCCAGAGAAAATCAGTTTGCATAAGTAATACAATATATATATCATTTTATTTTTGGAGGGGAGCTCCCAACAGTCCAGTAGAGGACAGGGCAAAAGGTAAAGGGACCCCCGACCGTTAGGTCCAGTCATAACCGACTCTGGGGTTGCGGCGCTCATCTCGCTTTACTGGCCAAGGGAGCGGCGTACAGCTTCTGGGTCATGTAGCCAGCAGGACTAAGCCGCTTCTGCGAACCAGAGCAGCGAACGGAAACGCCGTTTACCTTCCTGCCAGAGCGGTACCTATTTATCTACTTGCACTTGGATGTGCTTTCGAACTGCTAGGTGGGCAGGAGCAGGGACCGAGCAACGGGAGCTCATTCCGTCACGGGGATTTGAACCGACCTTCTGATCGGCAAGCCCTAGGCTCTGTGGTTTAACCCACAGCGCCACCCGCCTCCCATGCAATATGGAGGAGGGCGGCGCAAATCCGGAATGGGCCGATTTTGCAAGTGACCGACAAGGACCTCAAACGGGTGCCCCCGGGGGTCCTCAGCAGGCACAGAACGGGTGAGGAAAGAGAGGGAGGGTCTTGCTGAGGCAGCCGGGCACCTGAGTGGTTAAGGGTTTTGGGGAGATTTATATAACGGATGAAAGAGAATATTTAAGGTGAGTCTCCCGGGTGGGGAAAGCAACCCAGAAGTATTTCTCTTAGGGATAACTGCGACGGATGTCCCCAAAAGGCAGGTGAACTTATTTCTGTTATCTGGAACGATGGCAGCGGGGGTATTATAAGCTCAGAAATGGCGAGGCGAAGCAGCACCCCCCAAAACAGAACAGTGCTTGAAATGGAATACGCCACATTGGCAAATCATAATTAAGGTTTTAAATGACAATTTTAGGTTATAATTTAGCGATCAAGATTTAATGTGTATTTAAAACTGCTGTTATACCTGAATTGTCTCTGTTAAACCCAATTGCAATTCAATGTGTTCCTGTTGTGTTTGATTTTTCCGATATTGTAAGTAAGCCGGAACTGGTCTGCGACCGTAATAATAAAATTCAAATTCACATTGTCAAATCTTAACTAGCAAAACCAGGCAGACTTTAAGGAGGGTTGGAAACCTCTGGTAGAATATTTGGAGTTATTGCAAAGGTGTAAAAATACAGGTAGGATTGGGAACAGCCGCAAAGTTGGTTCAGACTTTCTGCTGTTTGCAAAGGGCCAATTGGAGTTGTGTTTCCCTGCTAAATTTGGGGGAAGCCTCCGTTGGGTCGAGCGGTTATTTCAACGGCTTTCGTTCAATGTTAAATTTGGAAACTCTTGAAACATAAACCGTATTTTTTGCTCTATAAGACTCACTTTTTCCCTCCTAAAAAGTAAGGGGGAATGTGTGTGCGTCTTATGGAGCGAATGCAGGCTGCGCAGCTATCCCAGAAGCCAGAACAGCAAGAGGGATTGCTGCTTTCACTGCGCAGCGATCCCTCTTGCTGTTCTGGCTTCTGGGATTCAGAATATTCTTTTTCTTGTTTTCCTCCTCCAAAAACTAGGTGCGTCCTGTGGTCTGGTGCGTCTTATAGAGCGAAAAATACGGTAAACAAGGTGAAACATCTGAAGTTTCAGGGAAGTTTTTAATGTGTGACATTTTAATGTATTTTTCATCTTTGTGGGAAGCCGCCCAGAGTGGCTGGGGAAACCCAGCCAGATGGGCGGGGTACAAATAATAAATAATGATGATGATGATGATTATTATTATTATTGCAGAATAAGGCGGCCGGGCGGCTGACTCACCTTGCGTGAGCGCCATGGCGTTCATCTTCCGCAGGGCGGCGGGCGCAGACAGGCTTCGCAGGAGCGTGAGCGAATAGGCGGTCAGCACGGCCGTGTAGGGGTCTTCGGCCAAGAAGAAGTTGGATTCCAAAAAGTGCTTGGCCTTCGCCACAGAACTCTTTTCTTCCTATGCCGGGAAGGAAGGTGAGAGCGGGGGAAGAAAACCCCAAATCCGGCGGACTCTCAGGTCCCCCTACCTCTGAGGTTTTCCCCCGGCAGGGATTCTTTGAGCTGCTAAAATTGTCTTCCTCAAAAAACTTCACCCCGGTGGTTTATCCTCACATCAGCCGCTCACTTTGGGTTCCAGCAAAGCAAACAGGCCAATTTGTCAGCGCCTAAATCAGGCATAGGCAAACACAGCCCTCCAGCTGTTTTGGGACTACAACTCCCATCACCCCTAGCTAACAGGGCCAGCGGTCAGGGATGATGGGAGTTGTAGTCCCAAACATCTGGAGGGCCGTGTTTGCCTATGCCTGGCCTAAATGATCTCGAGCGTCGGAACAACTGGGCCACTATAAGGAAATTTTGCCATGGCATGACTATTTTCTACCTTCCCATTTCGACTCTCTGGCACCCTTTGACTCTCGCAAGATTGAATGTTTTGCCCTCGGCTGGACTTGAGGGACGATGCCAACAGATGCCACACGAAAAACGTCCCTGCAGAGATGGCAGTCCCGAATCGGTGGCGCATGCCCTTCTGGCTTGCCCTCTTGATAAAGACTTGAGGAATGAGATGATCACCCCTCTTTTATCACCCATTCCGGGTCGCTCAGCCACTGGCCCAGTGACCTTTCTCTTGGCAGATCAAGATGAGCAAGTGTTTTCAAAGTCTGGGGGTCTCTTTTTGCACCACCCGCCACACCCTGGCTTCTAAGCGCCCCCAAAAAAGGGAATCCCAGCCCCTCCAAGTTTTAACATTGAGTTTTACCTCGGAGGCGACTCCTGTCTCCAGCAGGGCGGCGACCACGTACGCCGTCAGCGATATTTTCCCGTGGATTCCTCCCTGGAATTCGAAAAACACACAAAAAAACCCCCCAGATTGGCAGACATCGCGATATATCAGTATACCGATATATCGCGACATACCAAGAGGTTGACCCTGATACCATATTTTTACGTGTACAACACGCCCCCTGTATAAGACACCCCCTATTTGGGGGGACTCGAAATTAAGAAAAGGGGGGGATTCCCCATGTATGACCCCCAATTTTAAACATGATTTTTGTATTAAAAAAAAAAAACTAGTCTTATACACGAAAAAGGATGGTATATTGATATATTGTGATATACCAGTGTGCTGCAATGTTTAGCTGGCGACATATCGCAATGCCGAAAAGCAGGCTATCGGCCAGCCCTAATAATAATAATAATGATAATAATAATAATAATAATAATAATAATAATTTATTATTTATACCCCGCCCATCTGGCTGAGTTTCCCCAGCCACTCTGGGCTGCTCCCAATCAAGTATTAAAAACAATACAGCGTTTTTAGCGTTTGCCCCGGCCTCCCGCCCCTTTTCCGATACCTGGATGTCCTTGTTCAAAATCCGCCCTCGTGCCGGGAACGATCCGTCCTCTTTCTGGTGCCGGATGAGCCAGTCCTTGGCAGCCGAGAGCTCCTTGGGGTCGATGAAGATGAACCCGCGCGATTGGGCAAAGGACTTCAGAACGAAGGCGGTGAGCCTGGCAAGAGAGAGGAGGGCGTTGTCGTCTGGGCACCCGGAAAGCCCCCCAGGGGCAGCCCATGCCAGCGGGCAGCCGGTCCCCCTTCCCTGCCAAGGACCCCGCTTGCCTCCTTACCACATGCTCCCTGAGGAATCCCTCTCGCCAAAGGCACTGTAGGAGCCGTCTTGCCTCTTATAGGTCAGCTGGCGCTGGTACCCTGCGGAGAGAGCATGGGACAGGATCCGTGAGAGGCAGTCAAGTACAACATTCCTTGCAATGCTAGAGAAGACATGGGAGGAAATGTTTGGTCCAGCCAGTCGAAACTTCCTGTTCCTCTTGGCTGGAGCATCCTTCCTTTTGCATGTGACCTTACCTGTCCAGGTAATAAAAGGACGAGTCACACATCACCCTTCCCTCTTTTTGACTTCCTTCTTCGTTTGACCAGCTTCTAGCTAGGACTGTTCTGCTAGCTCCTAGAAGCACTGGGATTATCCCCCCATATGGGGCAGATCCACATGTACATCTTTGTAACTAAGTCTGCCTCCAGGAATCCAACTGTGAACTGATGTGAGTCAACTTCTTTCATTGACTTTGAATAAGATTGTGGCAGCTTTATTCTTTTAAGAGGGATTCAAGGGAATTTACCAGGAACGTACAATTCAATCTGAGACAGACCGAATTGTATAATAGTGAGAGGCTCACACGAGCCTGCGACCAACTATCTGCTGTGCATGTGAAAGGGGGGATGTAACTGCTGCATAAAGGAACTTGCTAGCACAAGTTTAGGAGGGATATGAATAAACAATATATCCTCTCCTGCCCCCCAGAACATTCACACAGAGAGCTTAAAAGATGGCGGGAGGCGAGGTCCGACTAAAGAAGAAGGATGGAATATGCACAACCTTTGGGCTTAACATATAGAATAAGAGAACAAGAAGAAGTTTAGAGAAGACTGGAAAATGTTTATTGAATTTATGGGGGGAAATAGTGTACACTTGAAAACACTGGCAGCATTCAGATAAATTTACCAGCGTAAATATGGTTGGAACAATGGAATAACCGAACAGCGCAGTTTATGCAAAATATGCAGGGATTTATGATGTGCAAAATGAACCGTGGAAAGAGAAGAAAGGGAGTTGTGGATATCTCCGGGATGTAAAAAGGAGCGTTTTAAATTGTAAAGAGGAAAATTTAATAAAAAAGAGAGAGAGAGAAATAAATAAAGCTGCCCCATGGAGCTCTAACCTTGCACCAGGTAATCTGTAGCCTCCCTTTCCACCTCGGGGCTGAGCTGCCGTGTTTTTTGCAGGTACTTGAGGACGAAGATATTAGGTGCAAAATGGATCATATTCTGTTCCCCGCAGCCGAAAGGCAGTTGCAAGAGGTTGTCCAAGTTGTTAAGGGTCGGGCCCATCACGTCCCCTGCGGGCAAGCAAGACGACAGAAATTTAAGCCATTTATTTTGCATTTCCCCAACGTTACACAGAGTGGTACCTTGGTTCCCAGACACCTTGGCTCCCAAACAAATCAGCTCCTGAACAATCAAAACCCAGAAGTGGCTGTTCTGGTTTTTGAACGATTTTCGGAAGCCGGACGTCCAACACGGCTGTCGGCTATTGTTTCCGGGGCGCCTGCGCCAATCAGAAGCCGCGCCTCGGTTTCCGGACATTTCGGAAGTCAAATGGACTTCTGGAACGGATTAAGTTTGGTGCTTTTGTTTTCGCTCTTTATTTTGTGTTTTTGTTTTTGAGGCTTTTTTGGTTCATTCGTTTTTGTGACTGCGTGGAAACCCAGTTCGGCTACTGATGGATGGATTGTGTGACTGCGGAAATGGATAAAATCCCAAACAATGACTATCATCAGTGCAGGTGAAGACGAAAAAATAAATTGTAATGTTTATCATCTACAATACTGCCTTCTTTATTTTCTAGTACAGTACATTGATTCTTGCTTTCGTTTTATGGATCGATGGTCTCGTCGGATAGGAAGATTCATGCTAAATGGCTGTTTTAGGGGTTGTTTTTAAAAGTCCGGAACGGATTAATCTGTTTTGCATAACTTTCTATGGGAAAGCAATGTGCCTTGGATTGGGAACGCTTTGGTTTTGGAACGGATGAAGTTTGAGAACCAAGGGACCACTGTATGTTCCATTTTTGTGTTATTGCTATGGCTGCTGGCCGGTGCGAATGAAGTTTCCGTTTGTTTTTGTATGCAAAACCTGTAACTGTATTTTTCGCTCTATAAGAGGCACCAGACCACAAGACGCACCTAGTTTTTGGAGGAGGAAAACAAGAAAAAAAATATTCTGAATCCCAGAAGCCAGAACAGCAAGAGGGATCGCTGCGCAGTGAAAGCAGCGATCCCTCTTGCTGTTCTGGCTTCTGGGATAGCTGCGCAGCCTGCATTCGCTCCATAAGACGTACACACATTTCCCCTTACTTTTTAGGAGGGAAAAAGTGAGTCTTATAGAGCAAAAAATACGGTACTTTCCCCGACTAGTTTAGCAAGCAAACATGCAGGAATTTGGCACCCTCCCAGCTCATCCGCCTGCACCGTCCAGTACCGATGACGGAGGCGGTAGCCCGTTCCGACCCGGGGATGACGTTGTGAGGGACGCCCAGCGTGAAAGCCTCGTTGTGGTTCTCGTCCGCCTCCTTCTTCCTCCAGATCTTGAACTCGCCGACCGAGCCCCAGCCAGTGGAGAACCCCACGTACTTCACGTCCAGCGGCCGGGGGGGCGCCCAGCTCACGATGACCGACTCGTTGAGGGCGGAGGGGCCGTGGCCCACCTGCGGGGAAGGGGGGAGACACACCGGCCATCAGGAACCCCCCCTTTGCTCCCGGGGTCCCATCGAGGGACTCACATTAGGGGACAAATCCCAACCGTTTCATTAAGTGTGATCCATGAGAGGCAGTCAAGTACAACATTCCTTGTAATGCTAGAGAAGACATGTGAGGGAATGTTTGGTCCAGCCGGTCGAAACTTCCTGTTCCTCCTGGCTGGAGCATCCTTCCTTTTGCATGTGACAGAAGATGGGCGTGACCTCACCTGCCCAGGTAACAAAAGGACGAGTCACGCATCACCCTTCCCTCTTTTTGACTTCCTTCTTCGTTTGACCAGCTTTTAGCTAGGACTGCTCTGCTAGCTCTCAGAAGCACTGGGATTATTCCCCCATATGGGGCAGATCCGCATGTACATATTTGTAGCCAGGTCTGCCTTCAGACTTAGTTATTTAATATAGACACAAACAGTGCGCTAGAAACCCAGCCAGATGGGCAGGGTACAGATAATAAATTATTATTATTATTAAATATAAATTTAAAGCTAGATGGAGTTGGCGGGAAGTCAATGGAACTAGAAAATAAATTATTATTATTATTATTATTATTATTATTAAATATAAATTTAAAGCTATAAGGAGTTGGCGGGAAGTCAACGGAACTAGAAGGTGATAAGGTGTAAGAGATATGGACAATTTTTTGATGTTTGTTTGTAATGGATGATTTTGTGTTATGTTTTTCCTTTCCCTTTTAAGTTAAATAAAGTAATCTAAAAGCACAATAAATAAATAATGAAAATAAAATAAAATAAAATAAAATAAAATAAAAAGTAAAATAAAATAAAATAAAATAAAATAAATCTCAGCTGAATGCCCCCCCCCCCCGGTAAGAAAATTTCCGTGCAGTCAGGGATGCTTTCTGGGCTTCTAGAAACCCCCCTCCCAACATTGCCCCCACCTCTGGAGATGCCCAAATTTCCCACCTGGACGACCCCGTTGGCCCAGCTGACCCAAAAGCTCCGGAACTCGTCCCAGGAGAGGATGGCGGGCGTCTCTGCGCTGGCCACGGGCTCCCCCATCTTGCTGGTCGAGATCCAGGTCTTGGAGTTCTGGCGGCCCCCGATCACGATCTCCGTCATCTCGGCCATGTCGTGGGGTCCGGCCGACAGGGCCAGGTGGGCGTTGTGGTGGGCTTTGACGGACACCTCGAAATGCCCCATCCAAGCCGGCTTCCTCACGTACTGGTACTCGTATTTGTTGGGGGTGAAAATGTGGATTTTCTCTAAAGTAAAGGTAAAGGGACCCCTGACCGTTAGGTCCAGTCATGGCCGACTCTGGGGTTGCGGCGCCGGCTCATCTCACTTTACTGGCCGAGGAAGCTGGCGTACATCTTCCGGGTCATGTGGCCAGCAGGACTAAGCCGCTTCTGGTGAACCAGAGCAGCACACGGAAACGCCGTTTACCTTCCCGCCGGAGTGGTACCTATTTATCTACTTGCACTTTGACGTGCTTTTGAACTGCTAGGTGGGCAGGAGCAGGGACTGAGCAACGGGAGCTCACCCCCTCATTGCGGGGATTCGAACCGCCGACCTTCTGATCGGCAAGTCCTAGGCTCTGCGGTTTAACCCACAGCTCCACCTGCGTCCCTGGATTTTCTCTAGCCGGGGACTAAAACGGGGACCAGGGTTATTTTCCCCACGGGGGTCTTTCTCCGTACAAACGCAACACATGTACCCGTTCCACAACGGACCCCTTTGTGCACCAGGCGGCATCACAATTCGAACACAAGACCCAAGAATGCCAGAGTTTTTTGGGGGAGGAAGGCTGCTTACTGTATCAAGTCACCTGGCCAGTCATGGGAGAGACAGGACAGAATAGTGGCACGTCCGAAATGACCGCTGTCCGTACCCAGAAGGGGAAAACACTTCCGGCTACGGCAGAAAAATATTCTACACCTCAAACTTACCGTTAGGGCAGAAAAAGACGCTGTAGGTGTATTCCCTGGTGAGGCCCTCTGCCTGGGAAAATAAAAGGAAAACGTGGATAAATCAAATACCTTTATTGGCATCGCAGTATAAAACATTTCCGGACACTGGGATAATTAAAAGGGTCAACGAGTGAAGCTGCCGAGGATCCGAAAGACGAATTTCCTTCGCTTCTGAGAGTGTGCTGAGATTGACGTTTCCCCAGTCCGCTTTTGTGCGCACACATTTGGAGACAAAGTTCTTGCCTGCGTACCTTGATTTTTTAAAAAACTGTGCTGGTCAAAAATAGCTAAATTTAGCTGCCATTCCCGATATCATCTTGGGGTTAAGAGGCAGACGGCGTGAGCAGGTTTGGCACAGGCTTGCAGAACAATGAAGCGTGTTTCTCTTGTAAATGTTAAGCCGCCCATGGGGTGTGTGGGGTGTTCTTTGGGGGGACACAGTGTGCTCCTTCTGGGGCCGTTTGCCCACTTTTTGGACCCCTCCAAAGTGAAGTGACAGGCAACCAGGCAGAGGGCCTTCTTGGTGGTGGCGCCCGCCCTGTGGAACGCCCTCCCATCAGATGTCAAAGAAATAAACAACTACCTGAAGTTTAGAAGACATCTGAAGGCAGCCCTGTTTAGGGAAGCTCTTAATGACTGATGCTTTAATGTATTTTTAATCTCTTGTTGGAAGCTGCCCAATTATTATTATTATTATTATTATTACCACCAAAGAAATTATTGTCCCTTGCCAGTTTAAGAGTGTTTAATGATCACAGCAAAAGAACAACGCAGAGATTCAAATCAAATCAAATCCCTTTACAGGCATCACAGTATAAAACATTTAAAACCACCGGGATAATGAAAAGGACCAGGGTGAAGCTGTCAAAGGTCATAAAGCTGTGATTGTGTGCATTTGGATATTCTGCTTTGCCCTGCCTGTTCCCCAACAAGGATGGTTCGTTGGGAATCCTTTCGGGTGAAATTGTGGCTAAAAAGGAAGCTACCAAAGCAGTGATATCTTTGTCCCGGTCTGCCAGGAGAGACTCATTTGGCTTCTTCTCGGAGTTATGGGCCGGAGGTCCGACATTTTGCTCAGCATCAGTTGGCGAGGTCTGCTGCGCAAAGGGCAGTCTAAGAGAATGTGGCGCATTGAATCGGGTCTTGCCCTCAATTCATTCTGCACTCGGGGGGGAAATTAAGCGATTGAGGGGCCAACCCTGGGCAGGCCCTGCTGCTGGGATCTGCTCACCTCGATTATGATGCTCCTCCGGACGTAGTCGGTCCCGATCGGCGTCCTCTTGTCCGCATAGATGTCCTCAGGGAGCCTCCCGCTCTGGGCGAACAGAGAGCTGTCCTGGCAGCAGCTCCCGGCGTAAGCAAAGGCTTTGGCTAAAAGACAAAGTGGAAATCCCAATTAGGGTTTGTACCAACACCTGACCAATGAGGAATTTGTCAGCAAATGGCAGAAAGCCATGGCTAAAAAAGCCACATCTATTGGTCTGTCACCCCCCCCAACTGTACTACCTGGTTATGAAGGTGCCCTAAAGACATTAAAGCAAAGATTATGGGATAATGCACACAGTGACTTGCGATCTCGGTCACACGCAGTCTGTAGTCCGCTGGCAGTAGGAGTACAATATGGGCATGTCTTTAAGTTAACACCTTACATTAAAAACCTGACAGTACCAAACTACCGAAGGCTTTTCACCAAAGCCAGACTAAACGTCTTTCCTTCTGCAGTGTTGAGAGGAGCTCCCTACCAGGACAGACTTTGCTCGTGTGCTCAAGACATCGACTCCATTAAACATATTTTGTTGCACTGTGCAAAATATGAGCAGGCGAGGGCTGAACTGATACTACCCTTGCTGGTACCTTTCCCGGGAAAATCAGAGGCTCACTATGTCAGGTTCCTATTGGAAGACCGGACAAACGCTAGAACATTAGCAGTGGCAAAGTTTTTATCGGTGGTTGCAAGAACAAATGAGCCCTATATTTTGAACAAAAGGCTTGTTTAATCTGGAGGTAGGCTGTATGAATTGTGTATTGTTTTGTAATGATCTGTTGGGTCTCTGGACCGTAATAAAGATATTTATTTATTTATTTAATCCCAATTACCGCCGCCGCCGCCGCCAAGCCATGATCACGGCGGTGAGACTTGGACGTGCATCCAGACGGAAAGACCCGATGCCGACCGCAAGGGAGGGCGGGTGGCCAAAATGTGCAGACCGAGCCGAGAAATGGCGAAAATCGGAGAAAAGTCACGGTTAAAAGACGGGAAAAGCTCCCATAAACTTTCTGCATGGGAAAGGAAAAGGGAATGATGGCATTTGGGGTTGAGGATTGAAGGCAAGGATTAACGGCAAAATTTACCGGAAGAAGAAATCATGATAACAAACTTTTTATAAAAGAATGGAAATGGTTTATGGAATATTTGCAGAGAAATTGCAAACAGATAAAGACATTGGCGGGATTATTGGAACAGCCTGCCGTTTTATAAAAGAGTATATATTTAATGAAGATAATTACATGAGCTAATTAAATGAATTTGGATATGCAGAAGAGATTAAAAAATGAATCTAAGGAGCCGCAGAAAGAGGGGGAAGGAACTCCAAGTTTGGAAATGTTAAAATGACTGCGAAGTTAATGAAATGTATAAACCTAAAAAGTAGAAATAAAAATTAAAAGAAGAAGACAAGGATTAATAGAAAGTGGCTTTATTAGGAGCGAAGTGAATATTGCTTATATATAGCGGACAGACGAAGAATCGGAAGATCTTTAGCTTCTTAACTATTCTTTCTCTCATTTTTAAATATTTTCCTGTTCCATTTTCTCTGGCTCTCCCTTTCTTCCTTCCTCCCTCCTCTTTTCATTCTCTGTTTTGCCTTTAGCTTGGATGTTTCCGTTTGGACAAAACAAAGGCATTGGACGATAACCTTTCTGTTTTCCTTTATAAACCTTCATATATATCCCGATATACAGTGGTACCTCGGGTTACATACACTTCAGGTCACACACTCCACTAAGCCAGAAATAGTGCTTCAGGTTAAGAACTTTGCTTCAGGATGAGAACAGAAATCGTGCTCTGGTGGTGCGGCAGCAGCAGGAGGCCCCATTAGCTAAAGTGGTGCTTCAGGTTAAGAACAGTTTCAGGTTAAGAACGGACCTCTGGAACGAATTAAGTACGTAACCAGAGGTACCACTGTATCCCGATATATTATTTTAACGGCACCTGTGATGTTGCTCTGTCCCAGTTCAGCGAAGGCCAGGACGATGGACGTCGGCGTGGCTTTCCCGGGGGCGACGCACTTCTTCCGGGTCAAGAGATGTTTCCCGGGGTGGCCGACAAACTTGATCCCTTTGGGCACCGAGATCTTGACGTGGACCTGCACAGAAATGAGGGCAGCGGGGATTTGTCGGCTTGGCTGCAGCTTCTGCGCTTCGGGAATCGCAGAGGGAACCCCAAAGGACATCTAGACCAACCCGCCCCCGGCAAGGCAGGAAAGTCCCCCGGGCTCTTCCCCCGAGTAGCTTTGCGCACAAGGCATTAAAATCCCCAAACCTCGCCCTGATCAAAGGTTTCCGGGTGGTATTCCTCGCAAGCAAATTCAGAAGGGCACCATCTCTTCCAGGTGTATTTTTTTGGGGGGGAAATATGAATGGATTCCTATGCCCCACAAATAACCCAGAGATGCATTTTAAATAAAAGGACACATTCTACTCATGTAAAAAAGACTCTGATTTGCAGGCCAGATTGAGAAGGCGATTGGGCCGGATCCGGCCCCTAGTTTGCCTGTCCATGATTTGGGCCAAAACTCTAACCATTACGCCACACTACCCTCCCTGCTTCCTTGCCATTCCCAGGCTGGGAAGGACGCCGGGGTTTCTCACCTCCGCACACACGGGCAGGTAGTTGTGGACGGTCAGGGGGACCTTGGTCTGCTCCCCACGGATGACGCTGTAGGGCAGGGAGAAGTCTACGAAGAAGGGCTTGAAGGTCCTCAGCTGGGCTTGGGGGGCCAGGCCAAGACCCTTCTCCTCCGAGATGCCCACGGCCTCCGCCAGCCACGTGGTGATGGAGCCGGGCGCCTCCACCCGCAGCTGGGCTTCCCCGGAAACATCACTGCGTTGAGAGGGAGATGGAGAAGAGGGCCGGGGGGGGCGAGGAAGGAGTCGTGGGAACAATGATAAAAATAATCATTTTATTTTATGCAGAACTGGACAAATTAACTGGAAAGATTAGCTACCAACGAGACCATAAGTTCATCGAGGACTGGGGGAAATTTGTAGACTATCTGAAAAATATATGTGATGAGCAAACAACGCTCGTGGGATTTCAAGAAGCTCTGTGAAAGTTTGAGGAGTGTTCTAAGAAAGAAAATAAGATCGGGAGGGTATATTAAAAGGCAGTATTAAATTTAGGAAATGCGTAACTAAAAATTAATTACAGATGATTGGCAGATAAGCTGAAGGAAGTCCAAAAGAGAAAATTTGTGATAAATTTTTGATATGGTATTATATGTATATTTGTATTGAAAACTAATAAAACATATTACAATAATAATAATAATAATAATAATAATAATAATAATAATAATAATTTTATTATTTCTACGTCGCCCGTCTGGCCACTCTGAGAATATTAAAAACACAATAGAACCTTAAATGTTAAAAACTTCCCTAAACAGAGCTGCCTTCAGATGTCTTCTAAAAGTCAGATAGTTGTTTATCTCCTTGACATCTGGTGGGAGGGCGCCACCACCGAGAAGGCCCTCTGCCCAGTTCCCTGTAACCCCACTTCTCGCAGGGAGGGAACCGCCAGAATAATAATAATATAATAATAATTTATTATTTGTACACCGCCCATCTGGCTGGGTTGCCCCAGCCGCTCTGAGAACATTAAAAACACAATAAAGTGTTACCTTGGTTCTCAAATGCTTTGGTACTCGAACAACTTGGAGCGCGAACATTGCAAACCCGAAAGTAAGTGTTCTGGTTTGTGAACTTTTTTTGGAAGCTGAACGTGCTCCGTTTTGAGTGTCACGCTTCCGATTTGAGTGCTATGCTGAGGTCTGCCTGTTTTTTTGCTATTCATTTTGTGTTTTTGTTTTTTGCGGCTCTTTCTTGTTTTGTTTTTGTCACTGTGTGGAACCAAGTTCAGCTACTGATGGACTGATTGTGTGATTGCAGTACATTGTTTATCGCTTTCATTTTATGGATCAGTGGTCTCGTTCGATAGTAAAATCCATCTTCAAATGATGGATTGTGTGACTGCGGAAATGGATAAAAGCCCCCCATGCAAACAATGACCGTCATCGGTACAGGTGAAGAAGAAAAAATAAATTTGAATGTTTATCATCTACAATACTGCCTTATTTATTTTATAGTACGGTACATTGATTCTTGCTTTTGTTTTATGGATCGATGGTCTCATCAGATAGTAAAATCCATGTTCAACGGCAGTTTTAGGGCTTGTTTCGAAAAGTCTGGAATGGATTAATCCTTTTTGCATTACCTTCTATGGGAAAGCGCGCCTTGGTTTAGGAACGCTTTGGTTTTGGAACGGACTTCTGGGACAGATTAAGTTTGAGAACCAAGGGACCGCTGTAGAACCTCAAACATTAAAAAAAAACTTCCCGATACAGGGCTGCCTTCAGGTGTCTCCTAAAAGTCAGGTAGTTGTTTATTATTTCCTTGACATCTGATAGGAGGGTGTTCCACAGGGCAGGGGCCACCACCGAGAAGGCCCTCTGCCTGGTTCCCTGTAACCTCACTTCTCGCAGGGAGGGAACTGCCAAAAGACCCTCAGGAGATGGAGCCCGCTGTCTGCCAGCGTGGTGCCCAACCCTGGAAACATACCTGACGTTGAAGCAGCGCCACAGCCACGTCTCGGGGAAGAAGGTCCTTTGCTTCTTATCTGCTCTGTGAGTGGAAAGAGAGACAGGAGGGTTGAAGGTTCGGGAGGACAGACAGGGGGCGAAACGCACCATGAGTTTGAAAGACTTTTGCGGGGTCAAATGGCCACAGCTAACCCGCCACCCTGAGGAGACGGGGTTCCCTTCCATCTCCACGATTCTGGGAGTTCAAACCAGCAGCTCTCAGCCAGCTCCCCAAACCATCACCGGCTGGACTTTACCATCTAAAGCAACGAGGAGAGAAATTAGAAGGAAAGGAGGAGCGAAAAACTGCTCCAGCTAAGGAGAAGACACTAAGGCAAACAAGAGGGAAAGGAAGCAGTTGATCGGTAAACGATCAGGAGGGAGATAAGGGAGGCTAGAGATAAAGGAGGCTGCCTGGGAGCGGGGAGGTAAAAGCCCCTGGATCCTCAGGAGTTTTGCATAGGGTCACCCCAAATTCACCATCAGATCACAAAGCATGTCCATGGCTACAGCCTGCAACAAAAAAACCATGCACTCACTGTTTCTTGAGGCCGCAATGGTGCAAAAATGTGGTTACAAAGCACAGATCCACATGGATCCTCAGGATTTTTGCATTGGGCTACCCCAAACTCACACATCTGTGGCCACAGCATGAACCACAAAAATCCTACATCCACCATTTCGTTCAGAATGTATTTTTTTCTTGTTTTCCTCCTCTAAAAACTAGGTGCGTCTTATGGTCAGGTGTGTCATGTGGAGCGAAAAATACAGGTACGTTTGGACATTTGCTCCACGCCCACAGTTCCGCTTACCTGGGTGCCACCCGGGAGGGGGCCGAGGCAACGAGGGTCCCTGTGTGGGGCTGGAAAGCTGGGACGGCCTCGTCCGTGTACATCCCTCCGTGCTGCCGGTGGTGGAGGCTGACCACGTCCGTCATGACCACCAGGCCTGTTTCCTGGGCGGCAGCGAACCGCAAACGACACAAGAGAGAGAGAGAAAGAGAGAGAGACGGTCCATGGTCCTTCTTAAAGGTAAAGGTAAAGGGACCCCTGGCCATTAGGTCCAGTCATGACCGACTCTGGGGTTGCGGCGCTCATCTCGCTTTATTGGCCGAGGGAGCGGCGTACAGCTTCCGGGTCATGTGGCCAGCAGGACTAAGCCGCTTCTGGCGAACCAGAGCAGCGCACGGAAACGCCATTTACCTTCCCGCCAGAGTGGTACCTATTTATCTACTTGCACTTTGAGGTGCTTTCAAACTGCTAGGTTGGCAGGAGCAGGGACCGAGCAACGGGAGCTCACTCCGTCGCGCGGATTCGAACCGCCGACCTTCTGATCGGCAAGTCCTAGGCTCTGTGGTTTAACCCACAGTGCCACCCACGTCCCACATGGTCCTTCTTAGGTTGGTTTAAATCGAAGCCTTGGATGGATCGAAGGTGGGATCTTGTGCCTGCAAGGCGGACGTTTTCCCTCTTCCCCCAAATCTCCTCCCGGGAAGGCCCATTTGGCAGAGCACCAAGGAACCGCCATGGAAATATATAGATATACAGTGGGACCTTGATTCCCAAATGCCGGAAACCTGGAAGGAAGTGTTCCAGTTTTCAAACGTTTTTCAGAAGCCAAATGTCTGATGCGGCTGTCAGCTCTTGTTTCCAGGGCGCCTGAACCAATCAGAAGCCGCGTCTTGGTTTCTGAACATTTCAGAAGTCAAATGGACTTCCGGAACAGATTAAGTTTGGCGCTTTTGTTTTTGCTAATTATTTTGCGTTTTTGTTTTTGAGGCTTTTCCGATTCATTTGTTTTTGGGACTGTGCGGAACCCAGTTCAGCTACTGATGGATTGTTTGTGTGACTCCGGAAATGGATAAAAGCCCCCCATCCAAACAATGACTGTCATTGGCGCAGGTAAGGGGGAAAAAATTGTAATTTTTATCATCTACAATTCTGCCTTATTCATTTTATAACAGAGTACATTGATTTGATTATTGCTTTCATTTTATGGATCGATGGTCTTGTTAGATAGTAAAATCCATGCTAAATTTTAGGGGCTGCTTTTAAAAGTCTGGAATGGATTCATCCATTTTGCATGACTTTCTATGGGAAAGCAGCGCGCCTTGCTTTTGGAACGCTTTGGTTTTGGAACGGAATTTTCTGAACGGATTAAGTCTGAGAACCAAGGGACCACTGTATGTTCCATTTCTGTTTTATTGCTATGGCTGCCGGCCGGCGCAAATGAAGTTTATGTGCGTTTTTGTACGCAAACCTACGACTTTCCCCGATTAGTTTAGCAAGCAAACACACAGGAAGATCACCCCTCACCGTGAACGCAAAGCGGGCGTCCTTGGTGATGTCCCAGTGCCAGGGAAAGATGGAGGAACGGCGCCGGCGGGAAGACATCCCTGCCCACCAGAAGTGCCCGTCTTCCTTGGCAGCGCCAAAGGCGTCCGAAACGTCATAGTCCGCCATCTCCTGGAAGATCTGAGGCAGGAGACAGAACGGCCATTGAGGGTTGAAGTTGGGGCCTTCTGTACGCCATGCAGGGTCTCTGCCATGGGATGACAGCCCTTCTCGGTGCCAACTCTTAAAAGTGTCACCTGACGTCTGTTTGGAGATGTGGAGGACCAGAACTCACCTGGTCCGTGGTCAGCTGGAAGCCAGGCTTGAGGAGGTGGACGCTCTTGTCCACCGCGGCCAGGCAGACGCAGCTCCCCTTGGCTGCGGACACCTTGAGGGTCAGCGTGTCTCCCGGCCGGGTCTCGTTGGTGGAAAAGGCCACGGAAACCTGGAGGAGGAGAAGATTATGATGGAGAAGGTGATGGAGGAGGAACAGAAGGAGGAGGAGATGGTGGGGAAGGAGAAGGCGTTGAAAGAGATGTTGAAGGACAGGAGAAGAAGGAAAAGAAGAAAGAGAAAGCTCATGAAGGAGAAGATGAAGGAGCAAGAGAAGGAGATGATGAAAGAGGAGGAGATGATGAAGCAGAAAGAGAAGGGGAAGAAAAGGATGGAGGAGAAAGGAGAAGATGGTAGAGAGGGAGAAGATGACAAAGGAGGTGATGAAGAAGAAGAGGGAGAAGAAAGAGGAAGAGATGAAGGAGAAACAGGAGGAGGAGGAGATGTTGAAGGAAAGGAGAAGAAGGAGAAAGAGAAGGAGGAGAAGGAGAAGGAGAAGATGAGGAAAGAGAAGAAGAAGAAAAGGATGATGGAGGAGATGATGGAGGAGGAACAGGAGGTGGAGGACACAGTGGGAAGGAGAAGGCAATGAAAGAGATGTTGAAGGAAAGGAGGAGAAGGAGAAAAGAGAGGAGGAGGAGATGCAGCCCCATCCGCCCCAGAGTTCCCCACCCCACGGCCGCTACCTGGTTCTCGAAGGAGGGCTTGACAGCAAACTGCAGGCTGTCGGTGACCCCTTCCCCGTCTTCCCGGACGTAGTAGGCGAGGAGGCGTCCCAGGGGGGCCATCTTGGGGGTCACGGAGAAGCGGACCGAGGTGACGCAGGTGTTCATCTCGGGCGCAGGAGGGGCCGTCGGGCCTAAGGGGAGGGGGTGGAAAGGCAGCAATCTTGTATCCAGACAATGCCGTCAAATTAAACGCGTTGATTTGCAAGGCCCTGGACGAACCGGGTCTCTTAGACCCCTAAGACCTTTGGGGCAGCCGCTATGACGCGGAATAATTCAGAGCGCGCCAGAATGAAATGCACCATCCGCTTGCAGAACCACAGACTTGGAAGGGAGCCCCCGAGGGCCATCTAGACCAACCCCCCAATGCTACGCCTTCCCCCAGCTCCCTGGGCACCCAGGAGATGGGCCCCCAGCTGAGAGACCCCCACGGGGACGTCTCTTTCCCACAGAGCCCCTCCTGGACACCTCTGAGCCAGACACAACCGGGCGCTTGCCGTTCACACCAATATGGGTCTTTTTGCTTGCAAAACTTAATAAAAATTATTTTGAAAAAGAGAGAGAGGGGGCATGGCCGGAAACTGCCCCCTGCCCGACATCAAACTGCAAATCAGGGCTGTCTTAAGGATACATGGCGTCAGGGTGCAAAGATCCACCCGGTGCCCCCAGTTTGCCCAGTCCCAGGCGGCAGGAGGGTGGAGTCGGCCGGCCGCCTCAGTGTCTCGGTCGCCCCCGAACTTGTGCCTCTTCCCCAGACTCAACTCTCGGGCCCCGGACTCTTGGCCTGGCGCCCCTGAGAGCCCAGCGCCCAGGTGCCTGCACCCCTTGCGCCTATGGGTAAGACGGCCCTGCCACAAAGCCATGCCTGGGACGTGGGTGACGCCTCCGCTCCCGTGAACATCCCTCTTGCTCCTTTGTCGAGTGACGTCCGAGGGCTGCACCCCTGAGAGGACGATGTTCCCCCGCGAAACCACCTCGTAGTAGAGGGTGAAGTTGCAGGGGCAGGTGGACTTCAGCACGACGGACGCCTCCTCGCCCACCTGGGGAGAGAGAAGGGCTTTGAGGGATATCGGGCACAGAGATCCCCAAAGGCGCCCCAAAAAACCCCTTTATGTACGCCGCTCGACAGCGGCTCAGATGAAAAAAAGAAAACAGTTCCTACCCAGGGATCGTGCTTAAATCATGACTGTGGGAATGTTCAGGGAGGCAGGAGAGAATATATTCTTTAATTATATCCTTCCTGACTTGTGTTAACAAGTTCTACAATTGAGGACAGTAATATTCCCCTTTTTAAACGTACACAGCGGATAACGTCTTTGCCAGGCTTGTTTAAGCCTCTGAAATAAGTTTCCTGGTAATTCCCCTTTAATGTAATGGTACCCCTGACCGTTAGGTCCAGTCGTGGCCGACTCTGGGGTTGCGGCGCTCATCTCGCTTTATTGGCCGAGGGAGCCGGCGTACAGCTTCCGGGTCATGTGGCCAGCAGGACTAAGCCGCTTCTGGCGAACCAGAGCAGCGCACGGAAACACCGTTTACCTTCCCGCTGGAGTGGTACCTATTTATCTACTTGCACCTTGACGTGCTTTCGAACTGCTAGGTTGGCAGGAGCAGGGACCGAGCAACGGGAGCTCACCCCGTCATTGCGGGGATTCGAACCGCCGACCTTCCAATCGGTCACTCCGAGCGGAGGAGGGCCATTGAGGGGGGTCCCAAACCAATCAACCCCCAGTCCCCCAACTTGGCAACCGGGGAGAAGCTCACCTGGAAAGGCCTTTCCGGCATCTGAAGTTGGATGTAGCACTTGCTGGGGGAATACCAGCCGCTGATGGAGAGGAAACTGGGGAGATACTGGTCCCCGGCAGACGCCCCTCCCAGGGCCGTGACTTTGGTCTGGGGGGGGGAGAGGGAGGCAGGGAGGTCAGGCTGTGATCCGTTCCCACCCCCTCGCCTCTTAGAACCAGAGAAGGGACCCCCTCCCCGAGACAAATATACCATATTTTTCCCTCTATATTTTTTGAGCCCCAATTAAGAAATAAATAATGGCAACATTCCGTGTATAAAAAGACCCCCAATTTTAAACTAAAAAAAAAAATGGGGGGGGGGAATATAGCCTTATACAAGACTAGATTTGGCGTTTTCATCCCCCAAAAGTTTTTGATTTGCGTTTCTACTGAAATGAGGCTGCATTTTAATGTTGTCTTTTGATCTTGTTTTTCAGTTGTCTTTTAATCCATCGTTTTTATACCTGGTGTCAGCCGCCCTGACTGGGGAAGGCAGGGTATAAATAACATTTATTATTATTATTATTAGGAAAAATACAGTATTTTTTTTAAAAGGAGGGATTCCCCCCCCAGGGATCATCCAGCCCCCTGCCCCAGAAATATGAGACACCCGCTCTGCCTTTCCACCGGCCCCCCAGTGGGGGTCTCCCAAGCCCCCCAGCCCCATCCGGGGCTCTCACCCACCTCCAGCCAGACGTACTGGGCAGCCGAGGGGATGGAGGGGATTTCGAACTCCACCGATCCGCCGCGCGACACCAACTCGCTGGTGTAGATGTTGTCCTTGGGGGTGAGCTCAGCCTTGACCCGGACCCTCACGCCGTCCGCCGGGCTCCCGTCAGGGTACGTGACTTCCACCTGGGGGGCGGAGAGAAGGAGAGGCGGGGGGAGACGGATCCAGCAACTACGGCGCGTGGGGAGAGGCCTGGGGAGGGATGCCGCCACCCCCAAAGTGGAAAATTTAAAAAAAAAAATTAAATTACTGCAAAACAGGAAACTAAGAACATGCAGGTTGTTTAGCTAAGCAGCTGATCGGAGAGGAGGCGTGGGGTTTTAGGAATACAGTGGGACCTTGGTTCTCAAACGCCTTGGTTCCCAAATGTCAAAAACCCAAGATTAATGTTCCGGTTTTTGAGCAATTTTCAGAAGCAGAACGTCCGACGCAGCTGTTGTTTCCGGGGCGCCTGCGCCAATCAGAAGCCGCGTCTTGGTTTCCGAACATTTCAGAAGTCAAACGGGCTCCTGGAACGGATTGCTTTTGCTCTTTATTTTGCGTTTTGGAGGCTTTTTTGGTTCATTTGTTTTTGTGACTGTGCGGAACCCAGTTCAGCTACTGACTGATTGATTGTGTGGCTGCAGACATGGATAAAAGCCCCCCATCCAAACAATGACTGTCATCAGTGCATGTCAGAAAAGAAAAAAAAATTTTTTTTATTACCTACAATACTGCCTTATTTATTTTATAGTATGGCACATTGATGATTGCATTCATTTTATGAATCAATGGCCTCGCTAGATAGTAAAATTCATGACACGTGGCTGTTTTAGGAGTTGTTTTTAAAAGTATGGAATCCGTTTTGCACGACTTTCTATGGGAAAGCGCGCCTTGGTTTGGGAACGCTCTGGTTTTGGAACGGATTGAATTTGAGAAACAAGGTACTACTGCAGGCAGAGGCAAACTTGGCCCTCCAGATGTTCTGGGACTCCAATTCCCATCACCCCTGACCACTGGTCCTGTTAGCTAGGGATGATGGGAATTGTAGTCCCAAAACATCTGGAGGTCCGAGTTTGCCTATGCCTGGTATATCGTATTGTTGTTTTATTGCTGTGGCCAACGGCTGACACAAATAAAGATTCATTCATTCATTCTGGATGTCCTAAGGTAAAGGTAAAGGGACCCCTGACCCTTAGGTCCAGTCGCGGACGACTCTGGGGTTGCGGCGCTCATCTCGCTTTACTGGCCGAGGGAGCCGGCGTACAGCTTCCGGGTCATGTGGCCAGCAGGACTAAGCCACTTCTGGCGAACCAGAGCAGCGCACGGAAACACCGTTTACCTTCCCGCTGGAGTGGTACCTATTTATCTACTTGCACTTTGAGGTGCTTTCGAACTGCTAGGTGGGCAGGAGCAGGGACCGAGCAAGGGGAGCTCACCCCGTCATTGCGAGGATTCGAAGCGCCGACCTTCTGATCGGCAAGTCCTAGGCTCTGTGGTTTAACCCACAGCGCCACCCGCGTCCCGTCTTCTGGATGTCCTCGGACCGCTCTATTCCGGGAAAGACGCTCAGCGCTCACCTTCGCCCTGTACGGCAGGCCCGGCTTGAAGTGTTTCGGGGTCCCCCGGCTGTATTTGATGTCGACCAGCTGCTTCTGCACAGGGGTGGAGTCGTCGAAGGTGACCTGGCGGCTGCCGTCGGCTCCCGTGACGGTTGCCCAGATGCTCACGGTGCCGCGAAAGTGCTCAGGGACGTCAGCCGGCATCATGTCACTCACGCACACGTCGAAATCCGCAGAACCGTCGATCTGAGGGAGGGAGGGAGCGCGGGGTCAGGGTCGCCCGCACTGGCTGGCAGGAACACCTTCCTGGGTCCACAGGGGGCATTCCCTAGCCCTCGCCTCGGGGAGGCTGCCGGAAGTCAAAGGTGGCGCCGTCGTGAGATCCCAGAAGGGAATTTGGGGTATCTGCCTGGCGCTAATGGGAAACCCAGCCAGATGGGCGGGTATAAATAATAAATTGTTATTATTATTATTATTATTATTATTGCAGAAGGCTAGATTTCCCTTTGCCTTAGTTGTGACACATTGAGATTTCCCTTTGTGTGCAGAAATCGAAAGTGCCGACACCGAGAGCTCTGGATCGCAGCAGGAGAACGAAGCGAAGAAAATGAAAAATACAGTGGTGCCCCGCAAGACGAAAAACCCGCTAGACGATAGGGTTTTCCGTTTTTTGATGCGCTTCGCAGGACGAATTTCCCTATGGGCTTGCTTTGCAAGACAAAAATGTCTTGCGAGTCTTGAGATTTTTTTCACTCCCCCCCCCTTTTTCCAAGCCGCTAAGCCGCTAATAGCCTTTTAGCCGCTAAGCCTTTAATAGCCGCTAAACCGCTAATAGCGCTAATCCGCTAATAGGGTTGCTTCGCAAGACGAAAAAACCGCTAGACGAAGAGACTCGCGGAACGGATTAACTTCGTCTTGCGAGGCACCACTGTACAGTGGTGCCTCAGGTTACATACGCTTCAGGTTACAGACTCCGCTAACCCAGAAATTGTGCTTCAGGTTAAGAACTTTGCTTCAGGATGAGAACAGAAATCGTGCTCTGGCGGCGCAGTGGCAGCAGCAGGAGGCCCCATTAGCTAAAGTGGTACCTCAGGTTAAGAACAGTTTCAGGTTAAGAACGGACCTCCAGAACGAATTAAGTACTTAACCCGAGGTACCACTGTATTCCGCACAGAATTATAATTATAATACTTGTAAAAAATGGCCGGGAAAGGTTCCAGCCGCCGTTCCTCAAGCCGCTGTCCATCACCCCCTTGACCGCTCACCTCCAAGGTTTTGAGGACCGGGTGACCAGACTCATGCTTGTAGTAGCCGACTCCGTTGACCGTCATGTTGATGGTCAGCCGCCCGGCGACCGGCTTCCCAAAAGTGTACCTGGGGGAAAAGGAGCGGCTTCAGAGAGGGGGCCCCAATCCGGCCCTCGCCTCCGGACCCTCTGCCCCCCGCGGCCGGCCGAGATCCCCGAACATACATCCCCCCAGACCCTGTCCTCACCTGGCGAGGACGGTCGCTTTCTCGCATGCGCCGAGGTCCCGGATGTAGCGCGGCGGGTCGATGCGCACCTCGAATTTGGGTAAAACTGGCGGGGGAGAGGAGGGAGGGGAGAGGTTGACCGCTGCCAAGGGGGGGCGTCCCGAAAGCCCCTCTGCAAAGGGGGTCAGGCCCAAGGGGGGAGTCTCCCAGGCCGGCCTCTTGAGACCCCCTCCCCAATGGGACCGAAGCAGCCTTTTCCCTCGTTCAACTGTGTTCATCCGTGGGGATTGAATTCTGGTTTAGATTTTCCACTTCTAAAAACAGGAAAAGTGGTACAATACCGACCAAAACAGAGTGGCTTGCCAAATTATTGGAGTATTACAATGGGAGAAGTCGGAAGGATCTCAAAAGAGAAGATGGACAAGAATCCTAGAATCCTAGAGTTGGAAGAGACCACAAGGGCCACTGAGTCCAACCCCCTGCCAAGCAGGAAACACCATCAGAGCACTCCTGACATATGGTTGTCAAGCCTCTGCTTAAAGACCTCCAAAGAAGGAGACTCCACCACACTCCTTGGCAGCAAATTCCACTGTTGAACAGCTCTTACTGTCAGGAAGTTCTTCCTAATGTTTAGGTGGAATCTTCTTTCTTGTAGTTTGGATCCATTGCTCCGTGTCCGCTTCTCTGGAGCAGCAGAAAACAACCTTTCTCCCTCCTCTATGTGACATCCTTTTATATATTGGAACATGGCTATCATATCACCCCTTAACCTCCTCTTCTCCAGGCTAAACATGCCCAGCTCCCTTAGCCGTTCCTCATAAGGCATCGTTTCCAGGCCTTGGACCATTTTGGTTGCCCTCCTCTGGACACGTTCCAGTTTGTCAGTGTCCTTCTTGAACTGTGGTGCCCAGAACTGGACACAGTACTCCAGGTGAGGTCTGACCAGAGCAGAATACAGTGGCACTATTACTTCCCTTGATCTAGATGCTATACTCCTATTGATGCAGCCCAGAATTGCATTGGCTTTTTTAGCTGCCGCGTCACACTGTTGGCTCATGTCAAGTTTGTGGTCAACCAAGACTCCTAGATCCTAGACTGGAAGGTGTTTAAAGGATATTTGCAAAATCATATTGAGAAACCAGAACTCCTATTAGAATAGACAAGTTCCGCTATAAATGCTGAAATATCAAATAAAATGGATGACAATGGGTTAGATTGTCATTGTTTTATTTAATTGCATGATCTGCCATGATCCACTGACTGGATGGGGAACTGTTTGCATCTGACATTCTTGCTGTGAATGTTGTGCTGGGTCTTTAATTTCTTTAATTTCCCTTACAGTATATTAGTTTCACCTGTGGCTGAAATTATATTATGAAAGTATATTATGTTCTTTACAATTTGTTACCAGCACCAGTGACCACAGTATCACATGAACACTGAGTATATTTCCAGAGTATATTTTCTACAGCGTTCGTATCTGCTTACATGTAAGTTTGGGTGTGTATTTTAGTTGTACATATTGTATTATGCATTTTATTTTATACAGACGCGGCTTTCATCGTCTGTATATTGTAAGTTCAGCTTGTTAAGAAATGGAACTGCCATTTCGTATTAATTCTCATAAGCCTGGCTGATGAAGAATTGATCAAGATTGGCTGATGAAGACTGGTCATCCGGAAACTCTGTTCCGGCGATATTTGGTGACAGACAGGAGAAACTTTGGACGATTAAAATAATAATAATAAAAGCCGATCGATGCTTCGAAAGATTGGAGAATTAGTAAAAACGATATACCGTATTTGTCGGCCCATAGGGCGCACCTAGTTTTTTGGGGGGGAAATAAAGAAAAAAAAAATTATTTCCCTCCCAGGTGCGGGGCTGGGGCGGGGGTAGCCCGAGCTTCCCGTGACCCCAGCCCCCAGAACAGGCATCTCTCTGCAAAGTCGCGCCGGTCTCCCAAGGGTTGCGCAGAGCTTCCTGAAGCCTGGAGAGCGAGAGGGGTTGGTGCCGACGCCTCTCGCTCTCCAGGCTTCAGCGAAAGCCTGCATTCGCCCCATAGGACGCACACACATTTCCCCTTCATTTTTGGAGGGGAAAAAGTGCGTCCTATAGGGCGAAAAATACGGTATATAAAATAAGGAAAGAAGGCTCTGCCCCCCCCCCCCAGCGATTCCACCAGCCGCTGTGCCAAAATCTCACCATACTTCTGGACTTCGAAGGTCTTGTTGTACACCTGGCCTTGCAATGTGGCAAAAATGAGCCACTCTCCGAAGACAGGCTGGTCAGACAGAGGGAAGCTGACGTTGAGGACGCCTGTAGCCGGGGTAAGAAGCCGAGAATAAAATATAAGTTATTAACAGATATTAAAGACAGAGGAGGCTTCTCCTTGCCAGATTTGAAATTATATTATGAAGCCTCTTGTATTTGCTGGATCCGGGAATGGATAAAATTTTAAAAATACAGATTTATTAGATTTGGAAAGTCATGATAGGGTTGGTTGGCGTGCGTACTGCGGCAGAGAAAAGAGGGGATGGTCAGCAACGTTTGGCCGACAAGGCGCTGGGTCGCTTCCGGCAAAAGAGGGGGAGAAAAGAGGTTTGGCCCCTATTTCTTTCTCTTTTCTCCTTTTCGGGGAGACGGGCACCCCACTGCCGCTCCCTCCAGACTCACCGCAACAAACTGGCTTTAGGTTGTTCCATTCGATCATACGAGACCCACGAGGATCCTGGGGAGAGACAATTTAATTCAATTTCATTTTAGTCTTTAAGCTATTATTATTTATAATAATACAGTATTTGGCGCTTTTGCTCTTTATTTTGCGTTTTTGTTTTTGAGGCTTTTTCGATTCATTTGTTTTTGTGACTGTGTGGAACCCAGTTCAGCGACTGATTGATTGATTGTGGAAATGGATAAAAGCCCCCCATCCAAACAATGACCGTCATGTGTGCAGGTAAGGGGGGAAATTAATTTTCATTTTTATCATCTACAATACCGTCTTGTTTATTTTATACTACAGTGCATTGATTCTTGCTTTCATTTTATGAATCAGTGGTCTTGTTAGAGAGTAAAATTCATGTTAAATGGCTGTTTTAGGGGTCGTTTTTAAAAGTCTGCGACGAATTAATCCGTTTCGCATTGCTTTCTATGGAAAAGCGCGCCTTGGCTTTGGAACGCTTTGGTTTTGGAACGGACTTCTGGAACGGATTAAGTTTGAGAACCAAGCAGGTACTCACCACAATGTAGGCTTCAACCTGGAAGGGGGAAAAGAGGGACGAGTTACTCACTTGGCGTCCTGCACAAAACTTAACAGAAAGAAGCTTTTATTTAGTTCTTGGGTCAGCTAGTAATGCCTGCACGAACCGGCAGCAGCTTCCCAGGCATTCGGACGGAGAGCCATTAAAAACAAAGTAAGAGGCTAGTCCTCATTGCTTTTTAAAAAGGGGGCTGAATTAAATGGGGCCTTCTGCATGCCCAGCAGTTGTCCTACCACTGAGACATTAAGAACAAAGGAAGATTATAGTCCTCATGGTTTTCAACAAAAAGAGGGATGAATTAAATAGGAACATAGGACACCGCCTAGTACCCTTGAACAGTCTAGCTCAGGGCAGCCTACACTGACCGGCAGCAGCGGCCCTGCAGGATTTCCAGCCAGGAAATACCCCCCCAGTCAAAACCTTCCGCATGCCCAGCAGCTGCTCTAGCCGCCGAGCTACGGCCCTTTTGCCCTGGGAGTGTAGGAAGAGCCTCTCCTCCGTCGTGAATTTGCCCAGTCCTTTTTTAGAGCCGTACAAGTTGGCGGTTGCCTCAGGTGGCAGGGAGTTCCACAGGCCTCCAGCCTGGCCAGGTCCTTCTCCTCGAAGACCCCAGAGGAAACGAACCCAGGATAAATATATATTATTACAGGCCCTTCCTCACCTTCTCATCGACGGGCCGCAAGTCTGGGTTGACGGTGAACAGGTTGATCAGCACTAGAAACAGAGAAGGAGAGGAGGAAATCAGAAACCAGAGAAAATTTAATTAGGAATGGGGAAAATCTACAAGCTGCACTGTAAACAGCTAAAAACTTTGGCAGGGTTTTAGGGACACTTGCAATGTATTAAAAATTAGGGTGAAAAAGAAAAAAGGATGGTTTTAAGTAAAACGGAGAAATGATAAGACGTAGCAGATAAAAGGCTGATCATAATGGAAACCAGGAAGGGAAGTCTAAGGGTTCAGGGCACCTTAAATGTGGGTGGTTCATGTTTGAATTTAATTGTATAACGTAAAACTGAATTTTAAAAGAAATAGAGAGAGAGGGAGAGAAGGAGCATCGCAGAATTGTGGAACTGGAGAGCTGGCAGGGGGCGCCCAGAGTCATCCAGCTCAACCGGCCGCGATGCACGAGTGCGAAATGTGGGACGTGATCCACGAGAGGCAGTCAAGTACAACATTCCTTGCGATGCTAGAGAAGACATGCGAGGGAATGTCTGGTCCAGCCGGTTGAAGCTTCCTGTTCCTCCTGGCTGGAGCATCCTTCCTTTTGCATGTGACAGAAGGTGGGCGTGACCTCACCTGTCCAGGTAACAAAAGGACGAGTCGTGCAACACACCTCCTCTTTTTGACTTCCTTCTTCGTTTGACCAGCTTTTAGCTAGGACTGCTCTTCCAGCAGAATCACTGGGATTATCCCCCCATATGGGGCAGATCCCCATGTACATATCTGTAACTAAGTCTGCCTTTAGGGATCCAATTGTGAACTGATGTGAGTCAACTTCTTTCATTGACTTGGAATAAGATTGTGGCTTCTTTATTCTTTTAAGAAGTTTTTAATGTGTGACATTCTAATGTATTTTTCATCTTTGTTGGAAGCTGCCCAGAGTGGCTGGGGAAGCCCAGCCAGATGGGTGGGGTGCAAATAATAAATTATTATTATTACTGTATTAGGGATTGAAGGGAACTTACCAGGAACATACAATTCAATCTGAGACAGATTGAATTGTATGATAGTGATAGGCTCACACGAGCCTGCGACCAGCTATCTGCCGTGCATGTAAAAGGGGAATGTACCATATGTTTCGCTCTATAAGACGCACCAGACCACAAGACGCACCTAGGTTTTGGAGGAGGAAAACAAGAAAAAAAATATTCTGAACCTCAGAAGCCAGAACAGCAAGAGGGATCGCTGTGCAGTGAAAGCAGAAATCTCTCTTGCTGTTCTGGCTTCTGGGATAGCTGTGCAGTCTGCATTCGCTCCATAAGACGCACACGCATTTCCCCTTACTTTTTAGGAGGGGAAAAGTGAGTCTTATAGAGCAAAAAATACAGTAACTCTGCTATGTAAAGGAACTTGCCAGCGCAAGTTAGGAAGGATATCAATAAACAATATATCCTCTCCTGCCACCCTGAACGTTCCCCCATGAAAGAGCAAGCACCCACCTTTCTGTTTCGGCTTGTAGACGGGTTTATCCGTCTGGATGAAGACGGAGGCGCCTTTGCTGTCGATGGTGACCGTGGTGTGGTTGTGGAAAATGTAGCCCTCTTCTGCCAAGTGCCGGTTGCCCCAAACCTTGAGGTGCGCCTGGCCCCGTAGCCCCGGGGGCACCTGGTCGGGAAGGCAAAAGGGAGTTATAGCGCTGCGCCCGGCGCCGGCGAAGCTGAGAATCGTGGATCTCAGCTGGAGCACCCAGGACAGAGAGAAGGCCAGGAGTTCATAAAATCAGATGTGCTTTCTCCCTCCCTGTTGTAACGCCGGAAAAAAAGGAAGTGCGTGGTTAGCCTGCGGAACCTGCTGCCACTGGAATCCACCAGCTTTAAATGGCTTTAAAACAGGAGCAAAGAATGCAGGGGTTATAAGAGCTTTTTCTGCCCACCAGTTTGCATCAGGGTGGATTCGATCGAAATCAAATCAATTTAAATCACTAGTCAGTAAGACTTCATTTAAATCATTTTTTTTACAGAAAGACTCATTCTTGCTGGTATAATCTTAATATTTACAGCCGGATGAAGGCTTCGTTTTTGGAATAATAAGTAGTTTTTGCAGTTATATCAAAAATTACAGATTTGGTTCTACTCTTAGAAACACGTAGACAGATAATGATGAAATTATGGTGAGGTTTCATGAGTGAACTGTTTATTTTTGGACAACTTTTCTGCTGTACTTTATTGGAAGGAGAAAAACAATAATTTCCTTAGTAACTATTTAACTGAAAAAATAACATTATAGCATATGTATCCATGTAACTGTTGCGGTTAAACAATTAAAAAAAAAAAGCTGAATTTTAGCACACATAAGAAACTTCAACAAATACTCATTTCCTGATGAACAGCCTTTGGGCTACAATGTAACTTAAATAGAAAATCTTTAGAAAGGCATTTCCTCTGAAAGCATTTTATTTTTAAAAATCCAATTTAATTTTTTTTTAAAATCCGATTTACATTTTTTAAAAACCCGATTTTTTAATTTTTTTAAAAAAATCGTTTATTTTTTAAATCCACACCCCACTTTGGACTCACCTTGAGCTTGATGGTTCCTTTGCCTACACAAACGCCGGAAAGAAAAAGAGAGAGAAAATGTAAGATTCAGAAAGCCGAAGAATATTGTGCAAACACACCAGATTTAACTACGATATTCAAGACACACAGACACACCGGCCTCAAGCCCCTTCCCTGGCAATGCAGGGGTGAGTGGTGCCACCCAGCCGTGCCCGAGGGCACTTTACACGTACGTAAACGGGGGCCTACCCAAAACCGTTCCGTGCCCTCGCGCCACCGTCTCTCCTTTGACCGTCAGCTGGATCTGAACCGTCGTCTCCTTGGACGGGTTGAAGATGACCACGCTGATGGTTTCCACTACCCCTGCCCGGAAGACCGAGGGCACGGCCACCAAGTAGCCCCTGGGAGAAAGAGGGAGAGAGGAAGGAAGTGAGAGGGCACAGCTCTGGAAGAAAGGCTCTGCGGCAGAACAGCTGCCTGGCAGGCAGAAGGCCCCGTGTTCCATCCCCGCTGCCATCCCCATATAATAATAATTATTATTATTGGGACGCGGGTGGCGCTGTGGGTTAAACCACAGAGCCTGGGACTTGCCGATCAGAAGGTCGGCGGTTTGAATCCCCGCAATGACGGGGTGAGCTCCCGTTGCTTGGTCCCTGCTCCTGCCCACCTAGCAGTTCGAAAGCACCTCAAAGTGCAAGTAGATCAATAGGTACCGCTCTGGCGGGAAGGTAAACGGCATTTCCGTGCGCTGCTCTGGTTTGCCAGAAGCGGCTTAGTCATGCTGGCCACATGACCTGGAAGCTGTACGCCGGCTCCCTCGGCCAATAAAGCGAGATGAGCGCCACAAGCCCAGAGTCGGCCACGACTGGACCTAAGGGTCAGGGGTCCCTTTACCTTTACCTTTAGCTCCCCACCTGCCTGGGTTCCCCCAGCCACTCTGGGTGGCTCCCAACTGAATATTAAAAACACAATAAAGCATCAAACATTAAAAACTTCCCTCAACAGTGCTGCCTTCAGATGTCTTGTAAAAGTCAGATAGTTGTTTATTTCCTTGACATCTGATGGGAGGGCGCCACCACCGAGAAGGCCCTCAGCCTGTTTCCTTATAACCTCACTTCTCACAGGGAAGGCGCCACCACTGAGAAGGCCCTCTGCCTGGTTCCCTGTAACTTGGCTTCTTGCAATGAGGGAACCGCCAGAAGGTCCTCGCGAGATGGACCCTGGTGTCCGGGGTGGAGACGCTCCTTCAGGTCTACTGGGCCAAGGCTGTTTAGGGCTTTCACTAGAAAATCACCAGCCCAGACTGGAGTTCCTTGCCTCCCCTTCTCTCTGGGGCTTTCCCCAAGCAATCGGAGACCGCGCCTGCCAGCAATCCCACCTCTCCTGCGCCCTTTTCATGCCGCTATTGGTCCTGGGAGACCACTAGGGAAGGGAGATTCTTGCCGCAGGAGGGGGAAGAAACCCCTCTCTGCCTCTTGGCTTCCCTCCTCTCCTGCTTCTGCTCCTGCCTCTGATTCTGAACTCTTTCTGCCACCGATTCTCCCCACTCACAAAGCCCTGTTCCCTCTTCCCAGCCCCTCCAGGTGGAAACAACTTAAAAAAGCGGAATGGCATGTAGACGGTGGTCCCACCTTAACCCTTACTGCATTTGTGTCATCAGTGGGGCAGAATGCATGGAAACGGAAGAAAGCCTGCCAGCCCAGGGAAGGCCCCCCAAAGTTAACTATTCCCCCTTTGCCCGAGTGCTCTTCTTTCCTCCTCCCGCCTCGCTGCCTTCCCCTTTTGTGCCGCGTCTTTTAGTCTAAACTCACCAGCAAGGCGCCGACGGCACATTGTACGACGCACACATGCGTTTCAAATTCTCCGGTCGTGATTCTCCTCCGCAGCCCCTCTCCCCGCTGCTCAGCCCATCCCATCCCCAATGGGCCTTCTTCGTGCAAGACAGCTCTTCGCGTCATGCGCTTTTGGAAACATAATTCCACTTCGCCAGCCGAGTCTCTTTCGCCGGAGGTTAACAGGCGCCCCGCGAGGAGCGAAGGCTGCCTTTCTCCCTCCTCCCCTCCAAATTCCAAACATTGCACACTCCTGCCCCCTCAGCGGGATCCATCGCCATGGAGATCTCATTGCAAGAGATCTCCCGGGCGACAGGCAGCGCTCAGGACCGGCCCAGATCAAGAAACAAGCAATGAGAAGCTCAAATCTGCAAAACCTCGACCGCCTTTTCTGGACCGGTGTAGCGAGAGGGCAAAAAACGAGGAAATATTTGCAGTGTAAGGGTCTTCCGCCCGATGTGAGACTCGAACCCACAACCTTAAGAGCCTCGCACTTGACCGGCTGAGCTATCACTGGCTGGTTTTCTCCAGCTTATGGGAGATTTCCAGTTTTGTAACTTTAGGACTTGCTCCCTGGATGGCCGGTTTATTACAGAGTATGAATGAACTTTATTACGGTCACAGACCAGGATTAAGAAAAGCATATAGATAAAATAGCAGTTGGGATTTTTGACCGATAATTGCTAGGGCAAATGAGGACAAGGAAACAGGTATAAAACATCCGAATAAAATACAAGATTAAACACAGATAATGGATGGATAAAAAACTAATAATTAAAACAGATGAGAGCTAAAAACCAACAAAGATTCGCAGATAAAACAACTATAAGAGGCTGCAGAGTAGAAGCCTCTTAAATAGAGGACACCCACAACATTAAAAACTGCTGTGCAGATATGGTTAAACAGACAAATAAAACAATATACAACACTAAATTTAGAAACAATGTACAACAATAAACTGTCCCAGGGAGTTGACTCAGAATCACCAATGGAACCGTGTTTGGGGCTTTTCATGCCGGACTATTTTGAGTATTACAGAGTATTTGTCTTGCTTTGCTTGCGCGACTTTGATGCAGAGGTTAGACTATCATGGAATTTTAGATTTGGAAAGGGGGCCCCCAGCGGTTATCCAGTCCAACCCCCTGCAATGCAGGAATCTCAGCTAAAGCATCGCGGACAGAGGACCCTCTGACCTCCACTTAAAAACCTTCAAGGAAGGAGAGTCATGAACGCCAATGTATTCTGCCTTGGACAGACCCCGCCTGGAATCCTGTGTCCAGTTCTGGGCAGCACAATTTAAGAAGGATGTTGAGAAGCTGGAAGGTGGGAAGAAAGGGAGACCGAGATGGTCAGTCTGGAAGCCTGATGAGGAACGGTTGAAGGAGCTGGGGATGTTTAGCCTGGGAGGAGATGGGAGAGTCACCTTCCGATATCTCACATGGAAGAGAGAGCTTGTTTCCTCCTGCTCCGGAGGGCAGAACTCGAACCCACGGCTCCCAGCGACAAGCAAGGCGATTCCCACTCAACACCAGGAAGAACTTTCTGATGGTCCAGAGATGTGGGATGGGAGGTGGCGGGTGCCCAAGCAGAGGTTGGAAGGCCATCAGTCATGGATGCTTGAGCTGAGATTCCTGCCTCTGCAGCGTGTTGGGCTGGATGACCCCTGGGGGTCCCTTTCCAAATCTACGATTCTGGGACACCGGAGCGTAATAGCCATGGGCAGCCTTGTCCGCCATGAATTGGCCTTTTTAAAGCCACGCGTCAGAACTAGCCCTGAGGATTAAGTCTTCCTCTCCTCTGAGATAGACTGGCTCTGTCTATGGAGGCTCCATTTAGGAATCCTAAGGGGAGCCTGGCCCACAGGATGAGGCCAAAGGGAGCTCCTTCAGTTCCTGCTGTAACGGTTGCCTCGGGGATCCGAGTGCGAAAACAGCAGCTCAGAAACTCCCTGCTGGGGAGGCCCAGAAACCGGCCGTCAGATTGGGGGCGAGAGGAGAGCTGTTCTGTCCTAACGGACCAGTTCAGAAATGGGGGGGGGTCCCTGACCTTTCCCACACCCCGTTAGGGCAAAGGAAGGGTGTTGGGGAACGCAAAGGTGGATTCAAAATTATATGCCACCCCCCAAAACGGTGCAATGTTGTGCATGGAAGTTAGGGGCTCTGTGGGGCCGGCCAGGGTGCAGTTTGGCCTGGGAGGGGGACATTTCCTGGACCCCCATCCTTTGCGTGGGTCGGCAGGATGCGGCCAAATTCCACCCAGCATCTGAGGCAGGAAGATGCTCCTCTCGGCTGACAACCAGCTCAGTTGGGTTCTGGAGACGAGGAAGAGGGCTCTCTGCCCATGCTCAGGAACAAACCCTGGGCTCGTTCCTCTCTGCAGCCTCCCAGAGGCTCTCTGCACATGCCCCAGAACGCCCCCCTCCCTGGTTCTTCCCCCTGAAGAATTCGCAGAGCAGAGGAAGAGGTGTCTCTGCACGCGCTCAGGAACCCCTGGGCTTTCTGCACATGCTCTGGAACACTCCCCTTGGCTCTTCCCCCTCTGCCTGCTCCAGGGTTCCCGGAGGCGAGCGAGAGGTCACTCTGCACATGCTCAAGAGCCCCTGGGCTTTCTGCACATGCTCTGGAACACTCCCCTTGGCTCTTCCCCCTCTGCCTGCTCCAGGGTTCCCGGAGGCGAGCGAGAGGTCACTCTGCACATGCTCAAGAGCCCCTGGGCTTTCTGCACACGCTCTGGAACACTCCCCTTGGCTCTTCCCCCTCTGCCTGCTCCAGGGTTCCCGGAGGTGAGCGAGAGGTCACTCTGCACATGCTCAAGAGCCCCTGGGCTCTCTGCACACGCTCGGGAGCACTCCTCTTGCTTCTTGCAGCGAGGGCTTCCCGGAGGCGAGCAAGAGGCGGAACTCCTGCGCCCTCTGCACGCGCTCGGGAGCGCTCCCCTCCTTCCTTCTTGCAGCGAGGGCATCCCGGAGGCTCCCTCTGCGCGCACTCCGGAGCCCGGGGCCGGGGCGCCTGGGGGACCCCCTCGGTCTCTCCGTTGCCGCTTCCCTCACCTCCTGTCCGGGCTCGGGGTGCAGATCCCGCAGAGGCTGCAGAGCGGCAGCAGCAGCAGCGTCCAGGGCGCGCGTCCAGGGCGGCGGGCCGGAGGAGGCATGGCCGGGCGCCCTTTGTTCCCTCGGGAGGCCGCCGACGCCCGAGCCGGCCAGCAGCGCCTCTGCCCCGGCCCTGCGCCTCCGCCGCTGCCCGGCCGCCTCCAGCCCCGCCTCGGCCCGGGGCGGCCCGCCGATGCCTCCGCCTCCGCGCTCCGCCTCCCACGCGCGCTCCCTTTGTTCCGGGGAGGCGCGCGCCCCGCAGGACCCACGCCGCGGGGAGGGGCGCGACAGACCCCCGGGGGTCCCCGCTCAGCAGGATCGGGGGTCTTCTTCTTCTTCTTCTTCCCCTCCTCTGCCAGGAGATTCTTGCTTTCCTTCCTTCCGCGCGCAAAAGTACCGCGCGTAAAAATCGTGATTCTCCGAAGCAGCGCCGCTCCAACTTTGGGAACCACGCTTTTTGCAAGATCTCTTCTTATCGAGGCTTCCCAAAAGTTCGTAGTGGGAAGCTGGTACCCACCTCGAAGCATCTTTTCATTGCCTGTTTTTATTGATACAGAAATGTTTTATTTATTTTATAGTACGGCACATTGTTTCTGGCTTTCGTTTGATGGGTCGATGGTCTCGCTAGATAGTAAAATCCATGTTAAAGTACATGTTTTAGGGGTTGTTTTGAAAAGTCTGGAACAGATTAATCCGTTTTGTGGGACTTTCTGTGGGAAAGCAGTGCGCCTTGGTTTTGGAACGCTCTGGTTTCGGAACGGACTTCTGGAACCAAGGTACCACTGTAGTTATCGACATTAATGAGGATAGGTACATACCAGATTAAAAGAAATACGGCTATTTTTGTGGGCACTCATCAATATTTACATTGATGTATCCATATATACCAGATGGAAACAAATTGGTCTGCTTTAATTGATTGTTATCAAGAGATAAACAAACGTTCATACCCAATGCAAAGTATCTTTTCTTTGTGATTACAGAATTAAAGAAGCATGCCGCCTTTTCTCGATAGTTATCAATATTGATAAGGATCAATACATTGATTAAAAGAAATATGGTTATTTTTATGGACACTCATCAAGATATACATTGATGTATCCATATATGCCAGATTAAAACCAGCGGCCTGATATATATCGCATGCTAGAAGCTCCTGTTCCGCCGCTTAGCTAAAAAGCTTTGTGAAAACAACGCAGGTTTCTAGTCCTTAGGTTCTGGAAACCAAGCCTGATGAGGAACGGTTGAAGGAGCTGGGGATGTTTAGCCTGGAAAAGAGGAGGGTGAGGGGAGATAGGAGAGCCATTTCCCGATATCTCAAGGGCAGTGTCATGTGGAAGAGGGAACAAGCTTGTTTTCTCCTGGAGGGTAGGACTCGAATCCGTGGCTCCCAGTTCCGAGGAAGGAGATCCCGACTCAACATCAGGAAGAACTTTCTGGCAGTCAGCGCTGTTTGGGATGGAAGGTGGTGGCCTCTCCTTGGAGGTTTTTAAGCAGAGGTCAGATGGCCATCTGTCATGGATGCTTTAGCTGGGATTCCTGCGTTGCAAGGGGGCTGGACTAGATGACCGCTGGGGAGCCCATAGCTGCCGGGTTCCACCCAACGCAGCTACGAGAAGGTGGTGGAATACTGGGGGAGCCTAGCCCCCTCCTTGAAAATTATTTTGGGCAGCCCTTCCATTTCTACAATTTTGCCATTCTACGCTTCACGCAGCGCTGCGTTAACCTGTGGAACTCCCGCCCCCAGGATTCCACTGACCCGGCAAATCCATGGCTCTCGTTGGCTACAAACTATGTTCTCCCTCCCTGCCAGTCAGGGAAGTGGCCCTGCTTCTGAACACCCAGCGGGGAGAGAGTCGCTGCGGGTTCGAGTCCTGCGGACCGCCAGAGGAAGAGGCAAGCTTTGGCTGGGAGTTGAAGGAAGCCGGGGCGGAGAACCTCTGCCGGCTCCAGGCTCCACCGCCCGGCCTGTTGCCAGGATGCGTCCCAGAGAGGGATATCTTGGACCCCTTCCCCTCCTCCTCCTCCTCCTCCTCGCTGGGTGGGTCAAGGAATTAGGGGGTCACAAATACACGCCTTTTATAATTCGGAATACCAACCATTAGCTCAGGCTCAGGAGGGGGGTCCCCAAAGGACACCCCCCCTCAAAGTCTTGGCTGGCTTCCGCCCCCAATTTCCGTGGGAATAGGAACTCCTCAAAGCTGGAATTGGGTGTGGGGAGACCCTGACTGGGGTGGGGGGACTGACGCTTGACTCATGCAGTCAGGATTTTTTTTGGGGGGGGGGGGCTCCACCCCACCTCTCGGTTTCCCCCCCCCCCCTCTCAAGGGTTTTGATATGAGCAAAACGCGTGGACAAAATTGGAGCCAGGCTTTGTTCAAACAGGGAAATATAAATTGCTTTCTGCAGCATTTTGCGGATTTGGCACGAGCGGTGGATTTCTTAAGGGAGGGGCACGGGTGGGGAATTAGCCGTTGTGCGTAAAGTGTTCTGGGGGGGGGGGTCTCCGATATGCCTCTTTCTCAGGGCATAAACTCACGATAATGTCAGCTGAGGGGGCCCATGCCTAGGGCGAAGGATACTGGGGGCCGAATGTGGCTCTCCAGATTCTCAGTGCGGCCTCCAGACTCTCCTCAGACCAGTGCCGGATTTACGTATAAGCTAAACAAGCTATAGCTTCGGGCCCCACTCTGTGAGGGGGCCCCAAAAAAAATGAAACGGGAAAAAACCCGGATGTACATTTCCAAAATATAAGATAAAAAATAAATAAGATAAAACCCACATACAGCAACAGTGTTTTGTGTTGTGTAGGCTCCTCTATTTCCCAGGGACAGACCCGGTTTTACAGAAGACGTCCCAGTTCCTGACTTGATACCGGAACATCCCACTTTCCCGTAGGATGTCCCTGTTTTCATGGGAGAAACGTTGGAGGGGATGGAATAGGACGTCCCTCTTTTCAGGGGAGCAACGTCGGAGGGGATGGAATAGGACGTCCCTATTTTCAGGGGAGAAACGTCGGAGGGGATGGAATAGGACGTCCCTATTTTCAGGGGAGAAACGTTGGAGGGGATGGAATAGGACGTCCCTATTTTCAGGGGAGAAACGTCGGAGGGGATGGAATAGGACGTCCCTCTTTTCAGGGGAGAAACGTTGGAGGGGATGGAATAGGACGTCCCTATTTTTCACAGGAGAAACATCGGAGGGGATGGAATAGGACGTCCCTATTTTCAGGGGAGAAACGTTGGAGGGGATGGAATAGGACGTCCCTATTTTCAGGGGAGAAACGTTGGAGGGGATGGAATAGGACGTCCCTCTTTTCAGGGGAGAAACGTTGGAGGGGATGGAATAGGACGTCCCTATTTTCAGGGGAGAAACGTTGGAGGGGATGGAATAGGACGTCCCTATTTTCAGGGGAGAAACGTCAGAGGGGATGCACCCACACTGTCATCCGGGTGGAGCAGGCCCTGGGTGTCACCGGTGCATGAGCTCAGAGCTGCAGGTGCGAATGGTGCTCGGAGCAGCCCAGCTGCCGCAGGCGAGGCCCTCCAAAACGTGATGACAAGCCGGCCAGCTCACGGAGAAGCCGAGTCAGCAAAGCAGGGGCCGGGGGAAGCCTTTGCCGGGCCCTCGGCCAAATTGAACCTTCTTTCCGCCTGACGTCCTCTCTCGGGTCCCCCTCGACCCAGTTCAGGCCCCACCCTGCTGTGGCAGGTGGAGGGGCTCAGCCACGGGCGGGGGCAAGGAAATAAATCAAGTAAATTAAAGAAACACTTAACTAAAAGTAGAACTAATCGGAAAGCTAGAAAGTTCCAGAAAGACATCTACTTCTGCTTCGTTGACTATGCAAAAGCCTTTGACTGTGTTGACCACAGCAAACTACGGCAAGTTCTTAAAGAAATGGGAGTGCCTGATCACCTCATCTGTCTCCTGAGAAATCTCTATGTGGGACAAGAAGCTACAGTTAGAACTGGATATGGAACAACTGATTGGTTCAAAATTGGGAAAGGAGTACGACAAGGCTGTATATTGTCCCCCTGCTTATTTAACTTATATGCAGAATTCATCATGCGAAAGGCTGGGCTGGATGAATCCCAAGCCGGAATTGCTGGAAGGAATATCAACAACCTCAGATATGCAGATGACACAACCTTGATGGCAGAAAGTGAGGAGGAATTAAAGAACCTTTTAATGAGGGTGAAAGAGGAGAGTGCAAAATATGGTCTGAAGCTCAACATCAAAAAAACTAAGATCATGGCCACTGGTCCCATCACCTCCTGGCAAATAGAAGGGGAAGAAATGGAGGCAGTGAAAGATTTTACTTTCTTGGGCTCCATGATCACTGCAGATGGTGACAGCAGTCACGAAATTAAAAGACGCCTGCTCCTTGGGAGGAAAGCGATGATAAACCTAGACAGCATCTTCAAAAGCAGAGACATCACCTTGCCAACAAAGGTCCGTATAGTTCAAGCTATGGTTTTCCCAGTAGCGATGTATGGAAGTGAGAGCTGGACCATCAAGAAGGCTGATCGCCAAAGAATGGATGCTTTTGAATTCTGGTGCTGGAGGAGACACTTGAGAGTCCCATGGGCTGCAAGAAGACCAAACCTCTCCATTCGGAAGGAAATCAGCCCTGAGTGCTCCCTGGAAGGACAGATCCTGAAGCTGAGGCTCCCAGACTTTGGCCACCTCAGGAGAAGAGAAGACTCCCTGGAAAAGACCCTGATGTTGGGAAAGATGGAGGGCACAAGGAGAAGGGGACGACAGAGGACGAGATGGTGGGACAGTGTTCTCGAAGCTACCAGCATGAGTTTGACCAAACTGGGGGAGGCAGTGGAAGACAGGAGGGCCTGGCATGCTCTGGTCCAGGGGGTCACGAAGAGGCGGACACGACTAAATGACAAAACAACAATTGTAAAATCAAATAAAAATGATTTCCAAAAGTAGAATTGCTGTAGAATTTGCAAACCGCATACGGAGTTGTTCAGTTTGCGGTTTTTCACCAAATCTGGCAACTTTCCCCCTTTTTTCACACATACACACCCGGGCAGAATTTTTCTGCCTTTCCAGGCCACTGGGAGACTGATTGGATTACTTCCTTCTGCCTGGCATGAAATTGCCTTCCTTCCACCCCCTCCGGA